ATTAAGAAAAAATCGTCACCCTGCGGGGTTTTTTGCTTCTTCTTTGACTTTTCTTTTTACTTTTGTTTAGAAAAACAACCCAACCTTTGAAGTCTTTGCTTGAAAGTGCTGGAACTGTCTAAAGATGGTAAATGTTTGCTCTGGGATTCTCTGAGAAACTCTTGAAAAAATTGAAAATCGGATTAAAAATGTGGATTAAAGTTTTGCAAAGGCTTGAAATGTGATATCATTTTGAGATTTTTTGATGATCTAGTGCGCTTTTAGTTCCTCGTATTTTATCTTGGAACAGATCATTCTTGACTTCCTAGTTCAAAGCCCTTGACAGTTATCGTTGTTTGAAGAAGTTCCCAGGAACATTTTCATCCAACTTTTTTCGTTTCCTTTTCATTTTTTCGCTGCTCCGACTTTGATCCGAAACGAGCGCTTCAGCCAAAACCGGAATCGGATTTTGTTCGGTTCCCGTGAAGACCAAGAGGTTTTGCTTGTTCTGCAACCGAATTCCCTCCTCGCGGTGTGTAGGGAAAGCGCAAAGGAAACGTACCGCGACCTCAGGAAAATGAGGAGGCCGGAAGTCCAATTCGATAAAGATTAAATTGGAGTCTAAGTTGGGGGCCCGGAGGCGTCGAGGAAACCGGCAAAGGACGGGGGCTTCCAAACCTCATTTGTTATTGTGCTAGTCTGTTCGGGCACGGTAAAGGGAGGGGATTTAACGTAGTTTAGGGGTTTTGCAACAGAAATCCATTTTATTCAAGCTTTAGGGCTAAAATGGCGCGGCGTGCCTGGGGCGGCCTAAATATTATTATATTTTTACTTATTTGTCTGTTTGCTTAGCGTTAGCCTTTTTTTCTTGTTTACGTTCCTTTTTAACAGTTTTTTTTCAGCTATTTCTTGTCGTTAAATCAACATCCGATTCAAACTCATAAACTTTCAAATATTCCAAGCGCTACAGTCCACATCCAACCATCCAATTTGCCAGTTCCGAATCATTAAAATCCCTTGTCGATCCCCATTCTCCCCACTCGTACGGACTGTCCCATTTCGCCTTTCTCTTGACAGTTTTACAGGCAGTAAGAGTAGCCGCTAACCTTAACCTCATTGAGATCATCCACACGGATATTTCGTGTCATCCGCCGCTCCGCTCTCCCATTTTGTGTGGGAAATTCGAAAATAATTCCCTTCCTAAATCCAAATTGATTAGCCATGACGAAAAGTCTTTAGTCGAGTTTTAGTAAACGGTTTTATTGGGCTCAAGGATGGGGCATTCCCTTGCACGGTGCGAGTGGAATTGGCTCTTCAAATGGCCCTTCGATTATCGTGCGGTGGAATTTGAGGAAATTGGGCTACTGTAAGGTCTAGGGGAAGATATTTTGAACGAGTCTACAGTCTATACGCCCTCTTTTCCCCATTTTTTTGAGCACGTGCATTAACCTAGGCCCCGAATTTGTGAAAAACTTTAATGAAATCTGAGCATCGCACGCGAATTAGTACTTACTTTCAAAATTTTGTTTTGTATTTTTGCCAGCTTTCGTTTGCAAATTTGCAACAACTAGTGTTTCCTTATTCATCATCGTGCCATTTAATACGATTTTCCTTTTTCTTTCAAGAATATACATCATGATAAACATCTTTAATCCCCTTAGGCACCATTAGTCTTGAGTCTAATTTCACATCTACGATAACATTGCCTTGCGTCAATGGCTAAATCAGCTAGAGGCCATATGCCATCACCTCCCTAATACTTCCTAATTTCAATATAAAACCCGCCCTGAGGGTTGTTTTTTTTGCTTCCCACAATACCCAAAATGGCAACTCGTGCTCTTAATCCCGTATTCTAAATTTTCGCATTTTTCGCCGGGGAATTAGCGAACAAAACGAGTTCGACGGCATTAAAAAACGCTCACAGCTTTATTCAATTGGTTGCGTTTGAGGGAGTTTTATTGTTATAGGCGTAATGTTACAATCGAGCGATCAATTACGCCACAGCATGCCGGTTAACCTGTTTTTTGGAGGGGAGAAAGGGAGCCGCGGCGGTTAAAAGTGGAATATTTAAATACGAAAAGTGATGGTTAAAGGGGATTTGGAAGGCATACATTATAGCTGGATGGACAATGGCGAGCTAGAGCAGGCTGGGCGTAGGATTTGAGCATTACTGGTTGTGACGTGGTGGGTATGAGAAAGGAGGATCGAGATTTAGTACTATTTCCCAGCATTGTCTTTCCTCTTAATTTTGCCTGCTAATCCAGCTATGAGTCTCCCCAAAAAACAACCCAATTTTTTCCCTCAGTTTTCACACCATTTTTATGTTTACCATAAAATTAAAAGCTAGTCAAAAAAATCGAAAATATCTGATGCCTAATTAAGACCACTTTAAAAATTATTTTTGTCTGCCCCTCCGGCGTTCTTTGTCTTCCGGTTTCCGTAGCAATGTAAGGGTTCTTGGCTCACATCCGAACACGCAACCTTCTCCGTGGGTCCATTTCTTTTTCCATGAAAATCCGGGGTAAATCCGAAAAGATTTGGGCTTTGAGGTTTGAAAATTCCTGCTGTCGTCTGGAGACGTTGTGCAAGATGGGGAGAAAAAGCTGTGATTACCGCAACAAAATATATTTTTTGATGACTTTGTAAAACCTCAAAGAAATTTTTTTTGCAAAACGCTCACTTCCATCTGTAATTGCCGTTTTTAACCTCTGTACTTGCCATGTTGGTATAGTATGACATGAGGAAAAATTGAGATTTTTTCCCAAAAAAGCTTTGATTACTGTAATTTCCCTTTTCGTGTAAAATGCAAGTTTTGCGAAGATTATAAAGTAATCCTAGCATCCGTTTTGCCCTAAATCTTTGACGCCTTATCGGATACAACGGATTAGTCATTAATGAACTTCATTTAAAAGCCCCTAATTATTACTTTTATATTACTTTTTGCTTGTTTCAATCCCGCTTTCTTTCATTACTCCCATTTTTGGCCGATTTTATTGTCCGCGGCCCTATTCCCGGCATTTCTTTTTTCATTTTCCCATCGGTGGTCTCGATTTCCCCACGGATTTGTGGCCGTTTCCATTGTCCCAGAAATGACCCGCACTCTATTCTCCCCGCTTTTACTGACATTACAACTTCTTGAGCAGAGACCAATCCCATTTTTTCTGTTGTGTAATCAAATTATTAGTAGTATCCTCGAATAATTTTTTATGTTTTTCCTCCTTGATATATCGAATTTCGGCCTTCAAGAATGGTAATTGGAGAGTGGATAAATAAAAGTTAAGACGGAAGTTCCCATAGGGAAATCTTTTTTTCATATTTGATTTTCTTGTAAGATTATGTCTCCAGAATGTGTAGTGCTAAAATACGTCATCTCCGCGTCATTTGATGTCGATGAATATTGTATTTCAAGGGGTTGGCGGCAGATTTTGTAAGGTTACGCAAACATTGGGTTTCCCTCATAGCGGTATTTAAGAAAATTATGTTGTTCGAATTTGAAGCTCACATAATTTTTTTAGCCAATGGTACTTTCTAACCACCGCCTATACATATATTCCCATCCGACTGCTCCATAATTACCCCTCCCAATTTTACTATTCCCATCAACTGCCGTCCTCGGAACTAGTAGCCATTACTGACCACATCCCTTGGCTCCTTTCCCCATAAATCTCCGAAATGATTACATACATATAAACCTCCCTCTCCTTTCCTTGTCCCCATTTTTTCTGTTCGGCCAACAATTGAATGGCCATTTCTATTCTCAAAAGGCGATTTTTAAGAGCTCTTTTTTGAGGAGGAAAAAATATCCGCCGCCCGGTCATCCTTCAAATTTTACGCCGCCGGCATTGTCCCTGGTCGTCCACGCATAACTCAAAAGCGGCAGTTTTTTGTCGTTTTAACTGCGGGAGTCAAATTAGAGTCGAAGCGTTGAGTTCGAAGCTAACTCGGTATAAAGACAGGATTTCTTCTGAGGTTGCTTAACGCTGCCTATTCGAAAGTTCTTAAAATATCTTTGGCAGGTAAGTTTTCTTCGTCAATTATTCCATGGGTAAATATGTACAAAGCAGGAGGAAACGACATTTCGCTTTGATTCCATCATGTAGTAGTTCTCTAAAAGACCAAGAATCTTTTGTGACACATAGTTTGAATGCACATACCTGTGCTTATCTACATATCTTGCCTATCGCCATATCCGAACATATTTTGGCCATTTTTTCCTCTTTTGTTTATTACCAAAAAAATTTTTTGATGTTTTTTAATTTTGTTTATCCAGCTTCACCCTCAAATCGGACTTTTTCCCCTCAACTCCCGCTGATCGCCTGAGGGAATCGCGGTTTCCCATTATCACCGCTTAACCCTCAATTTAACGAATTGAGGGCCTGCGGTGCGAAGAAGGGGAAACCCGCTTAACGCGGGGGTAATATCCTCTTCCGACGTCAGCCCTTTCATTGTCAAACCATCTCGCTGCATTGACGTCGCAAATCTTAAACTCTTTGCAAAACCGCCGACAAAATTTTTGGAATAATCTTCGTCGTTTTTTGTGTTTATTCTTCTGTTTATTCGGTGACTGTCAGCTCGTTTTGAGGTCAATCTCCTAAACGTCCGCTCTTTTGGAAGTATCAGGATTTTTAGGGGTTTTCATCCGGATTATAACGAAACAGCGACGGTTTTATTTCGTATATTATACATATTTTTAGATACCAATTGACGGCACGCTCCACTAATCTCATATATTTTCACCAATATATGAGATTAGTGGTTTGAAGTACTCGGCAGATAAATGTGCCGTTTTCTGGTCCTTGCGTGATAAACCAAAGGCAATTTTAATATTCGAATATCCCCCGGTAAACACGTATTTCGGCCGAACCTTGGATATCCTTTATGTATATTGCTTGTTTTTATTTTTCGTTTATCATGTGGCCGTGAATTTCGCATAGGTTTACTTTCATTTCTTCCCTGATTACTTTGTATTACATTGTTTTAATACTTTCAGCCGATCGCCGGATGCTTAGTATACGAAAGTAATGTCTCGCGGAGCCGTTTTCATGAATCCCCTTCATGAGGGCTTCGGATTCGATCATTCCCCCTTCTATCATCATCACTTCAAACGCTTTCCCAGATCGGCCTCGTGTCACAGTCGGTCGTTGTCGCCACATATGCGAAGGAGAAGTGTAGATTCTCTGGAGATTCCGTCAAGTTATGTGCATGTTCAGGAGAGCGTGGGGAAAGGTGAGATAGGGTTTTACACGGAAGAGTTGGTCGGGGTGTGGCTTGGGGTATTCGATAAAAGCAGCGATAAAATTCGTGATAATGTCTAAAATAATCTTTGTTACAAAAGTTGAAAAAAGCAAGGCCATAGCTTCAACGACATTGTTAGGACATAGTTTTAAAGACACTGTTGTCATAACCATTATCTCTCTGTGGTCTATATTTTCTCTTGCAGGTTACTTTGGCAATGTATACAAAGGCGTTCTACGAGATCCAATGAAAGGCACATATAGCCCCGTGGCAATAAAATCCCTCAAAAGTAAGTCCTACACTGTCTTCTTTTTTGTTGATTATATTTGCATATTATATGTACATGACAAATGCATATGACGTATTTTACAAAATTGCCATTTTTAGGTGAGATTCTCTACGAACGCGGTAATGTCGATGATTTTTTGAAGGAAGGCCTTATGATGAAAAATCTCGACCATCCAAATATAATGAAACTCCAGGGTATTTGCTATTCGTCAGATGGAATTCCGTCCTTAATCATGCCTTTCATGAACTTTGGTGACCTCAGATCGTACGTCTCGGATCCTCATAGGGTGAGAAGACGGCTCAATTTGATTTCGTAGTATTTCAGAGTTATAAAATAACATTTTCTTGCATTTCAGACGGTCTGTTTAATAGAAGTTGTGGACTTTTCGCAACAAATCGCTGAAGGAATGACATATCTCTCGTCCATGGGTATTGTTCATCGAGATTTGGCGGCTAGGAATATTATGTAAGCATTTTGACAACGAGCAATAACTCATTCTGCTCTTATGCTGTTTGTATAAAATTTTATTTATTGTATAAAAAAAAACTTTCAGGCTCACTGACTCCTACACAATAAAAATTGCTGATTTTGGTTTGGCAGTCGATTTATCAAGAGATTTTGGGCGAAGAGATCACGAAATGTCATCGTCTCCACTAAGATTGGCCCTAAAATGGCTTCCAATCGAAGTGCTGCGTAATCGACGATGTGTGCATTCGAGTGTAGATGTATGGTCATTTGGAGTGGTCATGTGGGAACTCCTGACTCGAGCTTGTCCCCCATACGAAGAACTCTCAAATTCAGATTTGGAATGGTATTTGCAAACGGGTAAACGGCTTCATCAACCAGTTCACTGCCCCAATGTTTTGTAAGTTGATTCGAAGTCAATGAACATTTAAAAATCACGTATTTTATCTTTACGTTTTCAGATACGATATGATGCTGGCCTGCTGGAGATCGAATCCCGTCTCGAGGCCTAGGTTTATATCGCTGGCAAAGCAGCTAGGAAATCTAATGAATGTAAGTTGATGTAACAAAGTGATCACTAACAAATCATGTTAAAATATTGTTATCTATGCCTCGCTTTCACTGGTTTAACCTCTTCTCCGTTTCAGCACGAGATAGAGCATGCCCGCCGCTACGGCCGGCAAGGCCCCTACTTCCAGAACATTCCCTGCGGCCAAATGTACCTGGACAATATTCCGTTACGCTACAGCAGTTAATCCAACAAGCACTGGTTGGCCCCTCATCTTGCCCAATCTTTCGGTTAATTTGCATATTTTGTCTTCCATTTCCTGCCAAATTCCCTCTTTTTATTTATTCTTGTACAAAGACGCCTACATTACGGTGAGATTTGTCTGTTCTATATTGTTCTTGATTCAAAAAAATATTCAAAAATTAGAGTGTCGTCTAGATCTGTAGAAGTGAAGAAAGTATTCCGTTGATCCTGTAAATACTATTATTACTATCGGTTATAAATAAATAATATCCTGGTTGATTGGAATTTGCAATACATGATCTGTAAGGGTTTTATATTACCGCAAAGTAAATCACGGACACCTCCCATACAGATAGCTATAATTAGGAAAACTATGTATTATATACATGCATTTGTAGTACTGTTTTTAATACATAGTAAGACGCAGCAGAAGCCCAAACATTCGTTTTAAATTTTTATTTTGTTTTTAGTCGTATTTTATCAGTTTTTTACAAATACATATTGTTCAAAATATATCCAGCACTATACAAGATACTATGTACATAAATATGTTATTGATGTCTTTAACATGACTCATGGCAAGGCTCCATACGGAATATTCGAATCATCAGCAGTTTTCCTTTCGTTTTCTTGGCCGTTTGCTTCCCTTTTGGCAACCAGTCTATTCACACACGGAATTTGCAAAGTATGAAGTAGCAGCGAGACCAAAATCAGCCCTCCAAGAGGATACAATTGAAGTTGTTCACCTAAAAATTAAATTACATAACAAAAGTTCTTGACTAAACTTGCCTTCAAGGTGAACAGTCACCAAGTAAGCGATTCCATTGAGAATCAGCGCGTCCAGTGTGACTCTGAGGATAGAATAAGCTTTGATGGCCTTCAAATAATTTGGTTGGAACCAGAAATGTACACCGATCGACGCAGCAAATGCAATTATGGAGATGAATACCAAAACAAGGAAGAAGTAAACAACTGATGCGTGTGGCGAAAGCACACAACAAGCAATGTCGATACAGGAGCAGATGGATGTCAGGAGGACAAGGAGAAGCTGAAAATTGGTTTTTGTGAAGGTTAAGAACATATATTATATTTTTAATTGCAAGGGGAAGCACTCATCAAATTTTTGGTACACGAACCCGAGCATGTTCTAAATAATTTTGGCTAGTGTTTCGCAAGGACTTGACAGACCGTTCTTTCTCTTTATTTAATTTTATACTTATCCGCTTGCTAGTTATAAAAATTACTTCCAGAATTTCACCGAAGCGTCATTCCTGTGAACAGATTAAATTATCATGACCTAACCCGATCAATCACAAGGTCAGAGCAAGAGTAATGTCTTCTGATATTTCCTCTGAAGGCTTCCTATTTCAACGACAGATTGAAACGCTCCGAGATGAGAATACTACGGTAGGGCCTGACTTCTGTAGACATGTGGATATCACAAAAGAAACAACTTATCTTTTAGTCTAAAATTGTGCTTTTTCTACTGCGATTACGTCCGCATATGCACTCTACTGCTTCTACCTCAAAACCAAATCTTAACCGCTTTCGCTGAGATTACGAAAATCCCCGGAGGTGATGTCATATGATGGATTATTAAAAGTAATTTTCCTCAAGTAAATTTCGCTGAAAAGAAGAGCTTGATGGATGGGATTTCCTTTCGAAACCCTGATTATCACAGATCTCCAGAGAGTTTTTAAAAATCCACGGACTTTTGACGATTAATTGACGAGTTTTGGAAATGAAACCAGAATGTAGGGTAGTGTTAGTTAGGGGTCCTATGAAGAATGTGACAGAAAATTAGCCTTGGAAAACAAGGACAGTAAAGCAATTGCACTGCAACCTCCAGAATGGCTGTAGCGGCGCCGCGAGGTTTAAAATAACTGTATTGCTTTAAAAATGATTGTAAAATAATTCGTCTGAGCTCTCAATGAGGCAGACTACCTTTTAGCAGTCCACGTTTTTATCCATTTTGCTCTAATTTTTAATCAGGCCTTTAATCAGAGAATCGTCGCAAAGTCCCAAAGAATAGTTCAGAACTAGCTATTTAAAAGAGTTTCAAGGAAACGGTGAATGCATTAATTAAACTTTCCTAAAACCTTTGCAAGATGGCTGTGCAACGCCTTTCCAAAATCGTAGAGATTCCTACGGTCTCTAATATTCACCAACTCTAGGAGATCACTCGCAATATGCAAATCGAGAATGATTATTTTGTTTTCAGTGCTTCCTACAACTTTAAAATTTTTTTTAACCATTTTTTTACCTTGAAAATTACATGACCGAGCGCTCAAGGCCAGGCTTATACCTAAGCCGCTTACCGTTTCGCAAGTCATCCTCTTCCACCAGTGATACTGAGCAACAGCCAGCGCGTGAGAAAATGCGAGAAAAGCCGGGGTCGTCGAGGCCTCCCGCTTTTATACCGCCAACCTTCTTTTTCAGCGAGCTGGAAAATAATCAGATTGATTTGTCGATTGAAGTTCATCGATAAGAAACCGAACATTTTTCCCAAAGAGTAATGACAACAGTTTAACGAAAGGGAGCAGTAAAGACCGCGCAAACAATTTTTCGGCTCGACGGTAATCGAGAATTACAAAATGGGTCTAAAGATAACTGCAGGGCTGCGATCGTAAAAACTGCCAAAACTTTGTGTTATACTTAATACAACAAAACTTGATGATGAATTCGGTATCCTATGGAAGTAATTAAGGAAGTAGCAAACAACGTAGATTGCTGAAATTATGCAAATCGCTTTGTTGACACATAGTACATAGAAAGGTCACACTGAGCGTTTAGGAGCAACAGAAGTATAGACTTCCATCGATAACCGATTTTTATAGAGCTGTAAACTGATCTGGTGGCAGACTGAAACCTACGAGAGGTGTAAGCAAAAACGTGATGTTTTTTTCTAACAAGGCTATTAAGATGGCCCCAAAAACAATACAACTAAAAAAATAAAAAAGTCTTATTCGGTTTTATAGCTATTATTTACAATGACAGTACTGCCTGTACAGACTGAATTTGACACAGTAGGCATGACTCTCATATGCATCTATTCTGGGGAACTCTTGAGTAAGCAGAGTTAACTGATCGCCGTCTTCCAAAGCAAGCAATCCCTCGTACTGTCCACGGCCCGGCCGTACGCTAATCTTTATCTAAACTGACACATCGAGCATATATGAAATGATTTCTCCCATACCATGAGACTCAGTCAATCATTATCCACCTACCTTCAAGATCTGAGCTCCGAATTTAGCGCCGCTTTCGAAAATCCATGCGTTTCCCAAGTCAGACTCATCCAGTGTCAACTCACGACATCTTGAGGTCAATCCGCTATCCGCAAGGTCTTTGTTGATCCTTTGAACTATAAGCCGTCCAGCCTGAGCAATCACCTTCGTATCGTTGAAAATACGTTTCTTATATTCGCAGAAGCAGTAGTCCAAGGGAACATCCAGATTCAGACAATTTCGTGGCTCTGGAAGCCGATGGAAAAGAGAGCTGCCAAGAAGGGTCCGATTAGGGAAGGAAAATTGGTGTAATGTAAAATTTTGGTCATTATAGGAATCATAAGTGTTCTGAAAACAATCAAAAGTGAATAAATAAGCAAAACCACGTAGAAATATTTTCTTGCAGAGTCTACCTGGCTAATCTCCAGCAATGTTGCGTAGATATCGTAGTGAGTAACCAACTTCCCAGCATTTTCTTTCATTTGATTTCGTAGTTTCTCATTATGCCGTATTGCTTGTGGTAGCACAATCGACAAAGATGGATTTTTCTCCTCCCGTTCTCCAGTTTTTGTAGTCCGGATATCATTAATCCGGTTTCCGTGGTCTCCCATTAACAAAACAAAGGAGTTTTCTAACTGAAAATTAGAGGCTTTAGCTACTACTCGGTCAGAGTTTTACAAACCGCACCTTTTTACTATTCTTCTGGAAGAACTCAAGGAACTCCCCATCAACCCGAAACAATGCATTTGGATCAGCATGGGCAAGGTCGGTAAACCAGGAAAGCGAAAATGTTGGGGTGCTTTCGTATTTTGCAAAAAAATCCTTCAGATACTCAAGCATGTGCTGATGCCCTTCTTTGCAAACGCCTTGATACAAATTTCTCTGATACACTGAGTTTTTATAGTCCTTGCCTGTTGCTCGAATTATAAACGGTCTAAAAAAGTTTCCTTTTGTAATGCCCTTACTTATTGCTGTGGTTAGTAAAAGGTCTTTCAAATCCTTTGCAGCCAGGCCAAGAGAATGCTCCAAATTGCCAATCTTCATTGTTCAAGGTAACATATCCATTCCGATTGAAATCAAACCCAATAAAATCTCGGTTGTCTAATCCGACTTGGCAAAGTTTGGGCTTGAAGTCGGCGGTTGTGTAAATTCCAAATTTATTTTCATACTTTTCAATCGGCTCATCTGTAATACTAAACATATACGTTGCAAATGTTTGACTTGCTCAACAAAAATCCATAGGCATTTGGTCTGCTGTTCAGAGCAACTTTTGTTACATATGGGAATTCGATTGATTGCAGAGTGAACTGCAGATAATCCCTGGTCTTTCTCATCGATCTGATGTATTGGGAATGTGACATTGAATCGATTAGGAGGACCACAACGTCAGGCCGAGAAGAAGAAGCCTCTTCAGGCGCTTTCTTCCTCCTAAAGTAGTAAAGTTTGCTTCAAAATTAAAAATTTCAGCAGTGGATTTGGAGCACCTCTCTTTTACTAACTTACTCAAAAACTTGTAAATGCAGATTCTCGTAGATGAAGGCTCCACTGCTATTTTTACAACGAATTTCCACGGCTTCACATTCCGGCCGGGCTTTGTTGTTCTCCATTTTAAACCAGTCTTTGTACTCTATTTTGTAGTCATTGATTTGTTCAATGCATCTATACGAACACCTGGAGCCGTTTGGCAAATCGGCGGATAAAATTCCGTCTACCAAAAAACTTTTTGGTTTAAAAGTCGGTGTGCACTTTGGCCTCGTAACATCGATATTAATATATGGAATTACATCATCAGCAAAAGGGTCAAGTTTTGGGATTTGGCAAGTCTCGTCGAATATGGTCAAATGATTTGTTTGTGATTTCTCCAGAGAATACAAGTCAGGGATTGCTAAAGTTTTATTGCTTTGCTTTAGGTAATACATTTACCTTTATAAACGTGAAGAAAAACATTCTTTTCTAAGTGGTCGAAATAAAGCAAACATATAAATGTAACCGTCACAAAGGTGATCAAAATGCAGTAAGTAAGGCTGTTGATAAGGGAGAAAGTAGCAGTTGACATAAAGGTGAACGTAACATACTTTTCAGTTTGAGAGGACGATTAATAAAGCTCGTTGAACAAATCCGTGTGTGAATTATGCAAATATATTACGTGCAGAAACACAAAGAAAACAAGTAGCGCAATACTTTTTGTGTATTGATTGCGTGGGTTGAGGATAGTAAAATACCGTAGGCGTCTTCGTAAAGCAATTTTGTTTTGTAATTTTTGCATTAATGCGCGTATTTAAATTTGTTGTGGGAACATTTTTTGCTTCATACAAAAAAGATTTAATGAACAATTTTACATCCGTTCCCCCTATCAACAATGAGTAAAATTCTTTGGTGGTTTTGAATAAATCGCGCTATCTGCGCGATCTTGCAGATTACTCGTCGTGAAAATTCGAGTTCAACGACAAAGATGATATCAAATTTTGCGGGAGTCGAACAAAATAAACGACTATTCAACAAAAAATGAAAGCGCTGAAAATTTGTACTTTTTTGTCAATATTGTACTAGAAATTTATCCAATATGTACTGTTACTCAGAGAAAGAAATTTCGATCTTAAAAGGTTTCAGTAAATGTTTTCAAATTATAATGGTTTATTTTACCCATTTAACTTCTCAGTTACAAGTGCATTATTTACAATGGCAGTACTGTCTGTACAACGAGAATGGGACACACTGAGCATGACTTTCATACGAATCAACCCTCGGAAACTCTTGAGTGATTAACTGAACGTTCCCATCTTCTTCTAACGCCATCGTCCCTTCATATTGCCCTTTACCCGGACTGACGCTGAATTTTACCTGATAAATGCATCATTAATTAATCAATTTTTTGATGCCTCACTTTGAATATTTTTGCCCCAAAGGTGGCTGGAGTTGTATATGCAATTGCAGAGTAGGGAATATCCTCGTCAAATGAAAGCTCTTCGCATTTTTCCCGCAGTCCGTTTTTCCACATATCGTCGTTGATCTTGGCGACGATCAATCTTGCCGCTTTTTTTATGGTATTATTATCCGTGAAGACCTCGGTGTCATATTGACATAAACAAAACTCCAAGGGAACGCCCAGCTCAAAACAACTGTGACGTTCTGGAATCGGATGAAACAGCGACTTTCCCAGAATTTTTTGTTTGGGAAATTTAAATTCGGAGCCTTCCAAATCCCCGTCATAAGCGAAGAACGGCAGCTGAAAATATGAAAATATTTTTTTCGTTTTTAAAATACATGTGGTGATAAAACTATTAAAACATAATACTACTAAAAATTTCCTAACCTGGCTGATTTCAAGCCAAGTCGCATAGAGGTCGTAGAAAGTCAGTAATCTTTTTGAATTTTCTTTCAGGATCTTCCTAATATTCCCATGGCGCCGTATATTCTTTGGCAACACCATGGTCAACATGGGATTCATCTCTTCCAGCAGTCCGACGGCAGTTTGCCGGATTGGATCAATTCGATTTCCGTGATCACTCGTTATAAAAAAGAAGGAATCTTGGAGCTGAAAGACATGTGTAAATATATTTATACGTTCTACTGACTGCTCATGATATACATATAACCCCCTTACATCATCGGCCATTGTTTTGAAGAATTTTAAAAAATCCTCATCGGTCCGATAGAGCGCACTGCCATTTTCATGGGCCAACGTCGTCATCCAGGTGAACGAAAATTTCGGGATCCCTTCGTACTTGCCCACGAATTCTTTGATGTTTTCGAAAATATGATGATGCGATTCTTTACAAGAATTGGCATACAAATTCTCGCTGACATTCGGCTTGCTAAAGCGGTTGGAGCCGTTAGTTAGCTGGACGTATGCTCTGTAATATTGAAAATAAATTTGCGATTGTAAAAAAATACGTCTTCCATACTAAGGAAAAAACTCTGACAGCTGAGCCTCACTAAATACTTACTTATTGCTGTGATTAGCGTAGGGCCGTTGAAATCCTTTGCAATTTGGCCAAGAAAAGGCGCCAAATTGCCAATCCTCATTGACCATTGTCACATAACCTGCTTCATTGAAATGCTTCCCAATGTAATTGTACTTGTCAATCCACTCATCGCATAATTTTGACTTGAATGCAGGTGCCGAATAAACCCCAAATTTGTTTTTGTACATCTCCACGGGCTCATCTGAAAATTAATTTCTTTCGTCTTAATTATCCTCTTTTTTTGATATCCCTTCAATTTTTGCACTTTAAAACTAAGATTGATGAGGCCCGTCAAGTCCAATAAAAAATCGTGGGAAGCGTGCTGATTGAAAATAGTTTCTTTGGCCAAAGGATTGTCAAACACCCTACAGTAAACAACATAGAGATCGAAGATTGCTAGGGCAAAAATAGATTCGATAAAACTTTTCCAACAACGGTAATGGTGGGTTGACTTACTGAGTAAGAAGGCATAGGCATTTGGTCGGCTGTTGAGGGAGACCTTGGACAAATATGGGAATTCGATCGCTTGAAATTCCCAATTTAGGAACGTCCTCGTCAACTGCATGCTTCGGATGTATTGCGAGTGGGAGACAGAGTCAAGTAGCAAAATGTGCACGTTATATCTGGGTTCTCCTTCAGCGGGAACGTGCCTAAAGGTATGTGTTTACGTGTAGTCCTACAATAAGTTTTGCTGTGTATTTACAAGATTTGAAGGTCTTAAGGACGAATGGCGGAAATTTTTGTAATTTTTATCACCTACTTTTCATAAACTTGAGCATGAACATGTTCGTATACTACGCGTCCATTTCTATCACATCTGACTTCCACTACATCGCATTTAGGATAGGGTGGATCATCTCTGTTTATATCTTGCCAGTCTGTGAAAGTAACTTCTCTATCGTTTACATGCTCAGCACATCGGTACTGACAATCAGCGTCGTTAATAGCAACGGTTAATTTTCCCCATTTCAGTTCACTTTTCGGCGTGAAAGTTACATTGCACTTCTCATTGCGAAGAAACGGATTCAGATATTGCCGGATACTTGGGTCAAAAGGGTCTAACTGGGGTATCTTACATTTTTCATTGAGTAGAGTTGGAGGCTCATAGAAGGGCTGTCCTGAAGATTGTAAAAATATTTACTGAAGCTTTGGAAGTCCGAAATTTCTTACTCAGAGGAACAGTATTCACCAAATTTCTAGTACAATATTGATAAACAAAGTACAGGACAACATTCACAGTTAACAGAACTACTAGAACCTTTGCCAGGCCGCCAAGTTCCAACGCTTTCATGTTTTGTTGAATAGCGGTTTATTTTGTTCGACTCCCGCAAAATTTGATATCATCTTTGTCGTCGAACTCGAATTTTCACGACGAGTAATAAGCAAGATCACGCAGATAGCGGGATTTATTCAAAACCGCCAGAGAATTTTACGCATTATTGATAGGGGAACGGATGTAAAATTGTTCGCTAAATTTTTTTTGCAGTCGAACTTCCTCAAACTTTTGCAGAACCGGCGATGAGATGAAAAAACTCAGTTTATACTCTTGGACAATCCATCCTGGGAAAATTGCGTACATGGTTCTTCTGTAAGCTATGTATGCAAGTATAATATATAATAAAGCTATTTAACAAGGAAAGTACTTTTATGGGGGCTCCTACTTTTTGACAGGACATATCTCAAAAAATCAGAAAAAATGTGCTGATCAAGGATATATAAATCCTAGCTGCCCATTTTAGGTTTTTAGGGGTGAAAACTCATTCGGAAGTTGACTTAAAGTCCTGTATGAACCACTTTTCGCTTGCTAAGATTTATATATATCCTTGATCAGCACATTTTTTCTGATTTTTTGAAATATGTCCCGTCAAAAAGTAGGAACCCCCATAAAAGTACTTTCCTTGTAAATAAAATCCCAAATAGCGATTTTCGGTGCACAAAAGAGTGGACGCCTAAATCGAAAAATTGGCGTCGACTTAAATCCGGTGAATTTTTCTAAGTTTATCGAAATCAGTGCACAAAGTCTTAAGTCTGCACCGAAGACTTAAGTGCTTAAGCCGCATTTCGGAATTCGGTGCTGAAAAAATTAAGTCGACGCCAATATTTCGATTTGGGCGTCCACTTTTTTGTGCACCGAAAATCGCGATTTGGGAAAAAAGTTTTTTTAATATTTATATGACCACCTTGATATGAAGCAAGAACGGTTCCTACAACAAATTTATAAAAATAGAAACAATCTTCTTTCCTATGGAAAATAGTCGAGATTCCGTGACAATCCCGACTTTTCTCGTCTCATCTTCTGAACGGGCATTACAGAACCATCATCTTCGAGTACAATCGATTACATGAACGTCACTCAAAATTAGAGACATCTCTCTTGTGAAAAGAGGAGAAAACGCATTGAAATGGGATCATAAAGTGAAGGGAAGACTTTCCAGATCTCACGAAAACTTATGGTTTTTCGCATAACCGGAACGAACGCTCGGCCCTATTGTTTCCTTCAATTCAATCAAATCGGCCGCTCGAACCGTGCCGGAACAATCTCAAAGGACCTGACTTTTGTCAGGGCTTTTTGTGCCGATCAAAGAATGGTCGACCATTCCATCCGCTGTAATGAGGGCCAGCTGTCTTTGGTACGAGTTATTGCTGGTCCGCCCATTGGTGGACAGCTTTCGATTGGTATATAAACCGAACTGTTGGAAGGGTGATAATAGAACGGACTGACGATCAGTTTCGGACTGCAAATCAATTCATAATGGCTGACGTTCGCACTCAACTTCTTAACTCGATGGATTCGGTTCATCTGGGAGTAACTCAGGCCGACAAACAAGCGGGCGTTGACTTCTACAAACAGTAAGTTCTTGACACACAATGTTACCGAAATACATATAATTTTGCATGGAGCACTACCTTATTTATTTGTTTGTAGCCTTTTCACCAGCGCCCCTCAAGTCCGCCAATACTTCAAAGGAGCTGAAAACTACACCGCCAACGATGTCGAAACCAGCGAAAGATTCCACAGACTCGGCCGTCGTCTTATTCTTGCCCTCCACTTCATTGCATCCAACGCCGACCATCCAGAGACCATCAAAGCCTACGCCCGGGAGCAAGCCATCTTCCACCATGGCTTCAAAATGGACCCCGCTCTCTGGAAGGCCTTCTTGGACATCTGGATCGCCTTCTTGAATCAGAAGGGCCCTGTTCCTCAAGCCACTATTGATGCCTGGTCCAAGACATGGCCCATCTTTGCTGAGGAACTAGTCAACCACGACAAGACTCTTTAAATATTGTGCTGAGTGTGGTAAAGGGAGAAACACCGAATTATTTTAAAGTAAATGAATAAACCCAATTTACGCTTTACTAACGTGGATTTATTATGTCCTTCTAATGCATAAAACAGAGATGAAATGTGATATAAATTGCAAAATCGATGATTATTTTCAATCGTGTCCAACTCCGATCTCCTTGCCATATCGAACGCACTCCTCAGCGAAAATAGTGCCGACCTCAATCCAATCCTTCTTTGTCTGCTCATCCACAGGTCCTCGGCTGGCCAAATATCCAAGCCAAACGTCAAAGAATGCTCTCCACAGAGCGTGTTGCATCTTGAATGGGCGATGGCGGATAACTTGTTCTCGAGCGTAGGCCTTTATAATCTCGGGCTGATCAGCATTGGTAGCAAGGAAGTGGCAGGCGAGTATCAAGCGTCGGCCTTGTTTCTCAAATCGTTCGCTTTTCTGGACATCATCCGCAGTGTATTTCTCAGCTCCTTTGAAGTAGACGCGGAGATCAGGGAAGTTGGTGAAGAAGCTGAAAAACAAAAACACCAATTTTCCAATATAACCGGTTTTACTAACCAAAACAAATCTCTGATTATCCACTGAAAGTCAACTTACTACTTATAGAAATCCTTTCCAACTTGTTCATCATTAGGCCCAACAGTCACATTATGGAGTGAAAGGGAAGAAAGCAGCCGTTGTCTAACTTCAGTCATCTTGGAATAAAGTCTGAAATACAGAGCAATACATGGCGATTTTATATACCCACAAAACAACGCGTAAATTCTCTGTCGAAACCATCAATCTACTAAGAGTCACGCAGAAACCGCCCGCTTTGTTTGAAAGTTTAAAGACAAGAGATCAAAGTTAAAACAGAAAAATTGCTTGGGAAGGTTTATTTCGCTGAAACAAGCTTGTTTTCATCAAGGCCTTGTTTCACATTTATGGTACATTTCCAGTATGATACATGCGGTTAAAAGGGGCTGTGGCCCTCTCTCTGTTTACACACATAAATTTGATTACTAGAATGCAAAGTAAGCTTCCTAATTGCTACACCTAATAAGATTTATGATACGGTAGCTGAAAATTCACCTGCGGATGTATAAATATTATGAATCTTAAATAGAATTAAATTTCCATGAAACAAGCAAAAGAAATCGTCCCATTACAATGCCAACGGATAAGTCATCTTCCAGACACTCACAGAAAAAGAGGTAGATAATTAAACCTTTCTTTAACCTAAGATACCCGAATTACAAATCAAGTTTTATTGCGTCTATAATATTTACTTATACAATGAGCAGTTCAAAGACTCACTTCAGAAGCGTGAGCACCGTGAAGCCTCGACGAAGCCGAGGTCAAGAGAACACAAATGCAACTGTTGTGTCTCTTATTTTAGCTCATTTACTTGTCTACCTCCCTTAATCAACCGTACTTGCGGATTCCCTCTCTTTTATACGCCGAACGGACAAAGACCAACTACGTCACTCAAACATAAAATACTTTTGTGTCGCTGTTAAGGGATAGGTGGGCGCTCCTATCGTGCTGTCTTGCCCTTTTCGGGGATTCGACCGATCAACGGGCCGGTCGAATAATAAACTCTACGTACCGAAAACAAAAACAGAGCATGGGACAGAGGCACTGCTGTAATCTAAATTGTTCATTCCAAGGACCTTCTGATCTTGCGACGGAAGATTGTAGTTTACTTTTAGTCATCTTTTTTTTTGGGGAAAGTTACCCGGCGTTGGCTGAAGAATTCTTTGAACTGTTTCAGCTGGAGTCAGTGCAAATCAAAAGCTCAAATTAAAGGATATTCGTCGTGTTGAAGAATAGCTATTATTAAACAAACTATTAGTATTTAAAATTCCCGACATCAAAAAAATTACAGAAATTTAGTTGTACTCTTCAAAGTTGGGTTTAAGAATGTATTAGGTTGTCCCACAAATAATGTCGTTCTTCAAAAGGTTTTTTGTACAAAGAAATTTACCGTAATAACGAGAATATTTTTGATCAAGATAATCACCATGTGTTATACCACGCTATTGCAACGCGTTGAAAGCATTTTTTTTGTCAGCGGCTTTGAAACCCCGGCTTCTGGAGCCGCTGAAACTTTTGAAGGCCCACTCAACAGGGTCTTGATTGATAAATTCCCTACCACGGATGAAACCCATTTGATTCTTGGAAAGGTAGCAGTCTGTTTGAGACATGCCTAGCGAGTACTCCGGACGAAGGAGAGTCCCGTATCTCCATTAACTCAACTTCTGGAGCGTCGTCTTTACAACGTGGGGTTGCGCATCGTCGTCTCGAACTTTTGGAATTCCGCGGCGTGTTTTTAAAGGCTTATTCTGCCATAAGCTGCCTATCTGAATGCAGCATGACCCAGCATTTACATTTTGGCCAACTTTCAACGAGCTGCATTGTGAGATACCCATGCTGCACCATCCAACAGTGCCCATCACCCTGTTTATGGGGGGTCGCTTTGCCAAGTGCCCTGTTGGTACCCTCGGTGGACTCCATTGGGCACACCTGATTGTCGTACAGGATCTGCTCTTCATCACGGGTCTCGATCCGATCTAGAAAACCCGGCTCTTCGGATTGCAAAACGAACAAACGTGACACCTCGATTCTGTGGTTCGGTCCATTAATATGGGAAAAAGCTGCCGAGCATTTTGTGGAATTCCATCGACTTCCAACGGTTAGCCGCCGATTATTTCAACACCCAGACGATGTCAGAGACGCGTTGGATGTTGATTCTAGGATATCTGACAACTAATGGGTAAATTCAGGGTAAATTCATAAAGTTCAGATGCTGGACTTTATCTTTGGGTCCCTCACCGTCAGATCGAAATTTTTTGAACCATCGTTTCACCGTGTTCATACTCACATCAGACTCGCCGAACACGCCGTTGATATTTTGTGTAACTCCTGTAACTTTCATACCCTGTTTTTGCAGGTACAACACGGCGACACGAATCGGCTTTTTTTTCATAATTTTGGATAAGGGCTAAAAAAGTTTAATTTGATCCAAATTTGACAAACGATATATCGAACGAAAGCTTGACTTCTCGACTACAAAACGATGCAATATTGCAATATTTTATTGTCGTTTACCTTTTTTACAGACTTTGGAAACTGCCCCTCTCGAAAACGACATTATTTGTGGGACAACCTAATATATATTCAAATTACTGCGGTGTACTTATCCTTTTGTGTTTGGTTTGCCGTTTAAAGCCTGCTTTTAGTTTGCACTTAACATAAGTATTGCAAGTCGATAGGGTATTTTCGTTTTTTGTAGCAGAGAACATTCCAACCATGAAGGCACAGATTGAACCCTGTTAATCCTACTTCCGCATGTCTCTTTATCTCAGTTTTACTGTTGACCTCAACAGATTCTTTTTTTATGTCAGCAGGAGTAAATAAACGTGATTGGAGGGAATTTACTCTTTTCGTTTTCCTTGAAATTGCAGATAATTAAAAAACGAAAAACGTGCTCCAAACCAGGCAGCGAACCCGTTAAACTTACAGATTTATGAGTAAACCACAGAAAATTTTGTAGTTTATGCGCACAAAGAGACCCACAACTTCAACACGACGTTTCCAATGCTCTTTCTAAAGTTCAGTCCGCGCAAAAAGCTAATTCAAAAATTAGCAAAATGGAGAATTCACTCTCATTACAGCGCTATGGGGTTAATTGTGCCTATCCCAACATAATATTATGTTAAGCTCCTATTGTAATGAGTGGGTTAAGGCGATTGATTGTTTTGTTTTTTACAAAAATTTATACAAAGACAGTTGTACTTTCTTCTAAAAGTATAAGGTAAGAACATTGTGTAAATTGTCCATAAAAGAAATTGTTGTAATCCCACCCAGGTCAGCAATTCAAATCTTTGAAACATCATCTCAATTTTGAACCCGGACCAACCGCAATTTCAAGAACCGACATGCAAATCACCGTAAATTCGGATCTTTAATTTCCTACGATACAAATGTCAGAACGATAATAATTAAGACTCTGTGGGTGGTAGTTCACTCAAGCTCGTCAACGCATCAAAAAATGTTTAACTAAAAATGTCAAAGATACGCATATAGCAAGGGGAAGTGGAAAGTACGTAAACACAGATCGGAGATTAGGTGTAATTTTATGAAAAAAGAGGTGGGTAGAGTTCTGTGAGTTACCGAGATCGTATGTCAGCCAGGAAAAGCTGATCCTCTTTCCAAGTCAGTGAATTGCATCATGTTGTCAATTTTCTTAACAACGGGGTGCTGGAAGCATATGAAAGTACATGTACTTTGGAATAATAACCTTTGCCAGTTTGTCAGTTCTTCATCTTGTTTTTGCTATATAGGTGTTTATCGTGGCTGTGTTATTTATTATATTACCACACCGACTTTGAAAATTGAAGTACTTGCCAAGGAGCATAGAGTTTAGTCTGGGTGATGCTTAAGTACATAACCACCCACATAATCCTCACCAATTCGAACTAATGTTAACACTTTTAGCAATGGCCTTTTCATACACATCCCTTCATCCAAAATACTATATTTGAGATGTATAACAAGCTGTAAACAAATCGTTGTTTTCAACTCATTACATGGGCAGTTGTCTTTGTCGTAGATCAAACTGGACTGGTTGGCCCGTTTCAACGGTGACTTTTGATTCGCGCCTTTTCCGACGTGGGAAACGAAATGTTTAAAATTTTTTTATGTTCTACGGCAAAAACAAAATTTAGGCCCATTATTAGTATAAGTGCTATCAAGCTACATTTGTTCGCTTTGTTTGTCCCGTAGTTCAAAAACTTTAAAAAAGAAGGCGTGTGCAAAAAAATCATTGTATAACTTTCAATATAATATATGTAAATGTAGTATTGCATCCATTGAAACCTATTTCAAAAGTTCCATTTCATGCATAACGGCCTAGAACATGTATCCGCTTTGATGATTCGCTTATTTGGCATTACAGTAGACTTCTTCACAACAAAAAATATAGTGGGCTTATGTGTATGAACCTTATGACATATCGCTGCCACTTAGACCGTACTGTCTCTAAATGCCTCTCACACCTTTCTTGGTTGGAATAATTATAATATACCGTGATGAATCTTAATAACAAAAATCGCACTTCCGACAGCAGGGAGGTGCTGAACGTACTTTGGAGTATGTCTTTTTCTCATTTTTATGATTATATTTTCTGCAGAATCACCCATGCAAAGATTAGGTCAATGGGGAATGCAGAGGGCATTGGGTGGTCTTTTTTTGTTTATCTATCTACCGAAGATACTATTTTACTCGTAATTGTGTAGTTCTCTCAAGAGACAATTACCCCGTACGTGATTTGTTTGACCTGTACGGTTCAAAATAAGTAGGACTTTTATGAACCTCCCGGCCCACACAAAGAAAACTTTTTGACTCGGTGGCTTCTCAAAACCTGACGAAAGGCCAGTTTCATCATCTGAGAAACACAGAGAATTAAGAAAAATTTGCTTTTGTATTCCTCAACATTTTAATGTTCCCTGCATTTCGTACAATCCGCCTTCGTGATTCGGCCCGCAATAATCCCAAAGACTGTTTATATCCTCCTTCTTTCTAAGCTCATTGTAAGCAATCCTCGAATAACATTTGATTTGATGCCCCAGGCAGTAGCGGGTTTCTTTCTTATGTTCATCTTACTGTTGATAATTTTTTTAAAACTGCCTCAACCATAAATCAGATATACTGTATATTGTAATGTGCTACGTATTTGCATGACATGACCACGCAGTTTTACTTTTAAGTTTATATGGTTCTGTCTTTGAGAAATTTGAACCTGATACTACAACGAACTATAGTATAAATATAAACAGCACTTTATGTATGTTTTTGGTAATTTGAGAGCTTGTTTTTTCCATGAACTTAGTTCAATAGATTACTGTGGACAGAAATCTGCAAGCTGGGTATGAAAGCGCTAATAAAGTTCAAATTTGGGCAACGATGACCAAGCGTTCACCTTACAGTTACAGCTTGCTCGTTATGGAAGTTTTGAAAGTTAATGTGTAAACAAAAAATTTTGGAATTGAAGACAAGACTGCTTTTCGAAGCTATTTATTTCTACCATAATGCCGCTGTTGACAGCACAAGATTAAGATTTGTGAAAACTGAGTTCACAGGGCCTGCTATGGTCGAAGTTTCAACCAAGGTTCAGAAAATCTTATACGCCTTTCCTGGTCTTATTGAGAAAATTCTCTAAAAAATCATTGTTTTATACGCAAAATTCGAAACGGCATGGCCAAAGTACCGTCTTAAACATTTTGTAAATCTTGCCGTCCAGCCATGCTCTCGAACCTTGACTTTCTAATTACTTTTTACTTTCACCGCTTTTTACTAGTAAATACTACTCATTAAGTCATCATAGCAAGAGATCAAACACTGTATTGGTCTGAGTTTAACTAAATTGCCGCATGCAAGGCACGCCCCTTTTGCATAATATTGGGTAAAGTATATACCAGGTCAGTCTCAAAAATTGTCGCTGTCGCAACAGCAATCTCTGTCGAGTTCCTTGTTTCGAGATTAATGATTCAAGTTTTTCGTCTTGGAGCCTAAACTTAATTACGTACACCCGTCAGACCCTTTCAAAAACATTCTAATTTTGTTTTCAATTCCCTCTGACTGCTATTCAGCTGTTTTCTCGGTACGGAATGTTGCGATTTGCCAATTGCTTTAGCGTTTGAGGTTTGGTGTATGTGTTCCAGGTTAACTTGGAGATTCTTTCAGAGAGGAATCATGGAGGTATACCTCTTCGAACCCGAAAAGTACAATCTACTGTACAACTGCTCATTTTATGATTGGAATATCATCCCAAGAGAAGAAAGAAGACACCGGTTTCTGGCGGTGATACTGCTCTTCTTCTACTTCGCCACCATTGTAAGTAAAAAAGCATCAGCATTATTTAGCGAAGACATCATTTTTTTGGGCGAATAGACGCGCACTGTGCAGTTTCCCAAAACATTTTAATTTTAGTCTCTGTACGTTCCCTGCCTTGCTGCCATGATGTCTTCCGAGAACCGTCGACGCTCCAGCTACCAATTGATGTTTCTCCTCGGTTGCATGCACATCTGTGGCCTTCAAACTTGCGGGTTGATGACTGGAATCCATGGGTATTATGGTCACGTCTTCTGTGATTTCCCTCGCGAAATGTATTTCTTCGGTTCGATGGGAGTCTGTAAGTCCAATCTGTTCGATTACAATTTCTTCACGTGTTTTTTACATCAGTCCCTGTATATTACAGCGGACTAATTGAAATTGTTTTAGCCATGTGGTGTGCCAGCACGATGACATCATTATTTTTGGGTATTAATCGGTGCGTGGAATTGTTGAGTGTCTATTGGGCTGACGTTCTGTTCGGAGGGTACTGTAAATTGTTCTGGATTATCACTCCAATCGCATACTTCTTCATGTTCTTCTTTTTCACGCCTAGTGCGTTTTTCAATGGCCAAATGATGACTTGGTTTTTCAATCCGCATTATGGCTATTACGAGGATGTGGATCTACGGGTAAGATTGCAAAAAGACGAGGCAAAATACATGTAGGATATGAATACATACCCTATTTTTCAGTATGAAAGCTTCTTTCACTCCGTCAACAATTTGTTTGTGATCGTCGCCCATTCCGGGGTTTATGTCCTCTTCTTTTTCATCTACATTCGACGAACCAGAATGGCGCAAACTGAGAAAAAGCTGAGGGACAACTCGGTAAGTTTAAAACAACTTCTAATGTCAAATACAAAACCAACATCTGCCAACCATCAATTTCCAGACTTATATCCAAATTCTGCTCCTCGGACTAATCCATCTCATTGCCGCCATATCCTACGTGGTAATCCAGTACCTTCCAGTGAATTTCTACTCAACATTGGTTGCGTCTGCAGCTTATTTAGGATCGCATGGTAAGTTATCTTCTCCTTGATGATGTCCAAGGTAAAAAATATTCAAACCTCGCGATTTCTTTGCAGGCATGCCTCCATTGATCTACATATGCTGTAACAAGACGATACGAATGTGGATTCAGCGGAAAATATTTGGACTTCATCAAAAAATTGGCAACTCTGCCGAATTTTCAAAGTTCAGATCTCACCGAGTGTCGTCAGAAGGTGCGACAAATCTACATTGATCTCAAATAGAATTGATCTCGCAACAAAATAAATGCATAATGCATAATAAACATAAGGAAATAAACCTTTACTAAACATATTTTATCATAGATAGTATCTGAATAACTATAAAGTCATCGCTATTTCTTCGCAATAGGTTCCAGGTTGCTAGAAGTGATTCTGGAGCGGCTTCGCTCGCTAGAGGCGCTGGAACTTCGGCTTCTTCTTTTACGAGATTTTGAGAGAGAGGTCTGAGAAGAAGATCGAGATCTGGAACTCAGACGAGAAACCGCAGTTTCGTCCTTCATTCGGGAAAGAACACGCGAAAAGCGGTGATTTTGGAACTCTGGAAAAGGGACAATCACTCCAGTGGGTTCAGTGTAGCTTCCAGCGAGGCAAGTAATCACCATTAGAAGGCCAAAGATGTAGAAGACCCTGAAATTAGATTAAATTACGCAATTTTGAGGGAACTTACGCCGTAATAATCAGAATGCAAAAGAATTGCTTGCTGTAGTACCATCTTTCCTGCATTAGAGGCGCCTGATCCAATCTGTTCTAAAAATTTATATTTAGGTAATAAATCTAACAAAAAAAAATTTTTTCATAATATTTGATCGAATAACAAATAACTCACAACAACAAGACTAACTGGGCAAGTAGAAACCGTTTGCTTCACCGTAATTTCCTTAACTTCTCCAGTCCATAGTTCAAAAAGGCATGAATGCGGAAACGTTGACCTGCCTCCCTCTTCCTCGATGGAAACAAAAGTCCGGAACACGCTCACGTTGAATGACACCTCTCGAAGAGAAATATTGTCAGTTGTACCTAAACTTAAAATACAACCAAAAATGTTTTTGCTTACCAGTTAGAATAGCCGCTCTGCTTTTGCCATCAAGGAAGTAGCGCGTGTCGACCGTGAAAAGACGGCATTCACCCGCAAATAAACTTATCTTTTTGGATTTATTCCTGAAATTGAAATTGGAGCAAAACTTGGGCCTAAGGAGAAAATAGGTATGTTATACCACACATTACTTACAAACCACATTTCATCATCGGTTCCATCTTAAAGAAAACATAGCCGTGGTTCAACTTTTGCTGAGTGTACAATCCAAGCTTGTGATCTTGACATAATACATCAATCTTCCTGTAATACAACAGCTATTATATATTATACATTGCCAGCCAAAGAAAAGGTTCAAAAAAAATTTAAAAAAGGTTCAGAAACTTCTCTGAACCATTTAGGGACAGTTATTAGCACTTACACATTCCCGTCATCTAGCTCTGACCGGGACTCGCAGTATGCGGACGTTCTTATTGCATTCGCATCAACATCTATGGAAATCCCGATCAAAAATGCAACCGTAAAGAGAAGCAGCCAGCTCGATACCATGGTTTCTCGTTGGAATGACCATTTTTGCAGACTTTTTCCATCAAGAAAGCAAAGTGCGCAAAAAATTTACATGAAATTTTTGTAGGTTTTAATTTGTCGTATAAAATGGTGCTGCAAACTGCAGTTTTTTTGTGGGCGCAGGTTGCGAATAACCTATTGCCGAAAAAATATTTTTACAGAGCTTTTTTGCAAATTTGGCGTATTTGATCGAGAATGTAGCTGAATTTCGTGGTTTTTTATGTTTATCTGATATGGATTTGTTTTAGGAACTTCAATTTTAAAATGGGTGTAGCGAAGCGTGTCCAGCCGAAGAAACTGAAGGCCAAATCAACAGTTCGTTTGGATAACAAGTTTGCACAGAAACGTATTGTGTTCGACGACGAAGAAGAATCAGAAGAGACTCCAGAAGTTGTTCGGAAGCAGATTCAGAAGCCCGAAAAGAAGGGAAAGAAGACTCTCACTGCAAAGGATTTCTTGAAGGATGCTGCTGTTGATAAAGATGATGGCTCTAGTGATGAGGAAGTGAATGTTAACAGCAAAGTTGGCCAAACCAAGGCAAAAGGGAAGAAAGCTGACGTTGGCGCTCAAAAGAAGGTCGTGAAGAAGGTTGTTATAGAGAAAAAAGAAGAATTAGACGACGAGGAGGGTTCGTCAAGCGATGTCAGGCAGAATGTTGCGACTAATAAGGCTGGGGTAAAGAAAGCCGCAAAAGTTGTCAAGGATAAAAAGGTTAATAATAAAGTTGCGGAAAATGGAGCAGCATCAACTCCGGAATCTGCGAAAAAGCAGAAGAAGTCCAAGAAAACCGACAAGACTGAAGAGAAAGAGCATAAACCTCGATTTGACTACAATACGGCTACAGATCGGACTGTTTTTGTTGGAAATGTGAAGATGGAAACGAAAAGAAAAACAATTGAGAAGCTGTTCAAGCCCTATGGAGAAGTTGAGGCATGTTATAAACGCTCTTTGCTTGGCAAAACTGAGAAGTTGACCAAGAAAATGTTTGGAACCGATAAGAAATTGAACAAATCTGTAAAGGACGCCACCTTTTATGTGAGATTTGTGAAGGCGGAAGATGCCAAAAGAGCTCTTGAAGTGTAAGTTCTCTTTTTTTGTTTTTCGGGTTTTAGAGAAAGTAGGCGACACATCAGGATGTAATTCCCTTTCTTACACGCCTTTTTTTAGCAACGGAACCGAGCTTGACGGCCGTATTCTTCGAGTAACCATCAGTTCTAAGAAGCAGGTCGATTCATCCAGGTCCGTTTTCGTTGGAAATCTTCGACGAGAAGTCACTGAGCAAGAACTCTTTGACTTTGTCAAGGAACATATTGGAGCTCCGGAGGCCACCAGAATTGTTCATGACAAATTTACTGGATTTGGAAAAGGAATCGGCTTTATTACTTTCAAAGACGCCTCACAAGTTCCATTGGCATTGAATTTAACTGGTCAAGTGCTGAGAGGAAGGCCAATTAGGGTGACGAAGATTGCGAAGAAGAATCAGGTAAATTTTGAGCTTGAAGAAATATTTTGATGTCGGATTTGACCATCGATTTTTTTTTATTTCAGCGACCGGTGGCTCAACTGAAGGATCTCAGAAAGAAGGGAGCTAAGATCGCCAAGAAACAGGAAGAGAATAATTTGAAACAGAAGCTGGCTAACTACACCATCACCAAGAAGACTCAGATCGCTGCGACAACAACCAAAAAGATTTCAAAGAAGGCGAGGAAGGTGATCCAGAAGAAGAAGAACAAAAAGTCCAAGTCTCTATTGGCTTAATGCAACGAATTTTACTGTTAACTGTACTTGTTATTTGTTGATCAGTTGTTTTTGTTATATTAATCTAAAAAATGTTTTATATTCAAATGTTTCCGGTGTTTTTTTTTTTGATTTTTTTCGAAAAATCTGCAATTTCCGGCGCACGAAGGGGACACTCAAGCGGAAATGTCCGAATGAATAAAAAACGGTACAAAAAGCGGAAGCGTTTTTTTCGGTTCGGCGGGTTGTACTGTAGGCCACCGGAAATGGTCCGGGCCACAAACTTTGACTCAATTCAAATTTTTTAACGCTTCTTTGGAGCACTTGACATTGTAGCAGAGAGTATAGACCATAGATCTCCCAAATATTGGCGTTTTTAGCTTTGTTTGTATTCGCTGTCATCGTTTTCATTAATCCCATTACAATTTCAGAAGTAATTTGTGAGTGATTCAATTTTGGAAATTGCAGTTGATTGGGTGTTTACAACTGTACAAAAATTTGTTTGCGGATAGGTTAATAATCACTGACGGAATATTTGAGAGGAGGGGCACTTGTAAGAGGCTTATCTTGGGCGGAATTCCACAATAAGCGGATAAGGGAATGCCGCTTATATCCCGTATGGTCGTCGTAGATGGATGTTTGTTTGTATTTTGGGGTGAGGTGGGTAGTCGGCCGAGTACCTTCATTTTAAATGGCCGCTAATGTTAACGATGATGGTATTCCTGCTTGTAGGATATTCATTTTTTCCAGCGAATTCTTTGGAGATCCTATTTTTGGGATTCCTCGACAGGATACCCCAATTTCTCGTCAATTCAACACATTTTGTTTATCAACGTGAATATCTTATATATGCAAATGTAAGAAGCTCGGTTTGATTCTTCAAGGGAACGTTTGAAAAGCCGGGCCTGGTCAGATCTTTTTGTTTCTTCGTAGCATCAAGCTTCTGAATCTGCTACTTGATCCTATGGTTCCGAAGACAGCTTTTGTCATCATTGTTCTTCTCATGTTATCTTCCATGCTTCTTTGCGAGCTTCTTCATGCAACTGAGGTCATCATTTTTCCTTTTGCTTTGCTTCATCCAATTTATGTTAGCGTTTGCCTTTTCTTTGTTGATTCCTGCTGAACCGTAATTGCGCGCTTTGAGTCTTCACTTGATACCATCAAATTCGGATTCCCCGATTTTTCGAACCTCATTTCTTCACGTACTCACTACCATTTCCCCTCGGGTTGTTTCCGGTTCGGACTGGCCTCGCGTGACTTGGCCTAGTTGTTGGACTTTTGGCCATTTCATTTACTTGAGACGGAAGATTACGCAATGCCATTCCGTGCAGGTAGGTGGGAAGCGAAAAACGGAAGTCGTTGGGGGAAATTGTAAAAACAATTCATTTGTATAGCCCCAACTACGATCCCCCGAAAACGCATCGAAGTTGCTGTTTATAGGCAAGAAATTGTAGGATAATGCGGTGGATATTGTTTTCCTATGAATAATTTAATGTTCTACGCGAAAATTGAAACGTCGTAGTTTAACTGGGTCAGTGAGGCATTGAGGCTACTGTAATGAAAATGGAAGTCTTTAAGGCGCTAAAAATCGCTACGATATGGCCCTTCAAACTTGATCATTTCCCCTTTAACATCAAAGATTTGATTTCTGTTCTCTACAAATTGGCTCTAATCGACATTGTACTCAAATTTGTAGGTGAAGGGTCTATTTTTGCGTGCGTTTGACGTCAAACGCCTTGGCCTAAAACGGGAAGGCGGAAAATGAAGCCGGAAACCACCTTCTTATACTATGACATGGCTTTTGAAACAGTGCTCTATTATTAGTGCGAGAACGGAGACGGAATTCGTAAGGCGAGGAGTTCAGAATTTCGGTGGTCAGGATGTGTACCGGCATGGGATTGGAAGGTGCTTGTATGGCCAAAAATAATGACTGTAATGCATTTTTAATGTTGCGGGTTGAGTCTGGAAAACAGGTCTTTTGACGTTATTGAAATGGTTCCAAATTCTAACAAATATGTCTGGCCAAAAAAGGTTAAAATATTAATATTTTAATATTACAGGAGGGTTGTAGAACCAGGCTAAAAATTTGAGAATAGATGTGTGGTCTTTTGGAAGGTGTCTGCAAAATTCTCAAGAAAATGAGAAAGAAATGACTGACAGGCTTCATGACACATATAGAATAGTCACATTTTAATGAAGGTTAGTGTAGGTATCGATAAAATTTTACAACAATAGTTTGTGCGGTTTTTGGCATGAGCTTTGCAGAAAAGACCATTATTTTTAGTCGGATTTTTCAGAACCTGTGTTATCCGGGAAGTAATAGGCGTTTGCAAACTTTCATGGAGAATCACTTTTTCAAACATATACAAACACCTTAAAAGTTTTGCTTACAGCTCGTGCTCTGTCAACTCTAAGTCTAAATCTTCCGATTTCCTTTTAACAAATTGAGTTTATCGAAGTTGTAGGTGTCTACGTGCAGACTCTTCTTTTGAAATCCCGAAAACAATAGCCCCCACAAAAGTCACTACCAAGTACGTCATCCAAGGAGTACTTTGAGTCCTTGTCGAGTAATTGGTTTACAATTTATAGTCTTCTCCCATAACAAGCCGATTTATAGGTGGCACCGTGAACATTCCGCGTTCATATGGTGCAACTAAGAAACGTTTTACTTTGTCATTGTACGATCCGCTGCGGCTGTTCCAGTAATTTCTTATGTATGTTCCGTAATGGCATTAAAATCCAATTTTATTGTTAATATAATCAGCAGTGTGTTACGAAAACATAATATGATTACCGGCCCTCCTTCTCCACCCAATTACCCCACATATTTCGAAGGCCAAAGAGACGCGATTACCTCAGAAATGCCGCCCCAAACCCGAGCTATTTAGTCATTGGGGAGGGAGTCGGTTTGCAGCCTTAAAAATAGGCATTGTTTATTTAATAATGGTTATTTTGGAACTGGAATTAAGACTTTGAATTCCTTCGGGGATGCGAAGTGGGAGGAGGAACGGGCAGTTAAAAACCCGCGCATTTCCCCCACTTAGCCCAGTGGAGATGTGAATTATGAGTGATGGGAATGGAGCTGTTTTTCCGGCATGTTTATACAAAGCGATGGGAATTTTTAGAAATTGGGGGTGGGATTATGGACTCTGTGGGTGGTGGAGTGGGAGAGGATGGATATGTGGTTCTGGCAGTTTGTTTACGGAAAGTTGTTGACAATGATCAGCAGGAAAATTGACAAATCAAGAGCCGAACTTAATGGCGTTCTTCTGTTAATCCATTTTTTAATTTATCATGTTTACGTAAAATGAACTGGTACTATTCTATACGTAATTTGGGAATTAATATGCTTTTTAATAAAATCTGGTACTCATGGGAATCCCCCTCACAACGTCCTCCGCAAGTTCTTATTCTACACTCTTCCTTCTTTGTATCAGTCTGTCGGGAAAATAACGGCGGATCGTCGCATCAAAATGTCTCGTCTCGCCGCTATCGCGCACCAAATCCCAAGCCGCGGCTTGCAGTGGCAAAGCGATGATGGGCGATTCCGAGGCGCGACGATCCGCCGTTATTTTCCCGACAGACTGATACATGAATATTTCGAACATCCATGAATTTCCCAATTTTTATGTAAAATTGAAGTCCTTCTTAATTGTAGTTGTTGTATTCAATTGACGACTTTCATGGCATCCAAATAGTCGTACAAAACATTTCCCGTCCAAACCCATTACCCTGAGATTTTTTTCTCTTTCTCTCAGGAGCAGTGTACGTACGTATTCTCGTTCATAACATGGTAAACTTTCTCGAGGGCAATTTCACAATTTCGAAACACTTTTACATATTTCCCTCCAAAATTGAATTTCGCTCTTCCTTCCTCGTTAACTCGATTGTTTCTATAAGAGCGACAACGGGTTGGCGTGCGGACGACATATTTGTTATTCAAATTTGAAACATTAAAGCGTAGGTGGTCTCCGAAACACGGCGACAACGCAAGAGCCGTGGGAGCGCCCATGTCTCCAGGCACTGTTTTCTGCCCTCAGGGCTCACATATGTTTTTGATATGCGTTTTCTGATTCCGTTCGACGTCACAAACGCGGAACCATGAAGCGTCGTTGTACGTGAATGGTCCGACTTCCGTGGAACATTTTATTTTTGGAAGTTGAACTTTTTGAGTTGTTCATTGAGTCCTGCTAATCGCCGGAGGGCAGTGACGGAAGATGGAGGAAGAGGAGCTATTATATATTCTAGACCGTGCTAATTCCGCCTCTCTATTTCGAATTACTAAGTCGTCGTAGACTATGTGGGAAGGCATACTGTGGCCTATAAAAATGAGTAAAAACTCAATGCTTTTATGTGGATAAAAAATATTATACTTTTTTGCAATAACTTTAGTCATAAAAAGTTAACATACTTCGAACTGGTTTGAAGTGATATGTTTACTTATCAATTTTACCTTCCATTGTGTACGTATTGAGTTCATAACTATTATTTTACACTCCTAGTGAGTGTTTTTCTTTTTGGTATTCATTTTCCCGACCAATTTTTTGAATGTCCATTACCATACCCAATCTCCTTTAAAAACCTCTGCCCACAATGCAAAGAAATCTGTCCCCCCTTTGCTTGTGACCCCGTTAAAAGTTTAGCGGTTCTCCCATCGTCGTTTTCTCCCCGCCAACTTCCGGCGGAATCGCGCTGTGGACTAATAAATTGTCGCTGTGAAGTCGTTAAAAATTCCCCGAGCCGTTCATCTTATGCAACGGAATCTGTGATGGATTCGCGCCATTTGTTCGCCGGAAGCGGGTCGTGGTCGTAAAACGCGTCGTTGTCCACGTACGGTCGCCCGACGTCCTTCCGTTCTCCAAAGATTCGCAATTCCTTCGCATTGATAAGTTCCGGAGCGCCCACGATTTGGTGGAAAGTGTTCCATTGCAGCTGTATAGCAGTGAAAAGCCTGCAAGTTGAGGAATCTGGGTTATGGGGGATTTGGTGTTTTGGTTTTGGGGAGCCTGTAAGATAGTAAGCTTAAATCAATGAAACATTTATACGCATGTGATTATTGATCAGATATTTCAAAAATCTAAAAATTCTGTGAACAGCTTTTAAGCTTGAAATCTGACTGACTTCCCCTCCAGACATATGTTCCCGTAATAGTGATAAAAAACGGAAAAAATTAATTAATTTACTCATTAAGACCGTATGAAACACTTTGCCAAAGAACAGTTAACCTCCTGCAAGCAAGTTCCTTTCCTCGAATTGTCATCATCGCCTTCAGACTTATCCTTGCAGAATAAAACAGTAATCCAACCTCCCACTCAAACATCCCAAGCATCCTCCCACATTTTCCATAATATTCACCTGATTAGACCTTTTCAAGGGGTTTTTGTAACCCTAATCTCCTTTGACCTGTTGGCCTTTGGTTTCTGAGAAGCGACAGAATTTCCGATGTCATCTAAACCGGCAGACTTGGACTTGAAATTTTGCTCTTTGCTCGTCTAAAATTTGAAACCGAGTTCCGATTTCAGAGTATTTTTAGGTGAATCTTAGTGACAAGAATTGTATTAAACATCTTTTCGGATATTACAATTTTTGAACCTCTGCAAAAAAACCGTTTTAAAACTCCAGTTTTCGGACCCGTTTGGCCATGCAACATTACAATATATTATAGTTGGTTGGACCCTCGTGTGATTCCTTTAAATCTTTTTTGATCCCTCCCAATCCTTACTTATGGTGTTTGTAACACATGGCTTGCGTGTCTTCTACAATACGTCTTCTGATTTCATTTGATTGGACCCACATTACAGCCGTTTTTTTTCTAAATTCCTCCTCCTTTTTTTGTGTTTTCGTTCCTTTGGCTGTTAAATTTTATAAGCTAGTAATTAGCAGCGTTCTTGCCCTCGGGCTGTTCATTCCGTGTTGTGCTCTGTGGCCACAGACGGCACACAGTTTATGGGCCTTTTGTGGGTTAATAATTACATCCTTCGGCGAGGACAATAAACATGGCTGCTAAGGGACCGGAAGAAAGGAGTTTTTTGTCTGAACTTGACGTGCTAATTGCGGGGTGTATTACGTAATTCCTTGTGAGTAATGGGAGTGATGAGGTATGTGTCGGGAAATGACTTGCCCCGAGGCGGCGAGCGGCGTTTTTGATAAGAAAGTGGGCGGATTTCTTTTTTGCGAAACAATTGAGGGAAGCGCCTTCGAGTGCAATTGTTCTTTGAATTCCCTTATTTTTAAACTTCAACTTGTTAGGGCACGATTTGCGATCTAATGAGGAGACTCTCGAGTTGTGAGATTTCCCTCCCCCAAAAGCCCGAAAGGACAATAGAGTGTTCTAGTTCTTGTTTTTAATCTGTTTTTATAGTTTGTTTTCTTTTACACTATTCTTGCGCCGTTTTACAACCTATTTTTCCAATTTCCGCTAAAATCTTGTCGAGTAATTGATAAAAAAGTAAGGTAATTACTTTCCAGCCAAGTCATTATGGCATCATAGGTAGTAGTGTTGCACTTTACTACCGGCGCTTTACTTGATTTCCCATAAGGAAAATTAGGTTTGAGAAATAAGAACCTTTAACGGAGGGAAACGGGATTACTGGAATCAAATTACCAGTATTCAAAGAGTGTTTCAGGAATACCCAACCCGGAACTCGGAGTCAAAAATGATGAAAGGACTTTAATCTTCACCCTCACATATTTTATGTATCTTCGAAGGGTGTTCTTATTAGCGATTCCACTCCCACATAATACAATACCTCTAACGATGGTATTCAGGCTATTTTGAGCCCGCCCTGGGGCTATTTACGAGTCCATCCCGAGTAGAATATAGTTCAACCGCGGGCAAAGTTTGTCCGGAGGTGGGGAGAATGTCTGAGCTGACAGGGGCGACTGATACTGTCACCGCCGTCAGTCTGTCTTCCTTTCTTCCTGTCCGTCACTTGCAAACAGAATTCTCCATTGCCAGACCAACCTTCAGCAACGCTTTTGGGGACCAAAATTTAATAAAAATGATGTCGACTCTTCGCCGCTTTTTATGAAATTATTCTTCCCGCCGATGACGGGGTTAGTCACCGTTTACCCGGGCCTTCTTCTCGAATAATAAACTAGATGTTCGACGCAAAGTCCCATGTCCTGTATGATGTGAGTGAGGGATGGGAAGCTGCAGGGATGGAGATTAGTTTCAAACCAAAGCCTGTGTTAATACCTCGTTGAGCCTTTATTTCCCATCATGCTTTTTGTTTGGGCGTAATCCAGCCAACTTTACGTTGGGCTGAAGGTTTTGAACCCTCTGTTTACAGTTAAACGAATCTGTAAACCATGTGGTTGTTGAAAAGAGTTCGGTTTGCTAATTAATTACAAGCATACTGTCAGATATGTATTCAATGTTGTTCACTGATAATCTTCTCAATTTGGGCGTATCAGAACCGATGACGTCCTTTCCCCCTCCTAATGATAATTGCTGCCAAACAAGGGCAGCAATATTTGCTCGAGTTGCTGTGTTTACAATTTTCCGAATATCTGTTTCCTTCACCAACATTTATTGCTCGCTTCCAACCCATTAATGTCCTAATCGGCGGAAAATTCTCCCCTGTGATTTTCACACGTTTCCCTGCTAAAAACACCAGAGGCGCCAAGGGTCCATCGATGGGATTCGTCGACATTCCATCGCTTTAAGATGCGGTTTCGAGTCGATTCGACAGCGGAGGGGCGAAAAAGCGAAATGTTTTCTCGTGGCGTGGTGTGCTTCGAATGGAATTCCATTCCCCATTTTTTCATCAATTAAAAAATGGATTTCGTTGAGCTCGCCCATTTTTCTTTTGTGGTGTTCCCACTTCCGGATGTTTTGTTATGCTCTCCCGCCTCCCCCTTGCATCCCCCCGTTCTGCCCTCGTTTCGTCCAGCTTTTATCCCTCAACACTCACGCCCTCCACCCCGAATATATCCCCTTTAATATTGCTACTAGACCAAACAAGGACTGAATGGATGAAGAGGACGAAGAAGGGGGCTGAAGTCACACAGAGTCAGGTGGTTGGACAAACAACGTCGTGAGCAATAAATGGGATGGAACAGGTGTTGTGTGTCCGGCTCGACCCCAGGCATAGGTCGGTACCCGCCCGAGGCCCCCAATTCAAAGGCGTGGGAGAGTTCTCTTCTCATTGAGGTCTCTCTTAAAACCATTTTTTATCCGCCGGCTACACTTTTGAAGTTTGTGTGTCCGTAGTACGTTTCCTAAAGATTGAGGACATTTGGGAGGGCCGGAGGACTTGCGTGGTGTCCGGATACGTCGTTTAATTTTATGGGAAATTAAAATTTATTATTTTTCCATATGGGGGTTTACTATAAATAGTATTTGTTTACTATAGAAAACTTCAGGAATATTTCCTCATTACACCAATTTCCACTTTTTTAGGTAAAATTTCGTTTTTCTGGCCCAAGCGAAAATAAGGTTTTTGCAGAATTCTGTCGTGTTGCTCATTTCTTTCATAAACCGCTTTTTCCTCGGATCATATTTTTCGAAATCCCGCATAGGGTTCAAGCGACTAGTGGCGTCAAATCGAACCATGTGATAGGGCCGACGATTATGCGTCATTTTGTGAAACCTCGCCCTCATTTCCATATCATTCTCTGCACTTAAACAGTAGGACATTCTCTACATTCTTGTTTTTTGCACACCGAGTCCCGTGGAAGTTAGTCCCCAGCCGGCTCCCTTAAGTCGGTTGGAAAAAGACCCCGGCTGGCCCGTATTTCCTCACCCTTTTTTTCTTGCTTTGGGCCACTTCCGGTCCCCTTAACTTAAAGAATTTTTTCCTTCTTCCTTTCCCCCCATTCCAGAACGAAGCATTCCCCTCGCTCCTGCTTTTTCCAACTCCCAAAAACGCCGCACTTTCCACATTGTTTCGCTCGGTTTTCACTTTTTTTGGTTCGATTATATTCCAGATCTTGAAGCCGTTCCTTTCTTGCGGTCTCTTCGCAAGACTTGTCGTTGTCAACTGTTGCCCCGAGGGGCGTTGATCGGTTGTTTACAATTTCATTTTTGACGGATCATGTCGTTTCCCAGAAGATATCATTGTTTTTCCCCATTTTTCTTATACTTTTCGAAACGTCGGCGCGACTTTGAAGCCCTCGCGTGTCGGAAATTTGAAAGCCCAAAGTTTTTTTCAATTAAAATGCGCAATTTTAGACGTCCAAGGCTTGGACAAGAAGCTACTTTAATGATGCTGGAACTGCAGTCCGAGTACCGGATCGATGCCGACCAGGCTAGCTCGTCGGTGATCGAGGATCCTAGCAAAATCAGGAATTGCTCATCCTCAGAGTTGGCGATTTGGCTGAGGGATGACCGAGCACACTTAGTTTTGTTGGACTGTAGACCCACCTCCGAATCGACCACCACCTTTGCGGGCGCGCAAAAGATCCTTTTACCCACCGTTCTCATGCGCCGACTACAGAATGGAACTCTCTCACCCGGAAGTTTGGCGCCTCAGTTAGCGGAACAAACCCAACAAATTAGGGTGATAATTATTCCAGACAGATGTGCCAAGTCGGTCATGGCATCCAAAGTGTACGATATGCTGAACAAACGGGGCTTTGATGTGGTTTGTTTTGATGGTAAGTTTTCTTGGATGTCTGTTAAATTCATAGGGAAATAGTTGCCAGAATCACACAGGTCTAGAGTGCCCGAAAGCGTACTGCTATTTCAGAGGAACCAGAAGACTTTGCCCGGCATTTCCCATCCCTGGTTGAGAGCACAAACTTTACGGCACCCCGCAAAAAGGGTGGATTAAATCTCTGTTTGTTGGCCAACAAGTTCTCGGAGAATGTCATCAAGCCGAGTGCGGATCGAGGATTTCCGGCCAAAATCTTTCACTGCGTCTATCTTGGGAACGATGAAACGGCGAAAAACAAGGAACTTCTGAAAAGGTAAGCGAGATGATTGCATGTTTTCACATCGAGGAAATGATGGCATTTCCACTAATCTCTGATTATTCTAAAAATAAAACTTTTCAGTTTTGGAATCAGTTATGTCATAAACGTCACCTCGGATCTGCCCAACTATTACGAAGCGGATCCGGACTTTCATTATCTTCGAATTCCGGTGGATGACTCCCACTCGCACAACCTCGCCAAATACTTTCCGGGTAAGGGTTTTTTGTATTCATTAAAGTTATCAGTAACCGGAAAAGGACTTCATGTAGAGAGCTTATCAAGTTGTTCTACAAATACTTTTTGTAGAGACCTTTCTCTTTGTTTTGGGCGCTATGTTTGATGTAAACAGGAAGTAATCGAATTCATAGGACCCCTTTTTTGCACATCTTGGAAAACCTTAAAATTGAGGATCTTTTAAAAAACGCCTCATTTAAAGTTGTGATCTCTGAGCATTTGTCATTTCTATTGCTTTTCCCATTGTTCATGAACTAATTGCTCTCGGTGATCTTGCTGACAATTTTCCACGCTAATTAGCACATACAGCGTGCACTTTTGATTACTATTTCCCATTACATATTCTACTTCCTTCGGGTCAAACTCCGGGCATCGTTTTCGCGAGGGCGCTTGTTTACGAGACATCGCGTGGTGGAAATATTTAGACAGGGCAATTAGATAAAGTGTCACACGACTTCCGGCAAACATCTCACCTGTGGGAGTGGGGGGATTAATTTTAATAATTCCGGCTTTACTTGGAAATTAATCTCCTGAATTGGCCAGTGCACCGTCCCTTCGGCCGCTTGTTCTGACGGCGGATTTAAAGGGCTTGTTGACTGAATTGAATGGAAATTATTGCGGGGGGATGGTTTCTCATTTATGTGGGAGCGGAAAAGGTGTGAAGAAAAGAAAGGGGCATCGAGGGACCAAAAATTGCGAAATTACCACGTTTTGATAGCATGTTCTCTGTATGATTTGTTTTTTATGGAAACCAAAATGGTGTTTATTTATCCTTTATTACTTATATCTCACTTCTTATGTTTTACATCCAAATTTTCCCAGCCCTCAAACAAGCATGTTTTGTTAATATTGTGTACCGTACTGACCGTATTTCCTTGCAGATGCCATTTCATTCATCGAGAAGGCGCGCTCCGAGAACACCTCGGTCCTCGTCCATTGTATGGCCGGAATTAGTCGTTCCGTCACCGTATGCCTTGCCTACCTGATGTACGTGATGCAATGTTCCCTGGACGATGCATTTGATCGGCTGCTCCATCAGAATGCGTCAATCCAGCCCAATTTCCATTTTATGGAATCTCTGTTGTGTTGGGAGCGGGAGATCCGTAAAGAAATGCACGCATATGTTGATGAGAACTCCACCATGCCCTCATCTAATTCTTCGGCAGCTTCGTCAACATGTTCCTCGGCATAGGAACCAAAAAAATTATTGTACATAGCTCCAAGCAACCGGGTACTTCCATAGTCGACTTTCTTGAGTTTTTTTTTGATCTACACATGACATGACTGTATCAGATTCTATATGGAAATTATGCAAAATTCTACGCGGACTTTATATTTATTGTACAAATACACTCTACGCTCTCTCCCCCTACATACTATATACAATTGTCCGATCCGGGTGTTCTTTTGACTCTTCTCCAATGTGCCTTCAGCTCTTTTCTTAGCCAACTTTTGTTTGAAAGGATTATACAGCGATAATAAATACTGATTGTTCATAAAAACCCCGGTTGATTTATTGATTTTCGCCAGGACTTGTGACCGACTTTAGTTGCATGAATTGACAAATCTCTTCGTCTTGTGAGTAAGGACTTGGGATGAGGCATATTTTTAAACAAAAATTGCAGTAGTATTGAGCAGAAAGAACTTTTAAACAGTTTGCATTTGTTTATGTTCCCATAATATTTCGTCACAGGGTGTTTCGAGCATTTAGCCTTATCTATTGTGCTTCAGAGGTACCTTACATGTACACAACCTACTCTGTGGGAAGGAAAATAAAATTGATTGGAGCAAAAATTAAAATAAATTATTCCACGCACTTTTACAGGTCCCGTTCCACACGTGACACGGCCATAAACCTTGTTGGTCTGCCACATTGCGCTCAGCACTTTGATTTCGAACGTTTTGAACGTATTCAAAACAGCCATGAATATTTATAGCTTTCGAAGAAATCCGTGACGTTCCAGAACATCCTACCACGCCGTCCGGAAACTCACCGGGGTGATCATTGGCGTTTGCACCGTGCAAAAAAGTCAGGCTGCAAGTGACAGAAGGGAAGAGCCATTTGCACAGTGCAAAAAAAGAGGAATTTTATAGCGCAGGGTGAACTTTAAATATATGTAGTAATAATAAAAAAATAATCGGGTTTAATGCCGTCCGTTCTTGGAAAGTCTTCTTGTATGGGATTTGGCGGCTTTTTCCGGAACAAATGTCAAATGCCTGGGGGCATCAAAGCTGTGTGGGTCCTTAAGCCCAATTTTTGAAATTTTGAAACTTCAAGAGCAACTAAAATAACATTTTGCAGGTGAAATCTTGGGCTTAATTGATGTTTACATCTGGAATATTCAATGGGCTTAAGCTGTTATGTCCTGAATATTGTAGATTAATTATGAAGTTCACAACTTCCGCCGACGGAAATTGTAATTGTTTTTGAGGCCCTAAGGCAAAAAAATTCTAATATTTCACCTGCGGTAATGTTCTGGAATTTTTTTATTTTTAGCTGTGAAATTCAGGTAGTCTGACAAACGTAAATCACATTTTACAAATTTAGAAATATAAGCGAAATATTAAATTTCTGTGTTTATTTATTGGTAATGTTCATTATGAATGGATTTCGTTATGGTTCCCAGACTGGTGGGACGATTCGAGCCGGTTTTGGGTCTGACAACGTTCTGGACAAGACAGACTGGCGTTGAAATTCATGCCTTTGCTTCGATCTGATCCTCTGATATACAATGAACAGAGTGATTACAATTATAACACAGGTTGTAAGGAGTGCCAATGGTACCCAAAGATAAAGCAGATTTCCAGTTGTTGACTGAAATCACGAAACCTATATCCGCCCTGTCTGATAAAAGCGATTCAAAGCCCTTAAAATTTGCCTTACGTTTCCTGGAGTGACATCGAGTCGATAATTATTGGAAGAGCCAGCGCAATCCAATGGTTCCACTTTGATGTGAAGCTTTGAGGGTTTTTGATGGCACTAAAAATGTCTTAATTCGCTTTAGCCTTTTGATTACATACCTTGAGGACGTCATCCAGCTTTACCACCACATTTGAGCTCTCCAACTTCTTGGGCTCCGATATGCAATCAGTTGAAGTTATTCTCAGCATTCCATGGCATTTATCGCTAAAATTTGAATATACATATAAGGCTAGTATGCTTGAAAAATTACTCTTAGAGTCAGGCTCACCCGAGTTCAGTGCCTTCAAAGATCTTCAAGTTGATGTAATCGTCGTCATCGTTCAAAATGACATCCAATTCGAGGCTGCTGGCTGCAGTTTGCGCCGTCGGAGGACTTTGCGGAACTGTAATACGCTTTGAATAAAATAACTCGAAAAAATTTCTTGTATTGGTCATAATAGTTATTAGAAAAGTTGAAGAATACAAAATGAAATTTTAATGCAAAAATTCCTTTAGGTTAAAAACTTTCTAAAAAAAAGTGGTCAAAGCGTAGCAAATATAGTAATACAAAAAAGTAGCAAGTAATGCAATTTACCTTCACGTTTCTTGCGGTTAGCCCTTTTAGACGTTTTTACTGCCGTAGTCGTTGCTGGGCTTTGTTTTGCAGTCGCCTTAACTGCTGTGGTTGTCTGTGCCGCGTTGAGTGTACTCTGACTCGCATTATAACTCTGACCTGAACTCGAGCTTCCTGTACTAAAACTGCTTTGACTGTTTCCAGCAGAAACTGTCGTTGAGCCTGCCGGCGTATTTGGTGCTTCTAAATGCTAGAATTTAGATATAAATTCTGTTCATACTTGTTGTAGTCGCTGTGTTATTTTTGAGTATCAGTGCATTTATTGTTGCTTCGGCCGATGATAAATTCGCTGGTTGGATTAGCAGCTGGATTCTAAAAAAAGTGAAATAATAAAAATATATGGAGAATACGATCCTACAAAGTTTCATTTGACTGCGTGGAAGTTGAATTACATTTGGTTCGAGATTTCAAACTGTGTAGATCCGTTCGCGATATCATTTTACTTATTGGGCCTGAAAAGGGCACTTAATATTCAAACGGAAAAATACGTCGTATTGTACAATTATTTTAAGATAATTGTAAATACAAAGGTCCATGATTATTATATACCTTTTATCCTCGGGAACAGCAACACATTCCTTTCCTGTTTACAGACAGTCCCATAAACATCAAAACCCGGGACTGATTCATCCATACTCGAATTGAACATGAGGAAAACATCAGTCTCCCAGGAGGGCAGCTTGATCTCCACCCAAACCGGCTCATCCAATCTTACCGTCGTATGCGGTCGATTCCTTTCCGTGACATCGATTCTCGGCGCCGCATTTACACACCAAAAACAAAAGCCGAAAGTCAGAAGCGACCGGAGCTGGAGGGTCGGTTGCATTTGGTCCTTCCTAGAGGTTTCCCCCATGCATTGATCATAGTCATGGGGGCGGACAGTGATCGTCTCTGGACGGTTTTGAATTTCTAATTTCCCGTTTCTTCTGCTCGAGGCCCTTAATGGGAATGTCCTCGGATGTTCGAACATGTATTATGTGATTGGGCTTGAGTCAACCCGTCATTGGGGCTGATTGTTATGTATGTAATGCAATCATAAATGATCGAGTAGGCGGGTTATTTGGCTGAGAGCCGGGGGAGGACCATTTTGAAGCGAGGTTGTAATTATGATAAGCTTCAAACTCGGGGTGAATTATTCCGGTTAAAGATTCTGAATTAGAAAGTTGTACCAACTTTGCGCTGGTTGTCTTTGCAAAAACTCCATGAATATTAATTAATAGAGTTGTAAAAACACGGTCAAGTGACCACAAATTTCGACTTTCTTTTGTAATTCACAAACTGTAACGACTATCTCCATTATCATTTTTACATACTACCAAAACAAAACAGCAATATTTATTGAATATTTCAATTCTTTCACCTCATCTGCAAATAGAGCCTCACTTCAAGGAAGTATAAAAGAACTTATGAATCACTTTATTTGACCACAAATCCGATGAACTCAATGTCTGCTCACTCTGGAAATAGCGCGTCGTACAAAGTCATCCACCTTAAGAGCGCCTTCAAACACATCGAACTGACATCCCATTTCGAAAGTAATGTTCTGCATCAAACAGGGGCCGGAGCGCCATAAGAAATATTGACCATCTGATTCTTGACGCTCCACCTAAATACGGAAAAAATAAATAGATTTATTACAATAAACGTTTCGTCATACGGTATTGTCTTAGCTACAAATGCAATTTTTGATCTTTTAAATATAAAAAATCGACAATAGAATTGAAGAAATATTATCTTACAATTAGTCATCAAATTCAATGAAAAACCATCTCAACTTACATTATAATTAAAATGCCTCAAGCATTTGTTATTATTATTCGGCCTTTTGGCGATAATGTAAGCACTGGATGCAGTCTCGCAGAACAATGGGCAATACACTCGATTCTGGCCATTTACCAACCTCTGAAAGCGTGATATTTTGAAATCAAATCCACGTTGTTTGTCTCATATTATACACAAATTGGGGGTGCACCAAAAGTACCAAAAAGAATTCTTACATCAAAACATTCAAATCCAGGAGGGATTGAGGCTTTTTCATCATTGAAATCGCTGCCGGTCTTTTCTAATTCAATGGAGCATTGTTTTGGGCCCTCTTCTTGACCGTATTCGCAAGAAAATCGACGGATTTCTAAGAAATGTAAAGAAAATTAGGATGGCATGTTAACAGAGGCTAAAGTATTACGCATTACTTACGATTATGGCTTGATCTAACCCCCAGCGCCGGCACCACCAACAAAAACACACTTGTTAACCGAAACATTGTCAAAAAAAAGCCGCTGAAGAATGTTGATTGTTTCAAGTGAAGATGGATGGCGAGAGCAACTCGAGCCAGTTCAGGAAGTTCCGTTTTTCACAACACTTCATTCGGGATGAGAAAGGGAGAGTTGACAAAGTTATCGACGACCTATTAATTACTCTTATTACAAAGTGCAAATTAGTTTACACATTACAGTGAAAAACTATTTCATAATGGCAGAGCTAAAGGGAGGGGCACTGAAATGAAGAAATAACTGAAAGAATGGGAGCTGAGGTTTTGGTAATACTGAAATTTGAGCTGTAAGAAACATGCTATCGTCTTGTTTAGACAGGAAAACTTACATAAGAAAGACTGTCGCTTGTGCGAATCTCGGCCGCGCTTTTATAGCACATAACATACAATTTCCAGCAATTGCTACTTGGCATAATTACATCAATCCTACAAAATTTTAAGTAGATGTGTGCTGGTCCTTGACCAATTTCATTAATGGAAATATTTCAAACATCATCATTGTCTCCTTTTCCATATCCAATGTTAGAACGTATTTCCGGCTCGTTTTCCACCCTGTGCTCTAAAAAGTGTCTCCTTATTCTTGCGAATTGTTCATAAGTCGGGACCATCAGTTATGATTTGATTATGCGATCAGCGGGGCAAGCACACAAAAAACAAAGGAATGGCCGCACTCTCTGGCCGCTCTCCGCCGCTCGCTCTGCTTCCCTCCGCTGCTTAGCCGCGCAACATGTCCAGTTTGTTCGCGATGCACTCGACTCTGTGGTCAGTAAATCCTACGAATTGGCCTCGGGGCGAATACGAATGCGGGGCCTTGGGGGAAATGCGCGACCACGCCTCGACCTGACAAACAGAATACAGTCGATTTCCCTCTTCCCCCTCGCCGGTTGACTGCGAAATATACTGCGAGGCGGGGAAGGGGGGAAAATGCAATCAATTGATTGTATTACAAGCCGTCTATTGATACTGTCACGGGGTTGGCGCGTGCGCTATTTTTACGCGTTCCAAGGGTTCCGAGGTTTTTTTTTCTTGTGGCTTTATCTTTTGGCCCTGACAGAACGATAGATTTTGCATTATAAAGACAGTAACTACTGCACGATAGACCTTTTTTTACCATGGCGTTCTGTTGATATAACCCTTGGCCCAAGAGTATCCAAATATGCTGATTTTTTATGATCATTTAAACCCATCTTACTATGTTTTTCGTTTATTTTCCTCCAGTTTTCCTATTTTATTCTCAGATGTTTGATCTCTCTCAACTTTGATTTAGGAAATGCCCAAACATGGAAGCTGGGTAATATCAGCAATACTGTTATCGACTGTTTCTTTGGCTCAATCACAATGCCCACAACTGCAACCTCCTTGCCAATGTGCCCCATCTATTTATGAACCCGTTGCCATTATTTGTGAAAATGCTGGAAGTTTATCCAACGCTCTGGCTGCAATTCAAGCAGCCAAGGGAACACCGGTAAGCTGAAATCTTAATGCGATATATTGCAACGTAATTTGGGTCATGGCATGTTTTGCATCTATGATGTTTAACACCCATTTTTGTCACATCGTCATCTGCTTTTTGCTCCTATAATTTACCTTGTATAACCATTTCCAGATCGACTCGCTCACCATTGTTGACACAGCCATCTCCTCGCTACCGGCAAATGCATTTGAAGGGTTTTTGATCCTTCGATTGGTCCTCAATCGGAACACATTGAACCAGATCCACGACGACGCCTTTAATGGGCCCCTTCTCGACTCCCTTGTTGAACTCGACCTCACGGATAACCATCTTGGAGGAGTTCCACAAACCGGGATCAGACATCTGCGCAATCTTCGGAAATTATATTTGAATAGGAATAGGATCAGTGGGTTGGATGCGAATAGTTTCACAAATTTCGAGAGCAAGGATATTCTGCTGAAATTGGAGTTGGCCGGGAATCGGCTAACTGACAGTGCGTTGGGCGATGGAGCCGTGCTGAGGCCGTTGAAGAGCCTGCAAGAGCTGAGTTTCGAAACAAACGCTCTTACTCAAATACCTAGTGCTGCACTGGTGAATCAGAAGAACTCGCTGACTAATTTGAACTTGGGATTGAATCAGGTAAAAAATAGGGACATAGATGGTCCATGAAATTTTTTTAATCGAATCCTTGACTCTTTAGTCATCAAAAGAAAGTTTTTTTCTTTTTTTAGATCAACGATGTGCCCGTTGGAGCGCTTGACTTCCCCATCTTGACCTCTCTTTCTCTCGAGTTCAATGGAATCACCGTAATTATCCCTCAGGCTTTTCAAGGCGTCCCAACTCTTCAATATCTCTACTTGACCGGCAATAAATTCCCAGCATGGCAGCCGGAAATGTTCCGTTATATAAATCAGCTGAGAACGCTGGGAATTGGCGAAACTCCAATTTCAGTCATCCCTTCGAATGCTTTTATTGTAAGTTTATTCTTTTTCATGGGGGACAAGTTTGGTTTCTCCATTATGTTCGGTTCTTTCAGCACACACCCAATCTTATTCGCTTGGAAATGAGCGAAGCTGCGGTGGATACGATCGAACAAGGCGCTTTCCAAAGGACTCCATTGATTCAAGCTATTATCATGAACAAGAATCGACTTACCACGTAAGAATGTTCCTAAAATTTTAGCTATTGTAACATCACATTTCTTTCTATAATATTTAGAACTGTCAAATTTTTATTACCTTCAGAATCCGCGCTGATATGTTCCAAGGTCTGAACGATCTCTATTCCATTGATCTCCAAGGTAATAGAATCGACACAGTCGAGCCAATGGGTTTTGCGAACCTCCCCAGTCTGCGGCATTTAGACATCAGGTAAGCTATCTAATTTGCTCCAAAGTTTACCATATTTTAGTTACAACCAGCTGCAAACTATGCCATTAGACACCTTCGACGGCTCCTTCCAACCAGTCCCCAATGACCGTCGGGTAATCTATGCTTGTGCCAACCCTTGGTTATGCGATTCCCGGCTTGAATGGTTCCGTCAATTGTTGAGAGACAACCTGGATATTGACATCGATAAACCGGGCTGTGTGGCGGCTTGTATGAGCTCTGTGAACAACTGCCCACCGGAAGGAACTCCACTGAGGGCTATCGACTTTTGCCCCATAAGCGACAATCCGTTGCCTTTGACTGGGACGGCGTTATCATTGGTTGGGTGGATCATATTGGGTGAGGATTTTATCAATATAATCAAGACATTTTTCTATAATGCTCAGAGAAGTCGAAATTCTCTATTTGTGAATTCAAATTCTTTTATTTCTGCGTTTTCAGCGATCATCATGACGATTCTGTTGATCAGCATCTGCCTGATGGCGTTGATTCGTTATGGAATGAGCCACCGTCACAAGAAACAAAAGGACCACGAGATCGAAGATGAACAACGTATTATGTCCTGTAAGTATCTCTTTTCATTTATAATGAAAAGCGTGCGCACGAAATTAATCCGATCCGATAAAGTTGATTCAGTGCGTGCAGAAAGTTCATTGATACGACTTTTGTTTTCTAAGGCTAATGGAACATTTGCACTGTGCGCGGGAAAAAAATACAGTAAAACTATTGCAAAGGGTCGCAATTTAAAACTGAAATAAAATCCTAAACGATCAAAATGATGACTTATTTTTAGCATCAGTCTACAACACCTCGATGTATCGATCATACGCTCCATCAGCAGCTGGTGGTGTGGATTTGGACCTGCCGGCCGCTCACACCTTGGATGACAGGCCTAATTACTTTATATAAGACCATGTTTTGTTACAAACTCTGCTCAAAGATCCGCTTGGAATGCTTGGTATAACAGTAATTTGATGTAAAATACGTGACGACTTTAATATAAATTTCTCTTACTGTTGTATTTTTTCTCTTTCGGTCCTTTTCTCCCCCATCTTATGCAGTCTTTCGCCCACATATTTCAACTTTCTGCTATTGTAAACTACTGTTTATTTCGAGCATTTGCCCAGCGGGTTCTCGGGTCCTTTCCAGTCTTCCTTTCTCTGTAAATATCGCGCCATATCATGTTTTCTGTACAATAAAAAGGAACTTGTTGAACATGATGTCTTGACCCATCCGCACGTGGATAACGGGGAATTGATCCGCGCGACGAGAGAACCGGATAAATAGTAATGTTATTCCGCGCGTGGAGGGGACAAACAAATGGACGAGGGGACGTGATCGGGGTCTCGACTACCGGAATGACATGCACGGGATAAACGAGTTCAGGAGATTAGTATAGTGGTGAAAAAAATGCAAAAGTTTGAAAGCTGTTGCAAATTGCCAATCAGACGCCTCCAAATTTTTAAATGCTTAAAAAATTATTTTTTTGAATAGAATCAATAATAACTTTTAAATTAACCAAGTTTTCTGAAGGTATCATGGATCAGATAATGGATCAACCAGCTCAATTCTTTTTAAAGTCCTCCGAGTGCAATGAATAAACCTACACTCTACAACAGAAATTGAATTCTCACCTTTAAGGTTCAAACAAGATAATAGAAGTGTCGTCTCTTGCATAACATTTGTATCAGCCCTCCTTTCGGGCAGATACATGATAAAACCTACAATTCTTGAGAAATTTCGAAAGCTAAGAAAGAAAAGCGTCCAACAGATTCGAGTCTTCTGACTTTCCTGAGTGTAGTTTCCCCAAAATTGCAAGCAGAGTAATCGAGAAGTTACCTCGTTTGTATTCTGACTATGTTGGTTGGATGTTTAGTCTGCCGCATTTTGCAGGAAAACGAGCTCTTTTTTGATTTGCGCGATTAGCTGAAGGTAATCCAAGAAAACTTCACGATATTGTTTTTATGCTACCTTCATGGTTCACAAATATGCCCTGTCCAAATTTTAACTGTTTATCAGGTAGAGAATGGGCTTATTCCGAGCTAGCAAGAAATTTTATGTGGTATAGGTGCGACTAAGCCTTGTACATATTTATAAATGCTTTTAAGCCTATTTATTATACAATATGTAACTATCAAGTGTCATCAAAATCCGGGCCTTGCAAATTTAGAATTTTGATCTGAAAACAGGCCTTGCTTCCAAGACTTTTCAAACATTTATTGTTAGTTATTAGCCGAATGGTTGTTGTTATTTGATTTTTACCAGCTCTAAAGTCGAAACAAAACGTTATTTCAGTAAAGCTACAATTTCAAAACTTTTCAATGATGACTGCAAATTCTTTTTTTAACGTCATTGCAAACCTTGTATTTTAATCCATCTTGTTCAGTAAAATGCGTCGGCTTTACAAATTTTCGTAATACTTGATTCTTTCATAATGCACTTATATGTAGGCGTCGTGATGTGTACAATGGTAATTATTTGACATCAATCAAAGAATGGAAAGGCCGGCAAAACTGCCAGATCTTTTGATGTCCGATCTCCCGACCGGGGAAGAGATATGGCTCCATCAATGCGTTCAAGGCATTGTGTTGTTGTTTGCTTCTGTATCTATGATATTTACTTCAGTCACCATTTTGAAAGCAACAGGGAAAGGTACGAAGGAGTTTTGAAGGTTTTGGCCCAATTTCATTTTTATTAGGCTTCGAAGTATAAACCAGAATTTTTGTTTTGAGGTATGGGGATTTACAAACATTACTTGCTCAATGAAATCTTCTGGAACTACGCTTTCGACTTGTTTCTGTGCATCTGGACACCGATCGAACTCTTTCCACTGCAATGTTCTTACAGTGCCGGGATCTTCAGAAGAACCTCTGTGGGATTTCAGCAATTCGCGGTCATCGCGGCCTCATTTTTTGCCGTTGGGAAAGTTTTTGCGCTTTTCATTGCCATCGCTTATCGATATTCTCAGGTAAGAAGGGTCGGGCTCAGTTGTTGAATATTTTAAATCCAAAACAAAAAAAAAGTTAATTTCTATTTTCGCTTTACCATGTACTTTTTTAAGGCACTTCCGCCATCCTCTCATTACATCCTTCGGACACTTGTGCAACCGAACATTTACCTCTACGTCATCGTTTTCTTGACTTTCCAATTTGCAATAAATGTAAGTTGACAAAAACCTTAACATTTACACTTATTTAAAGGGTTTTCAGGCGCCAATGTTTCTAAATTTCAACAATCTTGCCGCCGTCAAACTTAACTTAACGTTTGCAAATCGAGCCTTGGAATATGTCTATAATACTGAGCCTTCAACTCTGTGTTTCGGCGCAACGAAAGGGAACACAGCGGCCTTGTTTTACGTTGTTATGGGTGTTATTGGCCTTTTGTTTATCTGTTCTGTATCATTTATGTTGACGCATCTTTGGGAGCTGATGCGAGATGGGTCTTCTATGAGTTGCGCTACGTATAGAATACAGGTAGGGCTTATTTAATCGGGAGATTTATCAAAACCTGGGACATGAAACAGAACATCTTTTTCGCTAAACCGAACTTATTTTACCTCGATTTTTTTTTCAGTTAATGCTCTTCAAATCCATCAGAATGCAGCTTTTTTCAACGCTCATCATTCTGGGAATTCCCGTGATTATTACACTCGCCTGCGTAGTATTCCGACTCCGCAAATCCCCCATTTATATCATGGTCGCAGCCACCGTAGCGTGCCTACATTCAACTTTCAACTGCTTGATTCTAATTTATTGTGTGAAGCCATATCGTCAGTTCTTGACTAGGAAATTGGGTCACCATTCTAAGACCGACAGTCGTGTAATTTCAACAATTCGTGCGATTGGCGCTGCAAGGACCGTATAATTTTAATTATTTTTTTATTTAGTGTTAAAGATTATGAATAAATTATTGTACAGTTTGTTTATTGAACAACCAGTGAGCCTTACAGAGCTCATTTTCACACCTTTGTAAGCATTTAATCATATGTTAAAATGCCATCTTTTTGGTACAAGTGGATGTTCAAAATTCCCTTAAAAAACAACTGCATTCATCTGTCGTCCCCTCTTGACCCAAACTCCGTTCAATTATCATCCGGAACAACCCAGACAACTCACTCCAAACCAGTAGGTAAACATGACCCGAACCCCTTCATCTTCCCCTTCATCATCTTCCGTTCTCTTTTCCGGAGGGGAAAAGAGTCACAAAACAAAGACGCGCGAAAACCCTCAGGAAAAGAGAAAGAATAAGGCCATTGGGACAAGAGATAGGTTATTTGGGTAAAAGACGGGAGATCAGGGAGGAGGAGGAGAATCCAGAAAACAAAGACGAGGTGATAGACAAATAGAAACAACCGCTGGAGGGGAATGATTTGTTCGAAAAGTTTTACGTTTGATCGAAAAAATAAATCGCGCGATTATTTTTAGGATTCTGAGATGTACAGTTGCAAACTGCTCGGGATTAAGTTCACTGGGTGTGTTGACTTTGAAATTCGAGTTCCTCAAAATAAGTGTTTGGCTGTTTTTTGTGTATTAGAGTTTTTTGAGTCGTGATTAAAGGTGTGAGAACTATCTTTGTAAGGCTCTTTATTCTTTTTTAATCATCTCTGAAAGTACCAGTTTTCTTTGTTCTTGTCAAAATTATATTTTGCCGTCACTAATGACTTTCAAAATTATCTATATCTCGTCTAAAGTTTTCTTACCCATTTTTGACGTTTATTGATGACAAATTCGCTCCACCTTTTCACTTGTTGACACCTCCTTTCAATGCCTACAAACGTCGTTCCTCCGCATTAATCCCTTCCGAATTTTCTTGCAACAATTCCAGACCAACTTCTCCGTTTTGGCCCGGCATGGTCGAGTGGTCCAAGCTGTTGGTTTTGGAAATGTTTTCCGGTTAAACTGTATTCCGTTTACGGCTGAGATAGTTCGGAATAATTTTGTTCCATTTCCAGCTGCAGAGTTATGTTCGGAGAGCCTTGAACCCGGCGTTTTCTCATCATGGGAGATCCCGGAAGGCGGAATTAAAATATGGGTAAGTTACGAGTTCGAGGTGTGTTTCTTTTTTCTTCTGTCGTAAAAAATTTTAGCTTTTAAAATAGTCTAAATTAAACAAAATCCACAGATTCCTTATAGGGGATTTGAGTTGGGCGTTGTTTGAAGTTTTATGATCGCGTTGTGCAGAAAAATATAATATTCTTTGAAATGAGAACGGGATGAAAAATTTCGTAAAAAATCTTGAAAACACAAAAAGTTTTTTGATTTTTATTCATAACGCAATTTTTTAATCCACGTAAAAAATTGTTTTGAATATTTTTTCCTATTTTTAAACTTTTACTTTGACCTAGATACAATCTGTATTTCAATACGTATCTCAATCCATTGAATTAATATTATACTACATTTGAAAGGCCTTGCACACACATAGCCGACCCTTTATTGTTACAATGTCTAATCAATCTCTATCAGAGCTTTGTGCATTCCCTGATTCATGTGGCTGCATTTTAATTCCCCACGACATTCAAAAAAGGGCTATAGCGCTTTGAATTTTTTCCGCGAAAAAGGAGGCCTTATCAATTTCGATCCAATTGGTTTTATAATTTTTTAAGGGAAACGTTAAGCAAGTGAGGAATAATTTAATCTAAACCGTCATTATTTTTTCACTTTTTTGGAGGATTCTTGTCTCATGAATCACTTGAGTCTTCGTAAGCTCGGCGACGAGAGTTTTGGAGGTGTTTGGGGAATTCGATACGGAGTTTTTTATACGGTTTTTGATGATATATAATATAAAGAAAACCAAATTTTTTGAATTACTAGTTATGGAATTTTGATCTTACAGCGGAAATGAATAAGACTTGAACTTTATATTTTAAAACTTTGGGACAAATCGGGATGGCCGCTTTCTGTATTCCGCGCATTCGACCATTGGAAAAAGATTGTTGAATATCTCAGCTAGCCGTGTGAAGTGGGAACGTAAATTTTTAGTATGTGATAAGCGAAGCGGGCGCTATGTCTGCGAAAAATAAAAGTTGAGCCTTGCACTTTGAACGCTTCCCTTGTAGGAAGCGTTGTTCAGTTTGCTGGAAATTGTAATAGAACTCTTGCTGTCCCTTGTTGATCGGTTCCAAGGTCGTATATTTTTGCATAAATGGGAGTTCTCTCAACTCGCAACTAACCAATCCAATCGGGTTTATTCCGAGTTGTTCTAATACGTTTTTCAATCTCATTTCATAGCTTAAGCAGTTTTTATTCGTTTCCAGGCCCCCTAGAACTCATTTGTAACTATGTTAAACATAATCCAAAATTTTCGTAATTGATTTTTGTGTCTTCTGAAGTCTCAAACATGCACCTTATAAAAAACTTTACTAGAAAGCCAGTTTTTTAATCTCTACTATAAAATTCAGACTGTCCACTCGACTGTGCAGCCGTTGATCCCACTTTTAACACGTCTCAAACCCCCAAATCGGATTACTCTTTTCGAGTTTTGACTCTTCCCAAAAATATTCATAATCGAATTGTGAAAAAATCAAGAAAAAAGAGAGTCCGAAATTCAGATTCCCGGAGAGAAAAAGAGAGCCGGCTTTTTGCGAACGATCGGCGCTTCATTTGAAAGTAATGCCACCGCTGATATTTTATTCGATTCGTCGGTTTTCCGGCTTCCATTTACACTTGAGTGGTGTCAGAATATGCGTTATTTTTTTGGCTTCACTCCAGAAAGTTTTTAAGCACCGAACATAGTTGAGAAATTAAAAATTGTTTTCTTTCTGGGTCAAGGTTTCTGGTCTGCAAAATTACGTAAGATTCTGGAATTTCCTGGGGTTTTATTGTGGGAGATTCAATTATCTTTATTTCCAAAGATTTCAAAGCATAAATCTCGCAATTTCGGGGTAAATACTTTCCCAATCAGTCTCATTCCTTCCTCTGATTGCTTATCTTTTCCCAAGGCTCTGTTTGATTTCCCGGTTTTACAATTTTATCGGCGTTTAATAGTAATTATTAATTTTTGAGTTTTTCCGATAATTAGCAATCATTGAAGGAGTGATATTTTCTAAATGCATGAGTAATTTGTATGCGGATGTGCACACAATTTTGTATCTTTCCGGGCACACCCTTTTTTGCCTTTATCGCGTTTATGAATTTATTTTTTCACTTTGAAATGTCTTTAACTTTGACGTATATCTTGTGTTTAATTGTTGATTTTTTACAAAAATTCCTTATAATTTTTCATTGAAAATCATTTTTTATCCATTGCTAAAGTTTTTAGCTCCAAAGTCTTCTGCTTCCGCATAACGCGGTTTCAATACTTTTTTGATTTTTAAGATTATCTAAAAATCATGCCGCAATTTCTTTTGATCATAGTTTAAAACAACCTTCATTATATATAAAAAACGCTTACCATTTCCATTTCCGTTTCAAAAAACAGAATAGCCATCACTACATAATGTTGCTTCCGGAAATTGTCTTCAAGATCTTTTTCTCATTTTTTCCTTGCATTTGTGGACTGTATGGCCATGCGTCAGCGACTAAAAAGCAGTCAGATTGAAATTTATTTTCTTTTTCATTGTATGTTTGTATATTCCGAAGAAAATTTGTTGATTTTATTGCCGGAATTTGTAACTTTTAAATCGCGTTATGCAGAAACTCCGGAAAAAATCGTAATTAGAAAAAAGATTTTTTAAATTGACGAGATTTAAATTTTCTTACAATAAAAAATTTTTAGTGTTAAAGCCTTTTAAATCAGCGTTTTGCGTAAATTTCCGTGAAAAAACCAACGCCTTGAAGTAAAAAAGTTACAAAATTTTTAGTGTTTGGCGCATGTTAACTCAATTTCCAACGAAAAATATAAAAACATGCATTTCCTTAAACCTTATCGTGGGCCAACTTCCTTCTTCCACTTTTATTGTATGTAATATGTTCAAAGCTTTGTACTGATTGTCAGATAATAGCCCTTCTAATTCGATAATTGTTACATTTAGCAGATAAAATTAGTTTCAATGGAATTTTTTATTTTCTTTGTGAGTAATTTTTTCGCCTTTATGACTCTGTATGTTCAGCTGACTTGGCCCTAGAGGTGCGGCGCGATTTTTTCGAAATGATAATTTCTATTATCGCTACACCCATCGGATACCGTGTAGGACCCTTTATACACTTCTTATTACCATAATTTGTAAAGAGTTTCCAAAGTTTATCACACCGTACAATCTTAGGTAGGATGTCTAACTTTATGTAGTAACGTAAACGTCGACGAATCTATAGCTGTTTTTTCTTCTGGTATATCTTGGACTAAGTATTTGTAATGTAAAATTTATCATTTTTTAATTTCTAGTCTTTAATTAAAACCACATATTGAAATTATCCATTTCAACCTGAAATCTCCCTACCCTTGTTTTGTTTTCATATCTGCTCCTTATTACCGATTTCGTATGGCTAATTAACGACATCAAACATCAAGAAGAAGAATGCGGCCTCATCTACCTTTCGTTTTCCTTTTCTTGTCCTGCCCTCTATTTTAAGTGTACAAAAAGTCCTCATACTAAAAAAGCTCTCATGTAGACGCCATATAACACTTGACCACGTGTGTGTCGTCATACTCTCGTAACACCACATGATTTAATATGTAGCCTTTCCTAAAAGGGGGTTTATGGCTCTCTTGGGTTTTGTTAAATATATTACAAACAGTAGGGGAATCTGACTGTTACAGAGGGTGTTTATGGGTCTGAGCGTCTTGGATATAAGGAAGTTATTTAAAAATAGTATATATTCCTATGTCGAGATTGGGAAAACCTTGGTGCTTTTAAAATAACGATCGTGAGAGACTTCCCGTTGCAATTTTCTTCAACTCACCTCTCCTAGGGCACACAAATTTTACAATCTTTTTCTTCCTTCATGTCTCTTCTGGCCACTATTTCTTCTGTATTAACTGAAAAGTTCTCTTAAAAACAGCCTAGCTTTTATATGATATTTTGGTCTTGATCTTTCCTGATTCCCGACATCCAAAGAGCTTCGAAAGTCTGCCCCAGGTTTACGCCAAATGACACAGAAAAATGAAAAAAATGTGCGCATCGTAACGAATCACGGCATTTCGCAACTCCCCTATAATTTCCCACGATCGCCGTGCAGCGCCATCTAAACTACAATGCCAAACTTTCGCACAAACTACTGCAACTGCTACTACATATTTATTCGTCCGCCACGTGAAACCCGCTGAAGAATTGCCATGGTAATAAAAAAAGAACCTGAGGCCGCTCCTTTCCCGTCTTTGCTGCCCGGAGGGGCTGCACCTTTGTCCCTGAAAGAAATACCAAGACTGTCGTCTCATCCTCGCCTTCCTTTCGTTTTTTGTGCGGCTTCCAGAAGAGGACCGGGACAAATATACATGGAGAAGAAAGCAGAACACAGAAACCGTGGGGCCGAACATCAGAGACGCCCTCAGGCGTATTTTTGGGCTTTTTGTTGTCCGTCTCATTGTTTTACGAATTTGCGATGAGATCAAACGTAAATATGGAGATGAGGATGAGACAAGGGGAGCTGATTGTTTCCGAATTTTTATTGAGATTTATTGTGATAGCTGCGTAGTAATTTTTGAACATAATGGGGATTTGATGAGATGGATTTTGATCTTTTCAAGAAAATTTTGATTTTTATTAAACGGATTACGTGATAAGACATGTCGGTGGACGAATGAATTTATGGGAAAGGATAGATTGCACGTTTCTTTGAGAGTTAGTAATGAAAGGGCTTCCGACTTATTTTTGAAATACTGAGGAGCCAAAAGTAGAAATTATAACGTCATTTGTTAATTAGCATTCTTAGAGGTAACTTGTTTTTATGGAAATTTTGGATCACTTTGGCAAGACCTATTTTTAGTAAAATTTCAATTTTTGTTATCAAGTTGATTACCATCTCAAATAATGTTACGTTCAATCAGCCGGCAGCGTACCAAAAAACGGGCATAAAATTGCACCTGTCCTTTGTTTTGTCCAATTATTTACTCCTTTTTTTAACTTCCGCACTTTTATTTATCTTACAGATGAATGATTTTGCTTTGGGCTGTGCTCAAAGAAGTGTTACTTACTTCTCCTTCACTTGGCCATGGCATATTTAAATTTCTTGCAGATTTTATTTTTTCAATTTGTGATTTTCAAATTGAAAAAATAAATTTCTACACTGTAATTTTTATCCAAAGATCACTTCCAACTATTCATAAAAAAAATCATAAATCCCTACTTATTTTACTAACTTCTTATCCGTTACAGCTTAATCCCGGCTTCCGGATTGTAATATTTTAAGCCGCCACATTCTTGGCACAGTTCTGGTTTCTTTTTTGATCTTTAAATTAAGCTGTTATCCAGTAATATTCCTTATCTTTTCGATCCTAATGTCCTTTTTATCATCTTTCTTTGCAGGGGACTCAAAGGACGAATCAGAGCCGCCGAAAAGGCAAAGGCCTTCTTCCTTGCACTTGCCATTCGCCAGGAATTTTAGGTAAGTTAAATTAGTCTCGCCGATTCAGGCTGGGTTCGTTTCGCTCTTCAAGAACGGCCATGACGTCCATGTCAGGTTACGTTTTATTTTGAGGTTCAGTCCATTCCCTGTACCTGTTTTTGCCATTCTTTTGTTCTAGAACGTCCTGGAGCTGGGAAGTTCGGCATGAAATTTTCCCACAGAGCGTTTTCCTAGAAGATTCTGAAGAAAAGTGGGTTGGGAAACCAAGCCGAGTTGTGATATGACATAAAAATATATTCTATGACCGGAAATATAATATAGGCTATGCTTTTTAAATGGTTTAGTGAAAATAAAACTAATGCTGCAATAAGAATTGTTAAAAGTATTACATTTGATGACTTATATTACTCAGCAAACATTGTAGATCCCCCAGTCTGTTGATCAAGCCCCAGGTCGGGTGTGAATCAAGTCCGGAGACCGTGTCGAAGCGGCTTTTCAGCCGTCCTCTTGGTTGGAATGTCAAGATGCTGGAACGGGTGGCGCGGCTTTGGCGCCGGGATGTTACACAGCCCAGCCCGTCCGCTCATCCACAAACGCCACAGATAGTGGCGACCGACACCGCTGGCAAGCAGACCAAGCTGAATGGCAACGATGCCCAGCAGAAGAGGCACAAACGTCAGCGGACGGCCAGCGACAACTCCCATCTGGCCATGGAACGGGTATTGCGCGCCAACGATCGGGAGTTTAACAATCGCTTCAAGTATGCGGTAAGCCAATATTTTAGGAAATATAGAGGCATCTTATGTCAATTTTTTGAGCACAGTTTAATATTTGATGACAAATATTTTCAGGACAACTACATCAAGACGTCCAAGTACAATTTAATTACATTTTTGCCCAAAAATTTGTTCGAACAATTCCAACGTCTTGCTAATTTTTATTTTCTTGTCCTAATGGTGTTACAAGTAGGTTCATCTCCTCGTTTAACCATGTGTTCAGCTTATTCCCTGGATCTCAAGTATTGTGTGGTATTCCACGGCCATTCCACTTGCCATTGTACTCGGGTTTTCTGCTGCCAAAGATGCCTACGATGATATTGTGAGTCCTAAACATACCAGAAATTATTTTCTTTTTACTCATGTGTATTACATTGCATTTTATTCATATCTGTCATATTATCCATAAGGTGTTTTAGCAACGTCATCGAAGCGATAGTCAGGTAAATAATCGAATATCGTATGTTGTCCGGAACGGTCGTCTCGTCGAAGAACGATGGCTGAACGTGAAAGTTGGCGATATTGTTCGCATGCAGAATGAGCATTTTATTGCGGCCGATCTTCTCCTCCTCTCCTCCTCCGAACCTCACGGACTTTGTTATATCGAAACTGCCGAATTGGATGGAGAAACGAATCTAAAGACACGGACTGCCCTCAGGCAGACCAGAGATATGGGCGATATTGTTGGTGATATCTCCGCTTTTGATGGTACGCGCCTTTTACATTGTAAATAGCGCATTGTGCTTTTAGGTGAGATCATTTGTGAGCCTCCAAACAACAAACTTGATCGATACGAAGGACGGTTGACTTACAAGGGACAACAGTATCCACTGAGCAATAATAACTTGCTACTTCGAGGATGCCGGCTGAGAAATACTCGATGGTGTTATGGGCTGGTGATCTTTGCCGGAAGAGATACAAAGTTGATGATGAACAGTGGAAAGACCAAGTTCAAGAGGACCAGTTTGGATCGGTTCTTGAATATCTTGATTATGGGGGTAAGTATTCCTTTACATTCTATTTTTTCTCTACAAGAAAGGTGGCAATACGAATAATCTTTGTAAAATCATTACTAAATATATGTACGATATTTTGACCTTTCAGATTGTCCTCTTCCTCATCGCCATGTGCTTGATCTGCACTGTCCTGTGTGGTGTTTGGGAATGGGTAACCGGCCGTCATTTCACCGCCTACCTCGAATGGGAGACCTTTGTCCGCGACCAAGGAGAGCGAGGCTCCCGTCAGATAGCTACCATATCCTTTCTAATGTTCTTTTCTTACATAATTCTGCTCAACACAGTCGTGCCCATATCACTTTATGTTTCGGTGGAAATTATTCGGTTTGTTCATTCGGCGTGGATCAATTCCGACCTCAAAATGTATTACGAGAAGACGGACACGCCGGCCAGGGCTCGAACAACAACGCTGAATGAGGAGCTGGGACAAGTGCAATACGTGTTCAGTGACAAAACGGGAACCCTGACTCAGAATATTATGTTGTTTAATAAGTGTTCGATCAATGGGAGGAGTTACGGAGATCTTTTGGACAAAAGGAACGAAGTTGTGGAGATTACAGAGGACACACCGACGTTGGACTTCTCGTGGAATCGATGGCATGAGCCAAACTTTAAGTTTTATGACAGCACCTTGCTTGATGACACAAGGAATCAAGTTCCTGAGGTAAAATAATCTGATAGACTTCATATTTGCTTATAAGTTTCACTTTAAACTCCGTTTTTTACCATCGTTTCTGTAGGTGGAAGAGTTCTGGCGTCTCTTGGCCATTTGCCATACTGTAATGCCCGAAAGAAAGGCTGGCTCAACTCTAGAATATCAAGCGCAATCTCCAGATGAAGCTGCGTTAACATCGGCGGCAAGGAACTTTGGGTTCGTCTTCAAATCTAGAACTCCGGATAGTATCACTATTGAGGTGAATGGAAAGGAAGAGGCAAGTCGAAGAGGCAAAGATTATAGTCGTTGGATTGACAAATTTAATCATCGATTTTAGAGATACGAAGTCCTCCAGATCCTCGATTTTGACAACGTTCGCAAACGAATGTCCGTAATCATCAGAAATACCAATGGCGATCTTAAATTGTATTGTAAAGGTGCTGATACCATGATTCTCGATCGCCTTCGACCTGACACAAGTGATCTCCTCAAATCAGCCACCATGCAACATCTCGATAAATTCGCATCCGACGGCCTGCGGACTTTATGCTGCGCTTACAAAGACATCGACGCAGAATATTGCATTCAGTGGATGGACAGAGAGAAACAAGCTCAGCTGGATGTGTCCAATAAAACCCAAAAGATTTTTGAGTTGTACGAGGAAATGGAGAAGGATATGACCTTGTTGGGGGCTACTGCAATTGAAGACAAACTTCAAGATGGGGTTCCGGACACGATCGCAAATTTGGCCAAGGCTAACATCAAAGTGTGGGTGTTGACGGGAGATAAGACTGAGACGGCCATCAATATCGGGTATTCATGCAAATTGTTGACCGAGGATATGACCGAAGTCTTTGTGATCGACGGGAAGGATGAGAAACAAGTGGAAGTTCAGTTGAAAGACATAAAAAGAAGAATGGACAAGTACACCCATCCGGTAGGCAACATAGCCCACAGAACTAAATGTTTGATATTGTAAAGTCTTGTTAACAGTTAGAAGCGGTCGTTCTAAAACTTCTGTCCTCTCCACAGGCCTTGTCCATCACAAATCTAAGCTTCTTGAGATCTCCGAACCATGTTATAGTAGCTTTCTTCTCTTACTATTCCCATTTGTGTGTTTTGCCGAGTGCATTTCCCGTTTAGCCGGTGGTTGAACCCACTCTTCGATTGCGCTGGAGATTCTGGCGTCCTCAAACTCGTCGCTCTCGTTCACGTCCCAAGATCATCGCCCAACCACTGGGAGAAGATTGGATGCCAGAGAATGTCAAAAGTTACATTCAAGAGCAAATTCGGATCGTAAAAGAGGCCGAGGAAAGAGAGGCTGAGGAGAAACGAGAGAAGCAAAGTCGGTTCTACGTCCGATTCAGTCCATCGCCAAATTTCGAGATCAAAAAATTAGAGACGATAGCGACGATTCCCATGGATAACGTGTCCGAAAGTTCGGAAACTACCGAAGAAGCGGATGTACGAACATTTTCTCAAATATTTCCTTGGTTTCCTTAGTTTGCTTGAGCTTTCAGCTAGACAAAGACTTACATTAGTTCTTTACTTTCACTTCAAAGCACTACTTACATTTTAAAGCAACATTTGATTCCTATCTTGCACTCTGTTCTAAGTTTCCGCTTATGCTGTGGTATGATTTTGACGCACAAACTCCTTGCCAAATTACTTGTCATCAGCATGTCTAATAATTGTGATAGTTTGCTAAAAATATCTGAGTTAAATAGGACGTAGCTTAGCTCCGCGGAAATACTTTTATTTCTGGGATATCTGAAGATTACAATTTCAGCAAATTGTTGGAGGATCCAGCTTCTACGACGGCCCAAAGACACCGATCAGTCCGAATAGTGGGAAAGCCACTCCATGTAAGGCCCTTTCCAAACGAGTTTTTTCCAACGTCTTACCATTTGAGATATCTTCTTTCCTTTTAGCCTTATCTCCAAACGCACAACAGCACAATAATGTCGCGTTTGTCAACGATGACAGCATTCCCCACCATCCAATTACTCCACACGCCCCGTCCCATGAATTTATGCATACGGAAGACGAGAATCTCAGTGGGGGATTTGGATTGGTCATCAATGGAGACTCCTTGGCATATGCGTTGAAAAGAAAATACGAAAGGTTGTTCCTGGAAGTCGGATGTCTCTGTCAGGTAAATATAAAAATAGGTTGCAGAGAAACAGAGAAAGTCTCAAGTGCGGCACTCAACTCTTAATGAGTCTTAGCCCATATTTAAACTGCGTTTTTCTTACACTCTGAACAAACTCTTTTTTTGTGTTGTCATAGCCGCTATAAATTAACTTTCAGGCAGTAATCTGTTGCCGAGTAACCCCTCTACAAAAGGCTCAAGTTGTTGATCTAGTCAAACGTCATAAAAAAGCTGTAACTCTTTCCATCGGTGATGGTGCCAACGATGTCTCGATGATAAAGACTGCTCATATCGGTGTCGGAATCTCAGGTAAATACAGTTCTTCTTCCTAAATCAACATTTAAATTCCAGGCCAAGAAGGTATGCAAGCTGTCCTCTCCTCTGACTACTCGATTGGCCAATTCCGATATTTGGAGAGACTCTTGCTTGTTCATGGAAGATGGTCGTATTTCCGGATGTGTAAATTCCTTCGCTATTTTTTCTACAAGAACTTTTCTTTCACTCTCACCCACTTTTGGTATTCGTTTTTCTGTGGGTATTCGGCGCAGACAGTTTATGATCCCATTCTGATTGCATCGTATAACATGTTCTTCACGGCGTTGCCTGTCCTGGCCATGGGGGTTTTCGATCAAGATGTGTCAGAGGATTACTCAATACAGTATCCGAAACTGTACATTCCCGGGCAGTACAACTTGTTCTTCAATATGCGAATCTTTACTTATTCGGTGATCCATGGAATGCTCAGGTATTTTCAAATTTGTTATCAAATATCAACTTTCAACTTTATTGCGCTAGACAATGTTATATTTGTTTCAGTTCCCTAGTCCTCTTTTTTGTCCCATATGGAGCCTTTTACTATGCGGTTGACTCTTCTGGAAAAGACTTGGGCAACTTCAATATCCTTGCATTCACCATTTTCACAGCGTTGGTGATCGTCGTAACTGGTCAAATAATTTTGGATACCTCGTATTGGACGGGATGGAATCATTTCTTTATTTGGGGATCTTTAGGATTCTACTTTTTGGTCGTCGTTTTGTACTATCAAGGTAGACTCTAATTGACCTTTATAATTCTTTCCAGTGATTCCTTACTCCTTCATTTCCTACGGTCCTACTGGTAACTTCTACGGGGTAGTATGGCAAGCAGTGGTCACGCCTCATTTCTGGTTCTCCCTGCTTCTCATTTGTGTCCTTCTTCTGCTCCCCGTATTCCTCAATCGGTTCTTCTGGCTGGACACCAAGCCTTCGTATGCGGACCGCCTCAGGGCCCGATCGAAACTGCCGTTGCACGAAAGACCGGAGGATGTTCAGCCTACCTCGCAGATCAAACGAACGGCCGCCACCACTCGAAGAAGTCGCAGGGGTTCGCTGCGGAGTGGCTACGCCTTCTCGCACACTCAAGGCTTCGGAGAGCTCATTGCCAAGGGCACTCTCTTCAAGAACATTGAGAATCTGCGAGCACCCAGGTAATTTCTCGCCTTTTCACTCCGATTGTTTACTTTTTATTGGGCGGATGATCAAGTAAACATTCGTTTTTTCAGTGGTAAAGGACAGTCGTTTTTACCAACTAGTACAATTGATTTCCACCATTTTTTATTTATTTTCAGCTACCGCAGTAATATCTCGGCAAGTCCCACTCAAAAGCCCAAGTTCAGTATGGCGACGATTGCCGAGAAGCCCATTGGTTTGGCCACGGGTCTTCTTAATGTTCCCCTGTTAGCCAGAAAGAACTCAAAAAGCGAGGCACCCAAGACTCCATCGCCTCCGGAGACCAAGGCCAGCAGTAGTTCAACCCAGAGTCTCATCATCACCCGGGATCCAGATCAAGAGACCAAATCGAGCAGCGGATATCAACATAATATCTTGGTTGGGGTTGATAGCGACCCACTGCCAAACAACTGGTAAGTCAAGTTTATTACAAGCAAAAACATGGAGGTATCTATGATAACAAGGTATATCACAGCTTAAAATAAGCGTCCCTGAGAAAGACAAGCGTGGTTATTAACAAGAAAGTTCCCTGAGTTAAGACATAAAAATTTACAATCTAGCAAGTTACAGGTAAAATACGAGATGTTTAATGTTTATGGATATCATCAAGAGTCTTGATATCATCCAACAAAGTACCTTTGCTCTTACGTTTTTCCACAAAATCTTTGAACATTCTGATCTGATCCTTGCTGAACATCTCCATCACCTTTTCATCAAACATTTCATGCGTATTCAAATATCTGCTAGGCAATCTTGCGTATCGATCAATAGTCTCTTCCAAGGCTGCAATCTGAGCGCTCGTTAGATTCTGAAGCTCTGGATCCGACGGCGCTTCGATGGCTTGTTTCAACCTCAACCGTATCTGCTCCATAATCTCCGAGGAAGGCGGAATTGGCTGACAACAGTGGGTGGTGATTGTGACGAAAGCGATCAGCGGAACGATGACTCGGAACATTAACATATTTCGTTGGAATAACAGTGTTAGACTATAGAAATGCGATCGAATTGAGGTCAGAGAAAGGTGTTATCAACCACAAAACAGACGAGTAACCGGCCGTGGCGTGCAGCTTGACTGAGTAACACTATTTACGAAATCCAAACTATTTGAAGCGGGGATTTGCATAAAAAATTAGTTACGAATTCATTTTGAAAACATGCTTCGAGAGGGTATAAAAGCCCTCAGGAAGCCAGCATCACTCAGCGGTCCGATAGAAAACTTAACTTCGATTGAACTTCAAGTGTGTTCAAGTGTAAAAATGAGCTCGAGATTAGTGCTGTTATCCCTCTTGGCGATATCAGTTTATTGTCAGACGGATGACGGGATCATTACCCTAAGTCCTATTGAGAATCCTTCAACTGAGACTGCCGCTACTACTACTACAACCTTAGCGCCAACTGGCCTTCCAACTACAACCACTCTAGCCCCTGTGCCAACTACAACAACAACGTTGTCGCCTTTTACTGATAACAGTGTCACAGATTCCACGGATGGATTTATTGATTGGACCATCATCCCTTGTCCTTCTGGTGATTGGTTGGACTGTCTGCTGAATGGAGGAGGCAGTGGAGGGGGTCACAAGCATCATCATCATCATCACCATCATGGTGGATCCGACGGAGGGCAAGATGGAGGATTTGGAGGCCGCGGAGGCGGCTTTGGAGGCCATGGTGGCCAAGATGGCGGCTTTAACGGAGGCTTCGGTGAAGGAGGATTTGGCGGACGCGGTGGAAATGGATTCGGTAACGAGTTTGGCGACAGCGAAAGTGAAGAAAATGGCCAAGGATTCGGAGGGCGCGGCGGTCGTGGAGGATTCGGCCAGGACGACAGCGGATTTGGAAGCTTTGGTCATCACGGTTCACCACGCCGTGGGTCGGATGACAACACCGGCTCTACATTTTGGTCCTTTTTATGGTGAAATCGAAAAGCGCATGAGATAATCTGATAATCACGATCTTCCATTTTATACAGGTGTTTGCTGTAACGAGTATATCGAAATAAAATTTGTAATTATTATGTGAATCGAATTAAAATGAGGAAACGCGGTAGATAAATAGGAAAGCAAAACAATTTGCAATTCATTGCAATGACCAAAAAATCTAATTACATTAATTTTAGGGTACCCAGCACTCCTCAAAACGACTCGTTGTCCTCTCAAAACTCTGTCTCATCACGTCCTCACTCTACATCAAGCAGTTCCAGTAGTTTTACTGGGCCTTTGGAGCCAGCCGTTCCTGGCCAACCCAAGCCAGTCTTTGGCATTTTCACGGCCAGACCAGCCACCATCGAGATTGAATCGGACTCAGAGATGGAGTTAAAGGCGAGAAAAGCCACAAAAACCTATGAGTTTGCTCGTGGGCGAACTCAGGATTCCAACAAAACCAACAGCACTTCAAATGGCCGAACAATGGCGGGTACGCAGTATTCAAGGCATGGCCAACCGACCAGTCGCGAACCCGCAGCCACAACGAATCGAAAATACGGTGATTCATTGGTTTAGAGCTTTAACCGATTTTATCTTGCCTTATTTTTGTATTTCTATCTACCTATCGTATATTTTCTTATTAGATACCGTATCTTCTCCTTAAATATCATCTCGTCTATCATATTTTTTTGACATATACACTTGTGAATTGTGCCTTATCCCCACGTCCTCAGATGTCTAATCCGGCTTTTCGTTGCTCCATAAAATTTAAAATACGGGCCATACAGTTAATATTGTATTACTGCTCTATTTGTGCAATACTTTCAATTCTCCCATCGTGCCAAAGAGTCTTTATATCACTTGTAGTTTCTTGTTGTTTGTAATAAATTTTTTGCGAACTTATTTCGAGAAGAGTATCCGTCGTCTTGTGGGAGCAAACGTTGTTTATACCAACATGCTCGAAAGCACATGGTTTTTATCAATTTGTAGGGCAAATGGCCAGCAATCGCTACGCAAAGTGTAGTCGGAAGATACGAATAACACAGTTACATCAATCTTTTCTGAAGAAAAGACTTATCATAAATGCAAAAAAGAAATTTCCTTTAAATTTTGCATCCTCTTCCTACCTTGGTCACAAATAAATTGCTGAAAAGTTAATTAGTGCTTTTTAGAGCTGGTGAGATTTTATCGATCTTTACAGGTAAAGGCCATGTAAACAGAAAAATAAAATTTTTTATTCTTCTTCAACGTAAAACCGTGTTAAATGCTCACTGTAGTTTTAGAAACAAACCTTTGTTCCAAGAAATCAAATCAACAAGTTGAAGCAAAAATAACCCCTTATCTTCTGTTTTGTTAGATGTTACTTCATCATTTTTTCATTTCATTAGTTCCCTTCTTGAACTTTGTTTTATATTTGATTTTTTTTCTTCCTTGTTTTTCCAAATCATCCCTACTTTCCTCGAACGTTATTGTGCGAAAACAACTACCGCCGTAGTGAAGTGCTTGTAAAATAATGTTAATGCATTTAAAACCAGGTTGCTCTAGACATCAACAGTAGAAGCAGCATGCTTTTGGAACTGTTCTTCGTTTTACTTGGTCTGGTCGCATTTTATAATTGTTGGTGGAAGCGGAGAGGGCTCCCTCCGGGCCCTATGCCAACTCCGTTAATCGGTAAGAGTGGTAGAAAAATATTTGAGTTGACACCCATAAAAAACAAAAAAGATTTAATAAATCATTAAATTTTGAAATTGGCTAGAATTAAGACGCTACTTTGTAAGCCAATCCACGTTGATAGAAGATGTGATTTTTTTTCTCTAACTCTTCGTCCTCATTTACCCGAATCTCTGATTCGAAAAGAACCTTTCCCCACTTCTATTGTTTAACTACAATGATTTTTTAAGGGAACGGCTATCAACTAAGCAAGTACCCCTCCAGCGAAGCAGCCTGTAAGGTATGGAAAGATCAGTACGGAGATACCTTTACAATATGGAGTGGAGAGCGTCCAATCGTTTGCGTCACCGACTTCAACACGATCATCCATCACTTCGTCAAGAATGGAGAACAATTCCAAGATCGCCCCGATGACAGCAACTATTTGAACTTTGTTGGGCGCGGCCTTCATGGAGTGTTCCTAGTCGATGGGGAATTATGGAAGAATCAGCGGAGATTCGCGCTACATACTTTCAGAGATTTTGGATTGGGGAAGAATCTGATGGAAGAAAGGGTAAGAACGAATTCTTGCGGCCCGGCCACAAGAAACAAACATTAGGTCGGCCCGGGGCCTTTTCAGGTTTGATCAGGCCGTCAGATTGCCACCTTTACGCAAAACAAAAAAATTTCAATTTTTTTAGGTCATTGAAGAATGCGATTCAATGTTTGAAAGAATTGAAAAACAAAGGAAAGGTGGCAACCCTTTAATCAGCTTGGTCGATCACGTCGACATTGTCATCGGCTCAATTATCAACAATCTTCTTTTTGGCTACCGTTACAATGAGAATAACCTCACCGAGTTTAAAGACTTGAAGGAGCGCGCCACTCTTGCCATTACAACTGCAGGATCGCCTCCAGCAATGATCTGCAGACCAAATCCGGAGTTTTATTTAAAATGGCCAATTTTGGGGAACGTCTTGGCCACAGCTAAGAAAACGTCAATTCATTTGCAAGATTTCTTCAAGACCAGAATCCAAAATCATGTCGATGAGCTGAGAAATGTCGACCTTAGTCAATTGGAGCCCACTGACTTCGTGGCGGCATTTATGAAAGAGCGATATCGTTTAGATTCTATTGGAGAAGAGCATTTCTTCTCTGATCAACAACTTGTAGTTTTGGTTTATGATTTGTGGTTGGCTGGACAAGTAAGCTAGTACTTAGAATATCGTATTTTATTGTAGGAAACGACAAGTAATACGATTGGTTGGGCCATCGGATATCTTATTCATTACCCAGAAGTTCAAAAAAAGGCCCAGGAAGAGTTGGATCGAGTGATTGGATCTGACCGGACTATCACCATATCAGACAGATCGGATCTTCAGTATATGCAAGCGCTTTGTAACGTAAGTGAACGTTTAATACTTTCTATTCAAAGGGGACGAATGACAACATCCTTCTAGAAGTTGTCACCGTTTTTTTTCAAAAAAATCGCAAAAATTCTGAAAAGTAGCGACAAATTTTGATCTTACCATGTGAGCGGTTTCCGAAGTTTGCCAGGAGCCTCGCGCACCCTAAGCAACACAACCGTTTTCAGGAAACCCAAAGAATCTCAAATATGGTCCCAATGAACATCATCCACGCCACTGCCGAAGACGTTGTGGTCGATGGGTATCACTTGAAAAAGGGAACAGCCATTACTCCGTTGATTGGCGTTGTTCTTTATGACGAGAAAGTAAGCGTTTCTCTTCGAAAAATTGGAGTTTTCAATTTTATAACAAAGGATTTTTAGATTTTCCCAGATCCCATGAAATTCAAACCCGAGAGATTCTTGGACAAAGATGGGAAAGTGAAGAGGGTTGACGAGTTCATCCCATTCTCCGTTGGCAAACGACAGTGTTTGGGAGAGGGGCTGGCTCGGATGGAAATCTTTCTGGTCATCGCCAATCTACTCAATAAATACAAGGTATGGTATATGTAATATAATACAACTGCCTTGCGCATAGCAAGTCAAGGATATTGCAAGCAAAAAAAGCAGAGTCAAACAAACGAACAATTTATATTCGTACTTCTTTCAGTTCCTTCCCGGAGAGAAGATGCCCGATCTCAAGAGACACCATGGACTCACAGTTCACCTTAAAAACTTTGAATGTCGAGTGGAACCCCGGTTCAATTAATCTGATGCATTTGCTAACAATAACAGTCGTGCATCTTCGTTGAGGATAATAAAAAATAAAGAAACTTAAACAGTAAAGCAAAAGTTACCGAGCGAGCTGCGTAGTTTAGATATTTTTCGCAAAAGCGATCTTTTTCACCCCAACATGATCGATCAAACCAACGCGTTTTCTTATCAAGTTAACGTGCAGATGACCAGTAACCACTACACAAAGTGTTGTTGGATGATACATGATGATGTTTCATTAAATGGTGTAAATAAATAAATCACAGACTGCCCTGTCATCCACGCCCAACGTAATTTTAGCGGCTATAAAACACAGCGGAGTTGAACTTTACCAAAGATTGCAGACCACAAAACACATTTCTTATGTGCGTATATAAGACGCGTACGCGTAGAAATACTTTCAGACAAGGTTTTGGTGGTTCATTTGGTCATTTCTTTGATGATACTTTGGTTTGGCTTCCATCAAGGCATATTAGTTTTTATTGTTTTTCCAAGGGCAATCTTTGTACATGTTCGTTCGCAAAGTCACTGGAGTGATTTTAAGCGTGTACTGTCCAGAAAAGATTATGCCCAAAAAAGCGATCGACAGCCCAAAAAGCATGGTGCACAGCTCAAAGTAAACCGTTGTTTTCTCACAGTGCATGTCGCAGAAATCACTTCAATGACTTTGCAAACGGACTAGTATTTCGAGGTTACAAAAAAATCAGTGATCGTTATATTTACTGAACTTCATTACATATATGTAGTGGTTACGTTTTGTGTTGGGAGCATTACAACGTGTCATAAAACAGAGAGGTACCGTTTCTGGTTTTCGGACTTCCCTTTGACTTCTTTTCATTCTTAGCTCTGCGGTTTTTAATTATAGTAGTAACCTGGCCCTGACCAATAGATTGACGCAACAATACGTGGCGTTTTATCGTCTGTTATATAATCTGCGCTAGGTAAATCAGCGGCTTTTTGTTATCTTTATCTCCATTTTGTACTTAAATTTCTTAATTTTTTGTATTTTGTGTTCCTGGTTTTTCAACATATTCTCGCGCAAAGCTACGATCGCCGTAGTGAGCTTTAATGATCACCCAACAAATAATAAGCCCATTTAAAACCAGGTTGCTTTGCGCATCAACGGTAGACGCAGGATGATTTTGGAACTGCTATTTGCTTTTGTTGGTCTGGTTGTACTCTACAACTGTTGGTGGAAACGGAGAAGCCTTCCTCCCGGCCCTATGCCGATTCCGTTAATCGGTAAGTACGAAACTCTTTGGATATGACATATCGTCAATGAACATCTTTACTTTTTCGAACCTGGCCCAACAATATGTAACAACCAATATTCCAGGAAATGGCTATCAACTGAGCAAGTATTCCTCCAACGAAGAGGCTTGCAAAGTCTGGAGAGAGAAGTATGGCGATACCTTTACGATCTGGATTGGCGAACGTCCAATGGTTTGTGTCTGCGACTTCAACGCAATCATCCATAATTTCGTCAAGCATGGGGAACTATTCCAAGATCGCCCCGATGACACTAACTATTTGAACTTTGTTGGACGCGGTCTTTATGGGATTCTTCAAATCGATGGGGAATTTTGGAAGAATCAGCGGCGATTTTCTTTACATACTTTCAGAAATTTTGGATTGGGGAAGAACCTGATGGAAGAAAGGGTAAGAAAAAATTTGACACAATTTGTGGTCGGCCAAATGATCCACAATTCATGTTACGGCATAGAAATTTGAAGTTATTTTTTAGGTGATTGAAGAATGCGATTCAATGTTCGAACGTATTGAGAAACAAAGGAAAGGCGGCAACCCTTTAATCAGCCTGGTCGATCACGTCGACATTGCCGTTGGCTCGATTATCAACAACCTTCTCTTTGGCTACCGTTACAACGAGAATAACCTCAGCGAATTTTTCGACTTGAAAGAACGTGCTACTATCGCTACAACAATGGCAGGCACTCCTCCAGCAATGATTTGCAGGCCAAATCCAGACCGTTTTAAAAATTGGCCAATATTGGGAAATATCCTGGCCACGGCCAAGAAAACGTCAATTCATTTGCTGGACTTCTTTAAGATCAGAATCCAAGATCATGTGGAGGAGCTCAAAAATGTAGACCTTAGTGAATTGGAGCCCACTGATTTTGTGGCGGCATTTTTGAAGGAGCGACATCGTCTAGATTCTATAGGAGAAGAACATTTCTTCTCTGATCAACAACTTTTGACCTTGGTTTTTGACTTGTGGGTGGCCGGCCAAGTAAGCGAGTTTTCGAATATTGTTTTACGTTTTTGATTGTAGGAAACAACAAGTAACACGATTGGTTGGGCCCTCGGATACCTTGTTCATCACCCAGAAGTTCAAAGAAAGGCCCAAGAAGAGTTGGATCGAGTGATTGGATCTGATCGGACCATCACTATGTCAGACAGACCGGATCTTCAGTATATGCAAGCTCTTTGTAATGTAAGCAGTTTGCCAGTTCAAGATCTCGTGTATCCTAGAACATCATAGCCACAATTATACGTCTCCAAAATCTATGCATGATGCTTGGGATGGTTGCCCCTCCCAATTTTTTCAGCATATTGAACTATAATTGTTTTCAGGAAGTCCAAAGAATCGCAAATATGGTCCCGTTGAATATCATCCACGCCACCTCTGCAGACGTTGTGGTCGATGGGTATCACTTGAAAAAGGGAACGGCCATCACTCCATTGATTGGCATCGTTCTTTATGATGAGAAAGTAAGCCTTTCCTGTTGTTTTTTTACTGAGTAGTTAATTTTTTTCTTGGTATTTGATATTAATACAACTACAATTTTTTAGATTTTCCCAGATCCCATGAAATTCAAACCCGAGAGATTCTTGGACAAAGATGGGAAAGTGAAGAGGGTTGACGAGTTCATCCCATTCTCCGTTGGCAAACGACAGTGTTTGGGAGAGGGGCTGGCTCGGATGGAAATCTTTTTAGTCGTCGCCAATCTACTAAATAAGTACACGGTATGTTAAAACTCGCATTATCTTGAAGCAAAATATTGAAAACAAGAATGAGTACCCAATGGACCCCTTTACTGTAGTATAATATTATTTTTTAGCTTCTTCCCGGAAAGGAGATGCCCGATCTCAAGAGACGTCACGGAGTCACAGTTCATATTCGAAACTTTGAATGCCGAGTAGAACCTAGGTTCAAGTAAGCTCATCCATTTTCTAGCAATATAAGCCATAAATTAATCTTTTGTAATGCCGAGAATGTGACACAATTTAACTTTGTACATTAACGGCCTTAATAAATATTTTATTTCTATTTGGATGGGTTGGCTGCAAATCAAAGTCTTTGATGACGAGGGAAGTTGTTCAAATCGTAAAAGGCACCCCAATAACTTCAAATCAAGCTGTCTTTCAAGAAATAGCTTCATTTCTTGGCTGTTTAGTTTACCTTTTTCAAAAGACATTCAAAGGTTTAAAGTATACTTGCTATTTCGTCAAGAAACGATGGGAAGAAATTAAAGTGGCATTCTGCATACTTATATAATACTAACAGTACTGTGTTTGCAGTTTTCGCAATGTTATTGTGAGTGTTCATTATCACTTTTCACTTCTTTGCGAAAATCTTGTCAACAAAAAATCACCTAGTTTTTCTGTTTTTATTTAATCTGCAACCACCTGGCTCTGGTTGACGCAACAATAACTTCTTATGGTCTGTCATATCAAATTATGGTTTATCAATCAGCGTCTTTAAACACCTTTACTTTTGATCTTCTTTTTATATTTATATTATAATTTATCAAATATTTCTGTATCCTGTGTTCATTGATTTCCTGAACGAAATGTTGCAAACGCTACAATCGCCGTAGTGAGCCTTAATGCGCTTCCCACTTAATTTTAAGTCCATTTAAACGGTTGCTCTGTGCATAAACGGTAGAAACAGAATGCTTTTGGAACTGTTCTTCGTTTTACTTGGTCTGGTGGCATTTTACAACTGTTGGTGGAAGCGGAGAGGGCTACCTCCGGGCCCTATGCCAACCCCTTTGATCGGTAAGAACGGCAGATATGTCAAATCGCGGCAGAATATATGTATGTAAATCAAGATTTCCATTACGTATACCTATGTGCTTTCTAGGAAAAGAGATAAGGACGTGATAATTAGATTCTCATAAAAATTTAAGGGTTTTGAAATGTTTCTAAATTTTGCCATCCAGAAAGTTGATTTCACGTTTTCATGTATGGGAGGTGCTTTATAAATTTCAGCGCGCTAGTCCATCCCAACATCGCGGATTTAGTCCAAAGTTGAAAGTTCACAAAAAGGGGGAGGGGAGGAGGAGCCGACAGAGAAACGCAGAAATTTTTACAAAGAAATAAATTGCGCAACTTTCAACTTTGGACTAAATCCGCAGGGTACGGATGGACTAGCACGCTGAAATTTATAAAGCACCTCCCATATGTGCAAACTTCATTCTGTACCACGTTCTGGTCTTCGTTTCCAGAGAGAATTTTTTTGTTTCAATTCTAACAACCAATATTTCAGGAAATGGCTATCAACTAAGTAAGTATCCCTCTAGCGAAGCAGCTTGCAAGCTCTGGAGGGAGAAATATGGTGATACATTTACTATCTGGGTTGGCGAACGTCCAGTTGTTTGTGTATGCGACTTCAACACAATCATCCATCACTTCGTCAAGAATGGCGAGCAATTCCAAAATCGCCCGGATGACAGTATCTATTTGAAATTCGTAGAGCGCGGTTATTTTGGAGTAATTCAAGTCGATGGAGAATTATGGAAAAATCAGCGGAGATTTTCGTTGCATACTTTTAGGAATTTTGGATTGGGGAAGAATCTGATGGAAGAGAGGGTAAGAAAAAATTTGGCACAATTTGTGATCGGCCAAATGATCCACAACTCTTGATACGACATAGATATTCCAATTTTTTTCAGGTGATTGAAGAATGCGATTCAATGTTCGAACGGATTGAGAAACAAAGGAAAGGCGGCAACCCTTTAATCAGCCTGGTCGATCACGTCGACATTGCCATTGGCTCAATTATCAACAATCTTCTTTTTGGCTACCGCTATAATGAGAATAACCTAACCGAGTTCTTCGACTTGAAAGAGCGATCTACTGTGTCTACTACGATCGCAGGCTCTCCTCCAGCAATGATTTGCAGACCAAATCCAGAGTTTTATAAAAATTGGCCAGTCTTGGGAAAAGTCATGGCCACAGCCAAAAGAACCTCAATTCATTTGATGGACTTCTTCAGGACCAGAATCCAAGATCATGTGGATGAGCTGAGAAATGTCGACCTCAGTCAATTAGAGCCCACTGACTTCGTGGCAGCATTTATGAAGGAGCGACATCATCTAGATTCTATTGGAGAAGAGCATTTCTTCTCTGATCAACAACTCTTAGTCTTAATTTTTGACTTGTGGGTGGCCGGACAAGTAAGCTAGTTTTAGAATGCCTTTTTACGTTTTTAATTGAAGGAAACAACAAGCAATACGATTGGGTGGGCCATCGGATATCTTATTCATTACCCAGAAGTTCAAAGAAAGGCCCAGGAAGAGTTAGATCGAGTGATTGGATCTGACCGGACTATCACCATGTCAGACAGGCCGGATCTTCAGTATATGCAAGCGCTTTGCAATGTAAATTACAAGTAGAAACATAGAAATATTTTAGAACATGTGAATATAGCTGCCCAGATAGGGCGCTCTGATTTTTTGTGGCTGTTATTTTTTGACGGGGATTTTTTGAAACAATTAGTTTCCTGTAGCAAACTTTTATGGCGCCCTGGTTGAAAACACACATTTCAATGGCAAAAATCGAAAAAAGTTGTTTTTGGTCTTAAAACTCAGATTTTTTTAGGAGGTCCAAAGGATCTCAAATATGGTGCCAATGAATGTTATCCACGCTACCTCTGAAGACGTTGTAGTCGATGGGTATCACTTGAAAAAGGGAACAGCCATTACTCCTTTGATTGGCGTTGTTCTTTATGATGAGAAAGTAAGCTTTTCTCTTCGAAAGATTGGAGTTTTCAATTTTGTAACAAAGAGTTTTGTTTAGATTTTCCCAGATCCTATGAAATTCAAGCCCGAGAGATTCTTGGACAACGATGGGAAAGTGAAGAGGGTTGACGAGCTGATCCCATTCTCCGTTGGCAAACGACAGTGTTTGGGAGAGGGGCTGGCTCGGATGGAAATCTTTCTGGTCATCGCCAATCTACTCAATAAATACAAGGTGTGTTAAAACTACAGCCTTGACACCAAAATATTGAAAACAAGAATGGCAATCCAATAGACTCTTTACTGTGGTATTATTTTTTAGATTCTTCCCGGAAAGAGTATGCCAGATCTCAAGAGACACCACGGAATCACGGTCCACATTCAAAACTTTGAATGTCAAGTAGAACCCCGGTTCAAGTAAACTCATGCATTTGCTAGCAATAACAGCCATAATGGTGGCTTTAAAATGCCGAAATAATAGCTCTGTTTGTAAGACTTCTTAATAAATATTTTTTCAATGCAACGTGGAACGATCAATAAATTAAGTTTTAAGTGTAACAATGTTCGGTTCGGTTCTTAGAAAGTCAAGAAGATGCTGCCTTCGACAAAAATAACCGTTTCATCAATGATTTTAACTAAAGATAACCCATCTTTTCAAAATCAATCTAGAAAAAGCGTAGTTTGTAGCTGAATCGAAAACACAAGCCCTTTAAACGTTAAGGTGTCGCCGTGGTTTAAAGAGTCGAGACGCTTTACCCATTTAAGAGACATAATTGTTTACTCATTGCAAAGACCATGGTCTTGCTTTACCTTTTTCTCATCTTTGTTACCTATATATTATATCATACCTGGTGGAAACGACGGGGTTTACCTCCTGGGCCAACTCCGTTACCGTTGTTTGGTAAGTTAAGTCCGAATGGGACCTCTGTTTTCCTTACTCACTGAAGAACTTCACGGTGCAATCAACCAAAATTTTTTTGAATAAACAACTATCGATCGCATTCTATGGACAAGCGTGTTTCAGGAAACGCTCTTGAAGTCTCCAAATACCCATGTACCGAAGAAGCTCTAAAAGCATGGCAAAAAATCTACGGCGATGTTTTCACTTTCTGGACGGGCGATAGAGCTATCGTCGCTGTCTGCGACTATGAAAAAATTGTTCATTATTTCGTAAAGAACGGAGAGTTGTTCCAAGATCGTCCCGATGACAGCAATTATACAAAATACGTTGGCCGTGGGGACCACGGAGTGGTCCATTTGAATGGAGACTACTGGAAGAACCAAAGGAGATTTGTTCTTCATGCCCTCAGGGATTTTGGACTGGGAAAAGATTTAATGGAACAGAGGGTAATCTTGCAACATTGTCGCTGACAAAACAGTTTATAGGTCATCGAAGAATGCGAAGATTTGTTTGTCAAAATCCAGAAAACCCTGAGCAAATCCTCTTCCGATGTAGACCTCCCTAATTTTATCGATGTGGCCATCGGATCCATTATTAATAATCTTCTCTTTGGATATCGTTACACCGAGGACAAACTCTATGAATTTGATGACTTAAAACAACGTGTAAAGCAGTATGTAACCGCAAGTGGGCAACCGGCTGCCCTAATTTATCGATCAAATCCACAATTCTATGAGAAGCTACCGTATTTCAAAGATAAACTTCATCGTATGCGTAAACAGGCGATTCATCTTGTCGATTTCTTCAAAGTCAGAATCTTGGAGCATGTGGAAGATTTGAAAAATGAAGATATGGCCACATTCACGCCCACTGATATTGTGGCTTGCTACTTGAAGGAAAAAAGAAATAGAGAAGTTGACGGGGAGGACGCTTATTTCACTGATCAACAACTCGTAGGACTTTCTTTCGACTTGTGGGTTGCTGGGCAGGTAATCAAAGTTTTGGATTAATTCTATTATAAAGCGAAGGAAATCAAGGAGAAGAAAAATAATGACTGAAAACTTCAGGAAACCACGGCAAACACCCTTGGATGGGCGTTCGCTTTCATGATCCATAATCAAGACGCTCAAAAGAAGGTCCAGGAAGAGCTGGATGCCGTTATTGGCTCGGATCGGGTGATTACAACGGCTGACCGGCCACAGTTACCGTATCTTCAAGCCGTTTGCAATGTAAGAACCGACTTTTAAGACGATTACAACCTCACCAAAAAAATTCTACAAAACCTTTAACCAACCGTTTAGGAATCCCAACGCCTGGCCAATTTGGTGCCGACTAACGTTTTTCACGCAACCAGTGACGACGTTGAAGTAGATGGATATATTTTAAAGAAGGGCACTGCGATTACTCCTCTGCTATGTGCAGTATTGTCGGACGAGAAGGTAATACCAATAATAATCATAAAATGGGAAAATGTTTTAGTACTTCCCGGAGCCCCGGAAGTTCAAGCCTGAGCGATTCCTCGATAACGATGGGAAACCAAAAAAAGTGGATGAAAATATTCCATTCTCGATCGGAAAACGTCAATGTTTGGGCGAAGGGTTGGCTCGGATGGAGATTTTCTTGGTGCTGGCTAATATTTTGAACCGATACAAGGTAAGACGCCCATCGAAAAACAAAATGCACGCGTGCACAGTAACCCGGAAAGAAAAATAGCTCTTTTCGACTTTTGAGATCCGTCCAAACGAAGTGTCAAAATTGACAAAAAAATCCGAGAAAAATATTTTTCCACCAAAACCAGATGAAAAATTGTTGACTGTGCATAAAGGAATGAAACATCCTTTTACTTCGAAAATTAAACCTTTTTCTGTTTTCAGGTTCTTCCTGGAGCTGAGCTGCCTTCTTTGGAGAGAACTCGTGGATTCACTGTTGGTCCGAAGCCTTACAAATGCAAATTGCAACCCAGACATGTCTAAACACACCCGCTAGACTAAACTATAATTTAAATTTACAAACTTTCTTACTGTACGGCGGCGGTCATGATCTAATTATCAAAGACAAGACACGCAAGTCGAGAACCTTTTCGCGGAGTTTTTTCCCTTTCCGGTCTCAGATCGGTTCCGATTGTATCAAGACCACCACTGCAAAGCCCATTTTCAAGCAATCTCATACTAGCAATAACAGCCATATTGGTTTTTGCCATAGTTTATACTGTGGGAATATTTAGCTCCGTATGCAAAAAGCCTGAATAAATATTTCTCGTCAACAAAGCAATTAACTTATAAACCATTTTGATGTTGGACTTTTAGAAAGTTTAAAACCTGCAACCTTCATGAAAAACAACTGTTACGTTAATGACTCTTGTCTGATGATAACCAATGATTTCTAAATCGATCAAGAGAAGCGAACTCTTTGTGGCTAATTCGAAGACACAAACTCGGTAAAGGTTAAACATTCGGTACAGCCCGAAGAGTGGAGAGAGCCCATTTAAGGGAAAGCGCTGTTTACTCGTTGCAAAGACTATGCTCCTGTTGTATTTGGGCTTCCTTTTAGTTGCTTATATTTTATATCACACCTGGTGGAAACGACGAGGCTTGCCTCCAGGACCAACCCCTTTACCATTTCTCGGTAAGTTGACTTCGTATGGGACGACTTGGTTCCCTATAGCCATTCACCTAATGTAAGATGGTTATGTTCCCAGGCCGTTGATGTTTCTATTTCTATATGTGACTGCTCGCAATGTCAACGCTAAATGCTATATTTTACCCCAACAGTGTAGCAACCGTGTAGACTTTTAGATTAAAAAAGAGTATACTTTAAAATACGGACCACTAGGCTCGCACCCCACAAAAGTATCATCTAACCCCAAATTCTACTATAGGAAATGCCCTTGAGATCGCCAAATACCCATGTACCGAAGAGGCTCTAAAAACGTGGCAAAAAATCTACGGCGATGTTTTCACCTTCTGGTCGGGCGAAAGACCTATCGTCGCGGTCTGTGATTACGACAAAATGGTTCACTACTTTGTAAAGAACGGAGAGCTGTTTCAAGACCGCCCTGATGACAGCAATTATATGAACTTCGTTGGCCGTGGTTGTCACGGTGTAATTCATTTGAGCGGTGACTACTGGAAGAACCAAAGGAGATTTCTTCTGCATGCCCTCAGGGATTTTGGACTGGGAAAAGATTTAATGGAACAGAGGGTAATCTTGCAACACTGTCGCTGAGAAAACGCTTTATAGATTGTAGAAGAATGCGAAGATTTGTTTGTCAAAATCCAGAAAACCCTAAGCAAATCTTCTTCCGACATAGACCTTCCTAATTTCATCGATGTGGCCATTGGATCCATTATTAATAATCTTCTGTTTGGATATCGTTACACCGAAGACAAACTCTATGAATTTGATGACCTAAAACAACGTGTAAAGCAGTATGTCACCGCAAGTGGGCAACCGGCTGCTTTGATATGCCGATCAAATCCTCAATTCTACGAGAACCTACCGTATTTTAAGGAAAAACTTCAACTTGTGCGAAAACTAGATGTTCATCTTGTCGATTTCTTCAAAGTCAGAATATTGGAGCATGTGGAAGATTTGAAAAATGAAGATATGGCCTCATTCACGCCCACTGATATTGTTGCTTGCTATTTGAAGGAAAAAAGAAAAAGAGAAGTTGACGGGGAGGATGCTTATTTCACCGATGAACAACTCGTGGGACTTTCTTTCGACGTGTGGGTTGCCGGACAGGTAATAAAAGTCTTGGATTTTAATTCGAATGCCAAGAAAAGCAAGGAGTTATAATTAATAATGTTGAAAACTTCAGGAAACCACGGCAAACACTCTTGGATGGGCGTTCGCTTTCATGATTCATAATCAAGACGCTCAAAAGAAGGTCCAGGAGGAGCTGGATGCGGTTATTGGATCGGATCGGGTGATTACAACGGCTGACCGGCCACAGTTACCGTATCTTCAAGCTGTTTGCAATGTGAGAACTAACTTTTAAGGCGATTACACCCTCCCCAAAAAATGTCTACAAAAACTTTTATCGACCGTTTAGGAAACCCAACGCTTGGCCAATATAGTTCCCACTAATGTTGTTCACGCTACCAGTCAGAACGTCGAGGTAGATGGCTATATGCTGAAGAAGGGTACTACAATTACTCCTTTGCTATGCTCAGTATTGTCCAACGAGAAGGTAAACAAATAATATCACCCAATACTAATCTATCTCGAAAAGTCGCTGAAGTGATCTGCGAGAGAAAACCTCGCAGTGGCAGCCGCATTGAAGGAATCGGTGAAAAAAAACCCAAAAATGGACATTTCCGCGTGTCGCTCGCACTCTTACTTTTCGTTCACTGAAATGCACTGTGAAAAAAGCCAAAATCACTCAGCGACTTTTTGGAAAGACTATAAACAAGCTTTTAGTACTTCCCGGAGCCCCAGAAGTTCAAGCCTGAGCGATTCCTCGATGACGATGGGAAACTAAAAAAAGTGGATGAAAATATTCCATTCTCGCTCGGAAAACGTCAATGTTTGGGCGAAGGGTTGGCTCGGATGGAGATTTTCTTGGTGCTGGCTAATATTTTGAACCGATACAAGGTAAGAAGCCTCATGGAAGAATCCCTGTGACTAAGACTCGTGAACAGTTAGTTAGCTTATCTCAACACTGAAATGCCTAGCCAAAAAATTGGAGTGATCACCTCTCCAGTTTTTGGGATAACCATTTCAAGTTTTAAAGCAACTAAGCTTTACGATGGCGGGTTCTAATCGAAGTTTTCCCTTCTGGAAATGGAAATCCCCTTTTAACATCGACGAACACTTTCTGTTTTCAGGTTCTTCCTGGGGCCGAACTGCCTTCTCTGGAGAGAACTCGTGGTTTCACGGTCAGTCCAAAACCATACAAATGCAAATTACAACCCAGACATCTCTAATAATACTCAATGTAGCTAATATTAATATCAATTACAGTATCATCGAGACTAGTTTATTATCAAAAAGTACCAGTTTGTTGATCAAGTTTGTAAAAATCAAGCGAGAAAAATAAACTATGGCATGATTCGACTAACTTCAATGTGATGAGAACAATATTGCCGGGGAATTGAATGTGAAAGTTGGGTAATAAATAGAAATTTAAATTAAGATATGACAAGAATAACAAAAATATATGAAAGATTTGGAAAAAATCACAGATCAATGAGTGTTGTCACGGTTGTAATACTTTTAAAAATCACGATCGGGTCATGTTCTCTACCAGTAGCTAAAAATTATATTGTTTTAGAGGCAAAAACAAGCGAAAATGACATAATTTTACGTAAAATAAGGCCAACTTTCTCTAAAATATGCCCAAATACGGTCTCAAAATTAAACATAAGCCCTTCTCTAAAGGCTAAACGACTTACATGATTAAGTTCTTGAATTTTCCGGCTCAATTCAACGATGGTCCTCTGATTACTCCTCATTTGTTCTTGAAGATCTTTCATATCCAACTGGTCACTATCCACATTCTCTTCCTTCAACGAAATCGCTTGCATTCTCGGGAACCAATCCAGATTCTTCTTTTTTACACAATCGGCTACGTAACTTTCGGGTCCAGTGAATTCGGTTTCATCTTTTATTTGAAGCCAGACAATAAAATATAGGTAATGCCAGAGGTTATGTTCGAATTCATTGTGCTCCTCAAAGGTTATGGCTTTGTTATCAAACCTAAACAATATTTGTACCAGAAGAATATTTAAATCGATCTTATACATGATTAAAACTCACCGTCCTCTTTCCAAGCCGCATATAAAGCATGTGTTCTTCAGAATATCCTCATTTTCGTTCTTTTCCGTACGCAAATCTCCAAACGTATCGATGATCACACCAAAAATCAAGTTCAGAACAATAACAATAAGAACTATGTAGAAGGAAAGATCATAGACGATACGCCACATCCAGTACGGTTCCTAAACATCGAAAACTTAACTCAAAAGACCTTAGCTTACCTGAGGATGAACAGTTCTCAAGACATCGCCAATTCCTCCACCATTTCTCATACCCCAATTCAAGGTCATCAAGATGCACATCCGGAGAGAACTACATGTAAGAAACTTGTCGTCCTCCTCTGAAATCTGCGGTGGAATCGTAGCGGGGCACTCAGAATCCTTGCTATCACATTGAGGCCAATCTGGAGGTTGAACGCTGACCAAAATATCATCATCCAGCTTCTCGACTTCTAATCGGAAATCCTTTTGGAAGAAGATGTAGCCGATGATAGAGAAGTGATAAACCAAGATCAATCCCAATACCCCGGTCAAGATGATGGACTGCCAATTTCTGGTCACTGATCGAATAACATTCCGTAAGGTTTCTTCGTTCACAACAATATCGAATAACTAAAAATTGCAAACTCTCAAAAACAATATTTTCACTTACCAACAGCGAGTAAAAGAAAGGATGGCAAAACACTCCGAGGGCACAGCATAACAAATAAACCAGATAATACCAAACTGTGGAATCGGTAAATCGCTCATTCCATCGACGATCGATCAAACCACGGTGTCCAACATAACTTATCAAATGTAAGCTTTTGTTTAGGATCTAAAATTCAAACAAAATAAAAAATTAGCATACAACTTACCTGGAAAAGGCCAAACAAGGCGATCGACGACTTGACTCCACATATGGCACTCATTATCATCATGAAACATATAATTACTCCAAATATTCCCAACTGAGAACGTAGACTTGCACCGACAGTATCACTGAAAGAAGAATAATCTCAGAAATGTTATTCTAATCAAACCGTTATTTGCAATCCATCAAAATAATAAAAATTTTACCCTTCCTCCCAAGAAGTGTATAATTGATAACCAGCAATAACCATCGAGACATACAAAAACGGATTCCCCAGTCGAATCGAATCTCCAATTGGCGACTGATCGAATGGATAACAAATCGCAATTATAATGTTGATCAATACTGCATTGAAAAACGCCATTCGTCCCCAAACTCGAAGTCTTTTTGTGATAGCACTAAGAAGTGGCTGACTTTGTAATTTCTTTTGCCATTTCATCTCATCGTATAATTCTTGCCATTTATCGAAGAAATCCGTTACTTTGGATCCTTGCGCATCCCTCTCTGTATTTATAAATACATGAGCCTTGGTTTCCGGTGTAATATATGAGCAGACATCATGAATGGGAAATACGACTCTCTCCAATTTTCGGTCTGACCTGACGATTTCAATCTGAGCCGTGTGGGTTCGATAGAACTCGAGGGCATCTCGCATTGCGTCATTTGGAGCTTTAGATGGGTCAAGGAGTCGGGCCAATTCTTCATTATGACGTGAGAGTTGGTGGGCGAGGATGTAAACATTATGTCCGACCTCTTTCGGGTCAATCAATGATGTAACTGTTGGGGAGACCACTGGACTTTCGGATTTTACATCAGCTCGATTAATGGAGATCTCCGGAATCACTGGAGTTGAGGCTTTTCCATTCTAAAAAAGAATCATTAGATAAAAATACAACACTAGGCACTTGATACCTAAAACAACATCAAAATAGTGATTTATGCCTAAAGCGCAACTCAGAAATCAAGAAACTACTTACATTATGAGCGATTAATTGATGCTTGACCTTCGTAACCTTGAAATCATTTGAACTGGACATCTCATAAGCCTGAACAATAGCTTTGATCAATTGAGCGGGACCTCCGGATGTGTGGAACATGTTTCGAAGCACTCTCTCGGCGTTCTCACTGTCATGCCGACTCTCCATTATGGCCAAAAGTAACTTTGAAGCGTTACTTTTGATCTCCAAAGCAAGATCCATGTGTTCATCGGCCAAAGGCCGAATATCATTGAGGACAAGGGATATAATAATGTCCAACCCATTAGATTCATGCATGGCCAAAGTATTCTAAAAGAGAAATAAATCCACAAAGAATGCAAAACCCACCTGGTTTTCATGACAAGGTCCTTGACAAAACTCTGTCAACGTGATCAAAGTCTGAGTGATCAAGGAGAAATTGTGTTCTCCGATCTCTCCGAATACTCCAAGACTTCCTTTGGTGCTTCCACAGATTGTATCCAGGAAAGTTAAAGTTTCCCCGACCAGATTGTAGTCAGGTCGACTGTTCTGGGTTCTCAGGAAATTCTGGAGAACATTGTTGTGATTCTCGCAGAGCAATTGGAGGAATCGGAGGATTGGCTCAATGATGGAGACCTCAGTTGGAAGGTATTCATTCGGTCTAAAAGTTTTCCAATAGAAATCTGTAACCTATCTTGGTAAAAAAATGTATAGCTCAAGATCAAAGAATTTCGACAATTTTTTCTCAACTTTCGGTGGAAACTGGTAGGGCGCAGCTCGCCACTGACAAAAATTTATAAATTCGGCGGGTTGCGGATTGATTATTCGCGCATAATGTAAAACATTCGGCTTCGTGGAAATTGGACAGAGTGAAATTCGACAGAGTGAAATTGGACAGAAATAATTTGGACAGAGCGTGGAAATTGGACAGAGTGAAATTGGACAGAGTGAAACTCGACAGATTTTTTTTCACTGCAAAAAATAATTATTTGATGATTCAATATTGACATTTCGTACGATTGCAGCGAAAATCTGTCCAATATCACTCTGTCCAATTTCACTCTGTCCAATTTCACCCTGTCCAATTTCCACGCTCTGTCCAAATTATTTCTGTCCAATTTCACTCTGTCCAATTTCACTCTGTCCAGTTTCCACGAAGCCAAACATTCCATACGAATATCCCGTGCAGTAACTTACTTGTCGTCCTCATTGCAATCCATCGTACAAGGTAGGCTTGAAACATTAGAATAGTCCGAGGGTAATGGTTGTTTGGGACCACTTTCAAATGAGTTTTGCGCATTCAGCTTTGGATTGGGATGCAAGGTCTCTGTTAGAGGGCAATCCATCGAATAGGGGACGGGGGTCATTACAGTTGAGGCTAAAATTTATCCATTACAATATGACCAAATTAATTTTGATGATAACAAAACGATCATGAACAAAATAAAGTGTCAAACTGAGTAACAGTGAAGGGAGGAAACGTACAGCGTCGACTGATCGAAGTGGAAAGCGCTGAAATAGAAAAAATCAAATTTATGGGCACTGAAAATCAAGTGGCCAACAAAATCGCATTACTAAACCAAAGTAAAATAAGATTCGGAAGCCGTCTGGCCTACCTGATTTCCCACGATGACTTTTTTCCGACATCATGTCGCTTTTCAACCTGTTCTGCGCTGTCTGCAGTTTGTTAATCAATGCTCTGAAGAACTTGTCCGCCACTTTTTTATGTTTCAGACGTTCATAAAAGGTCATCTGAACCTCGTGATTACCCTCATAAAGAAGAGCTTTGGCCAACTGGCAGGCCTTCAAGAAGATCTCGCATGACGGTTCCATTACTATTAGGTCAATTACAAGATCTGTAAAACCATAATGAGAACATGGGTCAGAAATGTTGACCAATCGCAAGCACTTTACTTACCAACCGCTCCAGCATCATTCAATTTACATTGGACTTGATACAATGACACATTTGTCAACGGTCTCAATTCATTATCGAAAATGTATTCTAAACGACAAAGATAACCTTGTACCGTAAGTGACTACCTTTCTTTTTGCCATCGGAATCTTTAATATTGCTCATAATGCTCTTCTGCCCGCCTTGAACCGCATCGATCCCAAAGTATCTTTGAAGAAGTTGCTTTCTCACAGATCTCCCCTTAAATTGTAAGTATTATAATCTCCCTACTCCGTATAGAGCCTAAGCACACCAAGCATTAGAGTTTGCGGAAAAAGAAATGGACGAAAGAAAAAGAGGAGGATAAAGGAACAGAAGGAGGAACAGTTCCGGAATGTTACTCATCAACTTCTTTAGTAAGACTACTAAGGAGTCGACGAAGTACAAGAGAAATGAGAGGAACACCAAGAACACAGATTACTTTTTCAATGAACACCTCATTCCCTTCCATGCCCAAGATCGAACTCTGGAACGCAGACTAAAATCTCATCGCAATGAAGATAGAACAGTTGGACAATGTCATATTATACAATAGGGCAGTCGACTTACCTGCAGAATGAAGTTATGTTTGGCACTTGTGGCCATTCTACACAATGTAGCCAACACTCGACTACAAAGACCTTCGTGTTTTTGTTGGAGAAGAAGCTTACAATGTTGTATCAGCCTGAAGAGTAACAACATGTCTTTGTAAATATTGGTACTCCTGTGATAAAGAAGAATAACTTACTTTGAACAGACACCTCCGTGTTCACATCGATCTCTCAACATACTGCCAATTGGGAACAGTTTATCCGGAAGATGGAGAACATCAACCAAGACGGAACATTCCGCCCCTTGCAATGGCTGTAAGAAGATCCTCAGCTCGGCTATAAGCTGCTGGTAACACATTACAACATTGTTCATGCTGTCCACAGCTCGCGAGTACCTCGGGGCATTCAAAGTTCGATTAGTCCGAATGGATAGGGACTGCTGATTTCGCTGAAATTACGTTGATTTAGTTTCAGCTTACGATTTTATCGCTTACAGTGATAAATCTCGCTGAATGCGCTGCACTTTGCCATCGTTGTTTTGCAGTTGTGGCTGAGCTGACTGGAGGAAGCGCGTAACTTGTCAAAGGCACCACTCCCAGCTCATCCGCACACTTATTCAACCGTTTCGTACATTCAGCTACTCGATACCAATTCTTGGAATGGTTACTACTCTTCAGTGGACCATTCTGAAGCTCCGTCAGTTGCTGAACAATATGAGTGAATCGTTTCTGATGTTGCTTGATATCAATCATTGGCTGTTGACTATACGGTTTTTCAAAGAATTTGATGAGAACTTCTGTCAGTTGCTGACAAACATATCTTTCTAAACTGATCAGCTCCGGAGTAGGTCGGGTTTCGCGGCTCAGTTTATAAGAGAACTGTCGGATATCAGCCAAAATGTCATCCATAATTTGTTCCAGGTATTCAGCATTATTCGCGTCCTTTAGTTCAATGTCTGAATCGATATAACAATGAAGCATGAACTGGAGGTAGACTGATTTCACTTCGACAATACATTCCTTGGCTGTTACTACTCGAACGATGTGGTCCATTGGTAAAAATGAAGCGCATTTCAATTCCGTACTACTGTTTTTACCCTTGGTACACATAGCCATCAACCTTAACGATAATATTATAAGAATAAGCAATATAGCAGTAATTTGATTTCTCAACCTACTTAACGAGCTCAGTATGATATCGTAGCGGAGAGACCACGTCCAGATCAACTTCATTTCTCATCATTTCCAGTAACTGTTCGAAACTCGCACTGTCCACATAAAATGGACGGACTTCATCGGATGCCTTTCCAATCTACAGAAAAAGAAAAGATAAACATAATGAGGTGCAGTCCATACCTCTTCCACAATTTTCAGCTGGACACTGTCAATTTCTTTCTCACATGATGACACAACAACTTGTAAGAACTCTAAGAAGATCGCGTTCCTTTGTTTATGCTCTATCAATCCAACAATATGTGATATCAGACTCTCCGAGACGTTCTCGCAGAGTTCTGGGTTATTCCGATAGACGGAAACTAATGTTTGGACTTCTTCGACCTAAAAGATTATCTATTATTCCTTCGGTTCAATTAAAATTACAAGATTTTCTCTAACTTACCGTATTCACCGACAGCGACCCTTCTCTAGCATCATTATCAATCGAAACGTATAATTGAAGGCGATTTTGATTTTCCTTGTTGTTCTTACAGAAGCTTCTTAAGAATTCGTGAGCCAACGTGACCAATTTTGGCATTTCCGTATCGTTCTTTTTGTCATAGGGAACAGAAAGGAATTCCAAAACGACCTCGAATACACGCATATTGCGTAGCAATTGTTGGTTCATCAAATCATTGCGAGTTCCGGAGATTCTCTCATAGCCTCGGAGATCCCGGGAATCTTCGAAACAGAGATTTCTCATTCGTTTTACAATCTCCTTGACGATTGGATAGGCGACAAGTGGGGCTTTGTCCATCAGGTCATGCAAGGCAGTCGACATTGTGTCTCTTTCGCTGTTGTTGAAGAGCTGAAAAGAAGATGGTAAAATTCATAATTTTTCGTCGTAATTTCTTATTTTGAAAGGCCAGACACGTACCTGCTGAACAAGTTGAACACACTTGATCTTGTTCTGAGGATAATGCTGCTTGATGAAATCGATGAAAATCTGCGGTGGAAGTGGTCCATTATCCGCCGAGAGCTCATTTAGGTCTTCAACAAGCCTTTCATGGTCAACCTCGTCCGTATTATCATTCAGTAGGTCGTCTCCACTCATACTTCTTGATCTATCCACACTCAAATTCTTTTGTCGTTTTGTTGTTGATGCCACAGGCTTTCCAAAATGAACCCAGAGCTCACTTTTCTCGGTCAAATTCTTGAGTATAAAGAGATCCCGATCAATTTGGTGATAATTGTCAACATCTCGATTAGACACAAGTAACTGGACTTGTTTCAAATCCTCAATCAACTCTTGGTATTGGTTGAAATGACGGAACAACACCTTTAACGCCATGCTCGTCAAAGGTGGATAGTCATTCATGGTCATTTGAAGCAGTATCCTTAGTAACTGTTGACCTTGTTCTCCATCAAAATCAAGTTCTTGCTCGGTCTTATCGAAGACCTCGGCTCTCATTTCGTTAACTATCTTCTCCGTGATCACCGGAGCTTCCAGTAACTCTCCGTTTTCATTACAAGGAAATTTGTTTTTGAAATAAGACAAGGCAACAGTAATCCGATAGTCTCGGCGGACATCCATAATGAACTAAATTAACTAAGGTTAAGCGGAACGGACATGTTAATCTACCTGAAGGAGTTCAACAACGATCAGTTTGGTCTGCAAGACCATCTCTCTACTCTCCTTGGCTTTGGCCGTCTCCTCGGCGTCCGAATCGCTGTGTTTCAGCGATGTCGGACGTTTCGGAGTTGATGTTGTAGTGGAATCGGTTGATGCTTGAGTGTTGAGCATTCCCCGTGTCAGTTGACGCATGAGTTTTGTGTGCGGAGCAAGACGTTCTGAAATCAAATCAAGTTGGAACGATGGAAGAGGTGACACACGAGAGGTTATCGACTGTTTCGGAGAGCAATCAGTGATTGCCAGGAGGTTCTGGGCGAGTTTTAGCAGTTCTTCGAAGGTGTAGAATCCGAATTGAGCTAGGGCTCGGGCTAGGTTGACTATCTGAAATCCACGTATTAGAATGCGCGATCTTCATAAACTATACCTCAAAAGTTAGACGATTCTGATCGCAGTAATGTGGTGACTCGGAGAGAACAACATCGCCATTAGAGTAAATACGTCTAAGTCCGGCCAAGTAGTCATCAACAACACCCAGAAGGCCCTTGAATTTTTCATGCTGTAGATGTCTAGAGGGCCCTGCGTCGGCAAAACTGGCAGTTAGATTGGAATGATAAGTCACAACATCAACTTGATTAGGAATATCTCGCCATAATCGAGCATGTCTGACGGCTGTTACTGGTGAACCTCGAACAACATGCAGGTGAAGCATTAGTCGAGTGAAAGAAGCTCGGATGTCACAGGGAAGACGGGTGTCTGACATACATCTGAACGATGGTATTACATGCGGCTCTAATTATAAGTTCTTACTGTAAAACAAGATCAATTGGGAGTTCATGACTGATATTCAACAACTTCCTCTCTGGCGGTGGATCAATCGCCAAGTACTGTTGGTCTTGACACATCTGAGCGATCAAGCCAAGTTGATGACGATAGTAGTCGATCATATCTCGATCTTCTTGCGAGTTCGATTCTGCACATTGAACTAATAACCGACAGGCGGTATTAGGGAAATTCCAACAGATATAGACGTCGGCTGTCTTCTTTCCGAAACTTGGAGCCAATTCGGTTTTCATGAAGATATCCCGGTTCTTTTCGCTGAGAACTGAGTTACAGATGAGCTCTTGGATCTTCTTGTTGGCTTCGTCTCGGCATACACAAAGATCTGCTAGGTAATCCAAGAACCTACAAGAAAGAGATCGTTGCAAAGAAGGTATTATTCAAAGGGCCACTAATTGATGTAAATCTCAAAATGACTTACTTTCCACATCTGTTGTTTCTCACCAGTTCGACGAACCTCTCCACATGCGGTGTTTTAACGTATTTTTCAAGTAATTTAGGGTTGTTGTGCAATACCGCGGTCATCGTGTCTTCAGCCAACAAGTTGAACCCTATCTGCTCTTGGATTTGGTCGAATTTCTCCGCCAGAAATTCTTGGTTCTTTCTGTAGCGAACTTGAGAATATCTTAAAAGGGAGTAACAGAGTTGGAACATCCTCCTGAAGACTTCATTCCTATTTTCCATCAGTTCTTGAGGTGACGCTAATAGTGGAGCTACTTCACCAACACCTTGACGAGGGAGGAATGGTGCCTTGAGAAGGTCGAAAACCTACAACAAGGAGCTTTACGGTCAATTATTGCGATCACATACCTTTCCAAGGACTCCTTGTTCTCTCAGAAGTTTTTGACGGTCTCTCGTAGGCTCAAAGTCGATGATATTTAGTGGGTCAGTCATATGATTAGTGGTGTTAGTGACGAAGTAGATACATTCAATAAGTAGTTGCATTGTGAAACTAAAGTTTAAAAGTATTAGAGTTATTTTTAGTTGTCATCGTTTCTGTCTTGTCGATGACTTACTTGATAGGCTCTTTCCCCACAGTTTTTCCACTTTTGATGACATTTATAAATTGATCCAGCGCTCGACAAGCATCATTCGCAAAGTCCAAGTCTCTAACCTCGTTTGGTGAAACTGGCGACAACGCAAAAGCCTCCTTGTCAATCTTGGTATGCTCACAGACAACTTTTACCCATCCTTTCTCATTCTTACTGGTATAGTAAAGGTTTTGCTTTAACGCAGGGTCTGTTGTGTGCAACCACCGACTCGTTTCCATATGTTGAAGTCTCACAAACGAATTGATAGGGACTCTCGCTTCTTTCGTGGAGGTCTTAGCACAAGGATCTAACAAAAACAATGTATCTTTTTCTGTGATCGAATCGTCAGCTGAACTTGGAACCAAAACATAAGGTTCATCTTCTCCTCTGGAGTCAAATGAACTGTCAATACTCAACTGGACTCTAATGCCACTAGCCCGACGTTCAGTTGCGATTTGTTGCGCCATACTCATAGGGACAGCGGATAAATAAAGATCCGTGGCCAGATGTTTGAACTTGATTTGGCGCCGCCAAGTCGCCGCTCCCCCTCGGAATGCCATCTCTTTGTTGTAAACCTAAATCGGTAATATTAATATACTATAAATTGCTCACCTGTATCTCCCATAATGCCCTGGAGGATGTAGCGTCTGTAGCGGAACTTCTGTTAGTCATTCGAAGGAATACCACGTCTCTTTTTGTCTTTGGATTCTTATCTAAAGTTAGGAATGTTTGTTGATCAGCATGGAATAATCGGACAACGTCGCCGGATTTGACATTATCTGGCCGGTTCTCATCGAATTGCAGATACACATTGACCTGCCATTCGGTGAGTTCGTTGAGACAATTCACTTCCCAGCCAATATCATGATCATGTAAGCGGAAATGTGAAAGATGTAGTTGAAGTTTCGGTTGGTTATTGTTGGAAGTGTTTGTGTGACCCGTTGTGTATGGAATGAGGCAAATTCTTTCACCGGACATAACCTGCAAAGACAGTAATTTGTATTATACGCTAATAAATGCGAGCAGTTGTGTATGCCAAATAGAGCAAGTTTTCTTACGTTATCACCGATAGCAACGTGTTTGTACACCGGTTCCACCGTGAACCAAGATCCTTCATTACCCGTTCGATCCAAGTAAACCCGCATGGCATTCCGTTCTTGACGTGCCGGCGAGTTCCTTTGCATTGTCACATACTTGTCGGACTTGACATGGAGTAGTTGAATTGCTGACCCGTATTGAATGGCTGAGCCCATCATTTTTCGGTATTCGAGATCATTCTGTTCGCGTTCTTTTTCGGCCGCCACTATCAATTTCTTGAGCATCTCTTCATCGTAGGGCTCGTTGAGACAACTCTTCTTTTGCTCGGTCCAATATTGCTTTTGGGCGGCATAACGGTTCACCGGACAAATTCGAAATAGACAATCTATAATTCAATTAACATTCGTGGCCTTGTCTCGGGTATCTTACCTCTAAAGGTCTTGGGTGGATTCTGAAGTCCCCCATTCCCTTCTTCTACTATCAGTCGATCATCGACCAACCCTAGGGTCGACAGAAATCCCTCATGTTTCCGATCGGCCGACCCTCCATTTGGATCTAAAGCAAACAATGAGACAACATCACCGATTCGAAGGTGTGTCGAGTGGAAGGCATCAGTGGAAGCTGCCTGAGAGAATCGTTCTCTCAGCTGAAGAAGTCGATCGTCCATGACACTGGAATAAAGGGGATCGTTAAGTAGGGTCGGCGAGACATGCCACCTCTCCAAGTCCACCAAACAGTCTCCCTGACATTGTCTTTTCGCAAAAAGTTTCCGTCGATGTGTCCACGTTCGTCGCCGTTTTGTAGGCGGCGAAAGGATTGTGCCGGGCGGGGTGATAGACCCTCGATGTGGCGGGACTTTATCGATGGAGATCAGGTCAATCTCCTCGTCTTGGACACAAATTCGGACCGATGGAGATCTAGACATTCTGACGCCATAAATGGCCCTAGAGACCAATAATTTCTTTCTTCAAATTCCGAGATCAATCTTTAATTTCAAAATTAGACGCTTAATACACCCGTGAAGATTATGAATAGTCAGAATAGGATGAGTATTTGGAACGGATTGCTCATCGCAAAAGAAAACTTTGAAGTCAAGAAACGAAGAGGACGGAAATACGCATTTTTCATTGTCATACCAAAACTAAATCACCATATCTTTAACCCATAAACCAAAGCAAACACTATGGCTTGAAGGAAAGAAGATAACAAAAAATCTAGCTTTTGACGAGGAGTTTGAAACACTCAAAAAAGGATGTTTGGTTTACCAGATTACCCTAGAATGTAACTTGATCACAATAAATGGCCAAGCCTTATGTTAAAACAAAAAATAAGGCATGAGTGATAAAATTGGAGCGACCGGGAACCCGCAAAGTTAAAGATAAATAAATAAATTTAGGGCCGCGAGAAATGTGTGAAAGCGTTTATCGAAAAAAGGTGAGAACAATCGAAGAAGAGCAACAATTCCGGCCTAGCCGGCGAGAAATCATAATAAAAAGGAACAAGACAATAAAAAAAGTCCCGCTCGGAAAAGAATTCACCGAAAATATCATTCCGAATCCACCAAATATTGATAGAGACGACTGAAAAAAAGAAGAAAGCTTATCGAAGCCGAGTAATAATTAAACACCCTGGGGCGACGGTCGGGAGAATTTGTGTCCATAAAACGGAATTCTATTCATGTCTTTTGATAGCATCCAACTAATGTCATTTCAACCGTTTGGTGGACGGAGATTATGGTGAAGCTGTTGCGTAATGACGCCAGCCTCACTTGGAGTCTCATAACAAATGCTTAAGGGCCTTAATCGATGTCACGTCGAGAAAAGGGGTTGTATTTGTTGGGAGATTTTCGAGTATAAGGAAACATAATAAAATTCGGCTAATCAAGGTTACTCACCGGTCAAATATCGTGGATCGTCTCCTGCGGCCACGGGCGCCGGCGTCGAAACTGTTGAAGCGATGGATCAGCGAGTTGACGGCGTTAGGGCCTTGCGTTGGCGGCCTTGAGGCATAAGAAATTGAACGGCGCTTCTGGCTCGCCTAAAATGGCAATATTGATTTATCATCGTATCACAAAATATTGTATTTTTTCAATTTCATCTACATTTGCGGCTAAAATACGGCTGTAAAATTACTCAAAACCCTAAAAACCGCTTCTGTAATCTTCTTCTGCAAAAAACAAATAAATTTACTTTATAAACCCTTTGCACATTCAAAAATACAAAACGTAAACCCCGCTGTACGATAATATCAAAACTTTGTAAGCACCGAAACTCCTGGAAAAGGCGAAATTCCCGAACATTTGGGGCACGGAACGCGGAGTCAAAAGTCCATTAAGCATGTAAATCAGATGAGATTGGAAATCGAAAAATCAAAGAAAGCCTCAATAAACCATTTGACTGGACACATGATTGTCAAAACAGATGAAACATCAGCCAAAACTGGTTCGCGCCAGTTTACAACGAACGGCTCAAGCGTCTTTGTAAGATCAGTGGAGCCCAGGGCTCTTATGAATTAGAGGCGGAGAAATGTTTAATATTATTGCAATAAGGGGGAAAGAGGATGTTTTGAATCAAATTTCAGGGCTTAAAAGTTAACATAAACTTGAAAGTAATAGTCCAAATGCATTATGATGCGGTAAGCTCTCGAGACTTTCAATTGAAACCCCGATTTTCCAGGAAATCCCTCGTTTATCACCCTTGAAACCGCTCGAAATCTAAATCATGTCCATATGCCAATATGAAAAAGCAGTTTTCGAAATATTACTATCCTGCCCGCTACAATGACAAAAACAATCAAACAGTCGTCAAAAAGTACAAAATTCGTTTTGATTGTAATAAACCATCTCGAACAAGCAAAATTCTTCAGAATTTTATCAGTAGTCAGCTAATTGTTTCCTCTGTAATTTATCATGAACCCTCTCGGCTCCCTTTGAGAGTCTTTTACAAAGGTTGTTTTGGATTTTTCCCTGCGGATATTTTCGCTTTTTTCGAAAAAAGAGTTGACGTTCGAGAGGCGCGTTGACACAGTCAGTCAAGAACAGATCGCAAGAGATTAAATCAGCCGATAAACACAATGGTTTCGGAAAAGGAGAACAGCAATGTATTGAGAAATTTTTGATAATACATGTAGGGCGTAACAGCCATTTTACACGTGAAAAATTAAAAAGTTATCGTGAAAACTCGATGAGATTTGATGTTTTAAAACTGCGCGAACTTTCGAAGCAAGTTCCCCGAACTGGGCGCTTCAATTTTGGCGGACCCTACGGCAAATTAAGATTAAAACAATTGCCTCCCGAAATCTGTATAAAAGTGGAAATTGAATCAGATGAAAATTTGCTAGATTTTGAACGTTTTTTTTTTATAATTCATGTCAGAGATTCTTAGCTTGCGATTTTCCATAGCCACCGGACTTTTTTGATCGAGCTTCAACCCCACTTTTCAGGTTTGAAAATTTCTGGGGCATTACTAGCGCGGCGTGAAATTTATTTTGAAAAAACAATGTTTTTCATGAAGAAAATACAAAAATAACAGCCTCAAAAAATTTTTATCTTGCCGGGTCTCCCTATTTTACGTTCTATCTCTTAAAACAGATCGTTGAATATTTCGGCTGCTCATGAAGCGTCAGTGCAAAAAATTATTGAAATCAATATCGGACCTGTTTAGTTAACTCATGCAAAATATGTTAAACATAAAGGGAACTTAAATAATAATTTTTGTTTACTAGAGGGGCGTTACCAGAGAGCTTCATGATAGAATTCCAGAAGGAACTATGATTTAGCTCTTTTGTTCTGGATTTTTTTCCAAAGCAAAGTAACATTCCATGTTTGATTCATCCTTAAATTAAGAGTATGACGACAATTTAGCGTTTTTTTTTTACATTTTCTCAAAAATAATCAAACTTCTGATCTAATCCCTAAACCTTTCACAAAGATGGACCTGATACTCCGATTTCTCGGACAAAATGCAAACAAAATAATTAGGTGAGGCGTTATGAATCATAAGCCCGTAAATCACAATTCTTCGGTTATAAATCTCGGAAAGACCACGCAAACTCTTGCTGATGACGTCCTGAGATAAATTTGAGACGATCAAGTTGTTTAAGACTGATGTAAAATCAAATCATGACCCGGTTTTCGACTAAATTTGAGCTAGGAGTGGGGAATTCTTACGTTGTCTTGGGGGTCTTGTGTCATCATAATAATATAGGAAATTGATAGATAAAAGGATTAGTCTTACAAGGTCATAAAACAATTGAGTTTTGCAAAAAAAATTTTGTCACAACGGCGAATACAAGGTGTTATTCTCAAGGTACTACAACAATCTTCTGTTATATTATGCAAATTACAGATCATAATGCAGCATTACCGTCAAAATCAACTCCACTTTAATTGCAGCCCCCAAACAATAAGCCTGTTTCTGCTTCTAATTGCCCGCAGGGCCTTATCAACCCGGGCCCGGGACGCCCATAAAACTATGGAAAATGCACCCGAAAAACATAAAAGTATCAAGATCAACAGAGTATATGATGAATAAATAAATTAATTCGGAACGGAGCAAAGAGAGAGAAAAAAGAATCACTGACAACGCCAGCCCGCAGGGCGTGAAGCGGTATTGCAGTTTTTGGGGGGAAAGAAGGCGAAAAAGGGAAGAAGAAGATGCGACCGGCGGCTGAAGACGATCGACGTTGCTTTCTGCCGCAGGCTCCAAAAAAGTCGGACGTCAGATCTGGCGGAACGCCGTTCGGCTCGCTTCAATGAGGTCTAATCCCTCTAAATCATCGCTAAATCAATGTTTGGGAAGTGGTAATCTGCTCGAGTCGGAGTCATAAATCATCATTCGTGTTTTATGAAATTTTCCCGGCGACGCCTTGAAGGGGAACTGTTTGCGATAAAGCGAGAAATCTTTTCCCGTTTCCGTATTTGTGTGGGTGGGTGCAGGTGATAGGGCGTCTTCAATATATTTTTATTCAAAAAATGGCAGGCGAAAAGCGGCTTAGATCGAAGTTGTTGCTGTTTTTTGTCATCTTTCGAGTATTCTTGCATGAAGATCGATTTCAAATGCCATAAGAGAAAGAAATGAGTTAGACTACTTTTAAAAATCATCATGACTAAAATAATCAAAAAATAATATGCCTTTAGGCAGTAAGATTATGTTCTGCTTGACTCAGAGGGCATGGTTATTACTTGTTCAACGTTATCTATGGAAATGACTTGATCTTCCACGATTATTATAGCTTATCCCCCGAAAAGACGCTTTGCGTTGCCTTGGGAGGGTGAACTTTGCACACAATTGTGCACAAGCCCCGCAAAAAATTTAAAAATGAAAGCAAAAAATTTTCCATTGAATGAGCCATAACTGACAGTTTGATCCAACAGCTTACCTGCATGATCCCAGAATGCGCCTTCAAAACTTCGCTGTACCTTCTTCTAGCTATATTAATGAGTGGAGCCAACCTTTCCTCGTCCATCTCTTCGATATCACTCGAACTGTTCGACCTGACATCCATTTTTTCGGCCAAACTGTTCGCTTTTATTCATAAGAAGCAGATAGTTCCTGCCTTGAGGGCCAGAAGAGACCCGGAGGGCCGACTGTGACTAACAGTCGTCAGACATCTCTACGAACAGTTTGGAAGCACACATTCTTGGTTCAAAATAACTGAAGGTACCCCAAAACAAACTTTACTCTCTGATCGACCGAATTAAACATTCTTGCACTTTATTCATTAGCACTGGATACATAACATTATGCATATAATAGACTAAATGTACATGGTGAGCTGAATACTTTCACAAGGTTTTTGGGGGAAATACCAAGTAATAAATAAGAGGATGCTAAGTGAAATGACTGATTCTATGAAAACGTTGACAAATTCTCGAATCTGATAATAAATTAATGGGTTATTAAAGCGATCAAACCGTAGGAAAAGACCAGTTAGACAGATCAAAAAGAAACAAAATTAAACGGGTTTGGCAGCCAGAATTTGGCTGGAGAGGATGGGAGCGGCCCCAAACGGGTCTTCCTCGATCCGCTGCTCCGTGACCGCGTCCAACTGGAAGCTGCCGTTCTTGAATAGCTTGGTGTAGCTCGAGAATGTCTCATCCAAATTGGTACTGACGTTTCTTCGATCAGAGGTGTCCGAGATTCTCGAGCCATCCATCGATGAGTCCACTGTATTTCTTCGATTTACTCGGCGGATTTGGTCGAATCTTTCTCCAAAATCGTTGTCATCCATGACGTTCGCCTTGATCTCGGCTACAAATGGGTTCAGGGATTCACTGGGGACTCGGGGTTCCTTATCGACGCTGCTCGATTTGACAGGTTCGGGCTGTTCCGAGTCCGATTTGTTTCGATGTGACATAGAATACGGCCTGGAAAAACGAAATTAGAAACTACCAATATAACAAAAACCAATCCCGATTTCCTTCCTCTCAACCCTACTTACTGGAAAGCGCTGGTTCTCAAGGCTGTTGCTGGCAAAGTCGCCGCATTCCTCGCTCTTGGCTGTGCCGAAAGCTCGGCCACCGTGAAGGGTTGTTCTTCGATATTAGAGAAGGTCCTTTGGTAAGCCGCGTCCGTGTAATCCGGCGCCGATTTGGAACTATCCGTGGAAATCTGCGACACCTTCATTGCATCGGCAGCAGATGTTGTTGGATAGGATGAAGTGATCGCAGTCGACATCTTGGTCGAAACTGAGAAGGGCAAAGGGTTTTGGACTGAGTTCTGGGCCGGAGTGGAGGTTCCTGGCTGTTCCGAAAAGTCGGGTCGGCTCGAATCGTACGAGTAATTTAATGAGGCGTTCGTGTAAGTGACCTCCGGAGGTTTTGAGGGAGTCTTGGTCATGCGGGGCGACTGAAAACAGCATGTTTAAAAATAAAGAATACTTGACCACCTAAAGTCATATAAAAAGAAAGTTTTCAATCAGAAAAAATTAATCACTTTACAAAAGCACTTGTTTACTAAATGCAACGTCATTAACCTTAACTTTCATCAAATTCTAAATCAAATCCAATCTAAAACGGCTGGGAGTTGGTATAAAAAATAAATTAATCTAAAAAACTGTGTCTCATTGACATCAAATATGGCTCTTACCGTTCCAACTGGTGGTAAGAACTGTCCTCCAACCGTTGTACTAGCCTTTGGCCTGAGTCTTGGATTCACAGAAGTCGTCTGCGTATTTTGCCGGTCCTGCTCCGTGTTCACAATCATTCCCTCCGCCGATACTGGAATCGAAACTTGCTCTCTTTCCTGTATTTTATCCGACGGTGGGGATGAGGCGGCTTTCTCGGCCGGACGTTCTTTTAATTCGGGCTTCGGAGGTTGAACCTTTCCTTTAATTTTCTGTTCTTCAAAATCATTTAGAGCCTTCTCCAAGCGCCTGGCATAATTTGCGCCCAACTTTCCGCGAAGTTTGTAAATCTCGACAGCTTCGGTCAGTTCGATTCTGGGACACTTCTGAAATAACGCAGTTTTAGTTGATAAAGTACAAAAATATACTGGTACTCGAAAAAATTGAATAAAATAGGTCCCTTTTCAGGTAATTATAAATTAAACAGATCACATATAATCTTAAAAATACGTTCTCTAAGTTCTCACCTCAATATTATAGACCGGGCACTTCCTTTTGGCCGCGGAAAAGGCCAAATACGAGGCCTGATAAATATTGGGGCGATGCTTTGCACTCGCCGTCAACAAGAGATCTGAAAATAGACCCTTTGATAAACAAACCGTACAGATTTCAATCCAGTATACAAGTGCAACCTACTAATAATAGCTTTGATTTCATCGGGGACTTCTGGTTGATCGGGGAAGGAGAAGGTCCCATTCTGAATGGCCAGAATCGAATCCCCAAATGGGAGGGCAAAGTAACATAATTTATAAAGAAGTACTCCAAGTGCCCAGATATCACTTTTTGTGTCTAAAACCAAAGTAATTTAATTACACTAGACTTCTGCCTACCAATTGGTGTTCCCGCAAACAGATCAATCATTTCTGGGGCTCGATATGACGGGGTCGTGTACTTCTTGATCTCCTCTTCGAGATCATATTGTGTACACGTATCTCGGGACATAACTTTTGTGGTGGCGCTTCCAAAATCACATAGAACATAGATGGGACGTTCTCCACCTGTTCTCTCATCAATCAAGATGTTCTCCACCTTCAAATCTCGATGAATCACGGGGGTTTTGGAGTGATGTAGACGAGCGACGGACTCACAGACATCACAGAAAATGTCCAGAATCTCCGCCGTCGAAAGCCATTTGTTATTGAGGAGGCGAGAGTTAAGTAGTTGCAATACGTTAGCTGAAACAACATACGTTCAATTAACTAAACATTCCAGCGGTCCCTTTCATCATTTCTGAGACCTAAAAAAAGAAGAAAACAAAGAAAAAAACTTACATTTATAATACACCGTTAATAGCATGTAATCGTAGATTCCTGCTTTATTTACACCGAGGGAGTGGTCGACATACGCGACGATATTCTTATGTCCATTGAGGTTTTTCTGAAAAATCAATTTTGAATTGAAACTGGCGAAATCGTGAGAATTTTTTATATTCACCATGAAAATTATATTACTCATGAGGAACATAAGGCGAAATCCAGCCCAGCGCGTTCGAAAAATGAAAGTGTAATAATCAGCGAAAAACTTACAACAATCTGGGCTTCAGTTTTGCAAGCTTCGACCTGTCGTGGATCGTCCCTAATCAATTGTCGTTTCAAGGCATAGCACCGATTATGTTTGTCCTGAACCAAATAAACAATCGCATAGCCACCTTCAGCCAGCTTCTTCTCGATCACATACGACTTCTTTCCGAGCTTTATGGTAGCACCTTTGGACTCTTTGATCTCTACGCCAGCATTCGACGAGGCGACATCCTTGAACTTCTTCTCCTTTTCGCTGGTCAACGGCTGCGGCTTGGGCCCGTCTTTGGAGGAGTTGGACGAGAAGAAACCCAAAGGCATCTGGATTTACATCCGCCTAAAGAATGGAGGTAATCGTAAAAATATATTATCCATGACGCGGAATAAAGCAATAATCTATTGACACATTTCGCGGAAGTGTTCCACACGTCATACCAAAAGAAAGAAATGGATGTCAACGGCTATGTCAAATTAGGAGAAAAAACGGATCGTCCTTTTTTAACCAGCTTCAGCTGACATAGACAACATTATCAAACAAGCCGGAAACTGCATGAATAATTCATTCAATTTACTATGAATCATCTTTTTTTCTCCTTGAAATTGACCCCAAGTCATTGCAAAATAATAATCAAGCTGTTGAAAGAAACAAAAATTCTTGGGACTAAAACAAAATAAAGAATCCAGAGTTCACCGTAATTGTAAATCAATACCCATAAATCTTATTCTTTCCTCAAAGGCATGAAAAAGACAAGTGGATAGAAAAATTATTTCTCCTCTCACTCGCCATGGACGTCAAAATAACGTAAAAATAAAAAATACAGCCTTGAGGTATGTGCACTTTATCGGAAACAAGACGAGGTTGTTGGGACTGAGGTAAACATGTTATTCTGGATTCTTTATATCCAAAGGGTCAATAAAAATGCGATTTCCGTTCCTTTTTTCAATAAGGTCTTATAAACTTATTACACCCTCTACAATCCAAAAATATCCACCAAATTTTGGCCTAAAGTAAGTTCTCCTCAAGTACAACATAACCTCTTTCATTGCGTGGAAGTTAATGGACCCAAACCTAAAACTGCCCTCTCTTTATTGCCTCTCATATAGCCGGCCATTACACCCTAAAATTCAAGAAAGAACATGCAAAGAACTTACTTTAAGCACACATGAATGGCACAAAAATTGCGGAGAATCTAAATTCATTAACACCAAACAAAATTCGAGAAAGACGTCAAGAATTAAAAACCGAGACCAAACACTGGAATGCGAGGGCGAATATCTACTGGGAGGTTGAGGAAGAGAACGGCCTCACGGCGTCCTAATGAAGCCGTTTTCCTTTCTCTCTTCCTCTTCTTCCCTTTTAATGTAAAACGGAATCAGAATCCATCCGTATGCAGTCCATGAAGGGGAAGCATAAATGCAAACCGCTGGAGACATTCACAGACTTGGAAAAACAAAGAAGGTTACGTGAAACTGGAGCTAATATTATTCATCCCAAATTTCGTATCAAAATAAAAATAAAATCTAAAACAAAGGGGAAAATTCTTCAGAGAATAACAAGTGACTACAAATATACTGCGGGTTGAAAAACAAGAACAAATCACGTACAAAATCCATGGAATTTCACAAGAGAAATAAGTCCGGAACAATAATTTGTTTTTCGATAAATTTGTGACACTTCGTCCAAAAATTGAATAATATTTGTGAAATTTCGCTTTAACGGTAGTGAGAATGACTGGAATTTTCGGAAAGGTGGTCGAATAGGAAATAAGATTGGAAGGGGGTAGTGTTATAATTTTTGTAAAAATTTATATGTCAAAGTATTGACTTTAGATTTGGTGTATTTTACTCTTGTTTTTCAAGAAGGAAGTAGTCATTCTTGTGCATCTGCGTTTTAGCATTTGGCAGTACAATAAAATTCCGACCTAACCTAGCACAAAAAATATAAATTAGTGTACGAGCATGGTATACAAACAAGTTATTATTGATGCCGGTGACATTCCTGAAGAAAAAGTTGATCGTCGTTTTCGATCGCGATTTCTTATTTTTTGTATGACTTTTAGCGATTTTTCCCGCATTGTTTGCAGCTCTTCAGATTCTGCATATTCTTTGCCTATGATACTAGTCGGGACAAAAAGTCCTGATAATTTTGCACTGTGCGGATTTTGCGCGGTTTTTGTCGCACTCCGAAAAAAACGATTTGTCGCTCCGAAAAATGGGAAATCGCGCGCGACGTAAGGCAAAAGCAAACGAAAATGCACTGTGCAAATGCACTTTTCGGGTCAAATGCACCGTGCAAAACACTTTTTTTCGCGATTTTCGCAGCGACAACCCAAAACGTTCAAATCCGCACGGTGCAAAATTATCAGGACTTTTTGCCCCGACTAGTAATATTTTACAGTAAACCACGGTAAATGCACGTGCAAATCACGAAACGCACCTCTTCTGGCTGCAAATCAGAAGAAGTGTTACATGAAGCACTCTTATTTTTGATCCGTTTCGTAGTTTGTGCCAATTTCGTCCCATGGCAAGCCTACAAAAAGGGCGATTTTGATGGGAGTACCTTAAAAGTGCAACCGCTTATCATCGCGAGATCTCTTCGGAATGTGATCTTTACCTCTGCCCGATGTGTAGGATGTGCCATCGGTTGGTTTGTCGCGCGCTTCTAGAGATTTCCGTTTTTTTGTCGAAGAAAGAACGAAGGGCGGGACTGGGAAATATGAATGGCGAGATCAAACGCCTCTTCTTTAAAGATCTCGTTATCGACCTACCGTATTCCCGAAACAGGATTTCATTTCGAGGTGACTTTCGAAATGTTTTAAGAATGGTGGAAGAAAAGTTGTTGAAAAAATGGGTTATGATATACATATTGATGGTCTATGATGATCTACAAAATGATGGGAGTTCAAAACAAACGGTGGACCAATAAGTGGGTAGCCCTACAAATCTGCGAGTAACGCGGCGATAGCGATCTGCCGAGGGAAATTCTTAAGGTATCTCTGAAAACAGTTATGCGCGGATATCACGTCATACCTATTTGGGAGAAGAATTAGTTGGAATCTGGTTGAAATGGCTCTGTAAGACTTTGGAATTTGCAGCTCTATCAGGTTGCGATTTGCTGTCTATAGTTCCTCACTGTCAAAGGTCCTTTTTAGAATATTTCGCATTCTTATGACCTTTATCGATAATATACACATTATTTTTATCGTATCTTTCAATTCCTTGTTCGTTTCATTACAAATCTTCCTTTCTTTTGATAGGCGGGATTCTCCATCAGAAAGCCTTCCAAATCTCCGACGTTTTTCCGAAGTTTGTCATCAGATCTCTTTCGTTTTGCACAATCCTTCTTCCCAAAGCACAAATCAGTCATAGTTGTGTTCTGTTTCCTTTGCGGCGTCCCCAATTCCACCGGGAAACGGTAATTGTCGGGGTGAAATCACAAGTTTTGGTCAATGGTTTGAACGATTAAATATTATAGATAATATCCGTTTTATGTTTTGTTACGAATGCGTCACCAAAACAAGCCATGTGGCTAAGTGGAATTTAAGATTTGCACAGAGATAGGGTCCGTATACAGGTTGGGAATCATTTCTCTGACCATCTGTCTATCATTTCCCGTAGTCTCTCGCCTAAAAGGGAACTAAAGTTTTCAGAGACGTTCTTGAGGTCCTTTAGCATTAATTTCAGGAAATTTGCGCTTTGCAACTTGACCATTTATCTTATAGTGGTGGCTCTTCGTATTGCCACTTACATAGACATCGGTATCTTGTGGTCACGGCCTTTGTTGGTTCATCTGGCAACAAGCTTTTTGCCTCTATCGTATCGCCTCGTCGATGTTTACTTCTTCCATTTGTCTACTGTAACCACAAATTATTGCACTTTATCTATTTTTCCAACGTCCTGCGAAGCTCCAAAGTTCCTTTATCATCATATTTATTACGGCACTTTTAGCGGCGCGCCGACTTTTTTCACAACAGTGATCGGTCATCTTCTTGGAGCAGAGATCACAAAACAGACAGGGAAATCTTGATGGGAGTGATATTTGAGGAGAAAAAAGAGTTTTCCATGATAAAAGAATAGTAATTACTGCCTGTCATGAAAGTGACTACGGGAATTTGTATTTTTGAGCTGAAAGTTCGGTAACCTTTTCCTTGCTTTATCGGCCATTTTTTGTGACGTCTAACGCAGCTCCAATTCGACTGTCTGATAAGCCCTGAAATTCATCCCTTTCTCTTCAATTTGAACTGTTTTTGAGGGGAAATTTGCAGCACCTGCATTTCCTTCTCACTGTTATTTGCATTGTCGAGCACAAAAAGTTCAACGAACATCCCCAACGCACCCTTCTTCTCATCACATTTTGTCGGATGAATGATTTATGGCGGGATTTGAAGGGTACATTGAAGGGTTCAAGTATCCAAATGGCATGATTACAATCACGGCCTTGTTGTGATCCTATTTCTTCTTTCCGTTATCGCGCCGAGATCTCGATTACGCGATTCCTCGGAGGCACGCCGCTTACTAGTACTGTCCGGAGGGTCGCTGGAATGAAGTTTTTCTCGATGTGCACGTAGTCATTTCATTCCGGCGACTGTACAGATTGGCTATTGCTAGTACACACCGAATTCATGATGTTGTTATGAAATGGGTGGGTCTTTTGGCTTGGTGTTTTTGGGCAATGCATGAGGTAACGTGGCGATTTGAAAAGATGACCCTTTGAAAAGTTCAAGTTCATTGAACTTATGAATCATTGCGTGTTATTTGACTAGATTCTTAAGCCTTTGCCAGTTTTAGTTCCGTCTTGTTAGTGAAGTCCAGCTTCCGAAATAAAAATTTTGCTCCTTCTTTACCAATTTGGATCAAATTCCTCTTCGAACATTCCCCTTTTCATACTCTTCTTTATCTACCTTTCCCTCGAACCCTTCATTCCCCTCTTTGTTCACAAAATGACGAATTTCTGTGGCTTCATTTCCCGGACCTGCAAGCGTACAAAATCCGCAGCAACCTCTCGTGTATTTTAAGAGCATTTATCAATCCTCTAAGGGGTTCTCATTGCAGATCGACCTTCTATTGTGTAGTCTGTGATCTTAGCTTATGATTGTCCCTTGTTTAATTGTTTCTTTCCTCCTTTATGGAAGTAATGGCTAGTCGATGGAAGACGGAGGAGCGTCTCTATCATTGACGGGGCTTTTCGGTCGGCTGATTAATTCAACATCTGTACTTTATGACATTCATAATAATATTAGCGAATATTATTCGCGCAAACCCGTATGCAAATACTATGGCGATCAAGGAGTGATCGCTGACTTGTAGTCTAACGAAAGCAAGACTCCGCATTTCAAGTGTGCAGAGGGTATTTTGAAACAGTCGAACAAACATTTCCCTGAACTTTACGACTAGTCGCGACCATCCATTTCTGGACGGTGTGGGGGGTGGGAGTTGTGAGCGAAGAGCTGTTTGGATTGAATGTTTGACGACTAATGTTAAAATACAGCATATTTATTCATACTATAAATTGCATCGAGAGACGGATTAACTTGATCTTTGTGTGTTTTGTACTTTGTGGAAAGGGAAAGCGATGTTTTTTATATTTTGATCTTATTCGCTTGTATCTCGATAGGATTGTCGGTAAACAAGATCGCTCAAACAGAACGTGGGCGGTCAAGGGATGTTCAATGCTCATAGCGGGAGGGCTAAATGTTCCACATACGGATTTTGATAAAACTCGGGACAAGCTAAGAATGATCTTTTTTATCCAACTGCTAGCCGAAACACGTCTTTTCTCTCACTCTCTCTGGCTCTCATTTTCTGCCATCTTTTAGCTCTCGCTGAATATTTTGGGGTTTTAATTATTCGTGAAGAAGCGGGTTTTATCACAAAAAATTGTGCTACGGATTCTACGCAATTTTACGAAGTTTTGAGCTCAAGTTGGAGGATGGCCATCCTAGAATGGTACAGTGTGGTGGGTAGGCTTTAGAAGCCCATACACATTAGGCAATCATTAAACAAACGTCATTTATACAGATGGTCAGACCGTTGTAGTTTGAAATCAGTTAACTTCTTATAGTTTAGATTTCAAACCAATGTTTGCACTGTTTTCGGCCGCAAATCAAACAAGCACCCTTAAATACAGTTTACGACTACTTCTCTCCGTCTCTCTGCAGTCAGAATCCTAATTTTTGCGATGTGTGATCATTATTTCCCACTGCTATCGGTTGCAGCCTCTTTGATATGACTATACAAATTGGAGCTGCAGAGCCGGCTCCCCTATCCCAAACTCAAATCATTGGCAAAACAGGGGCATAACATTTATTATTAGATTATTTTGAATGTCATTTACAGTGTGATAAACAAGCAAAGCTCGTAGGAAGCATTGTGTTTTGCTCTTTAATCATTCAACAATTTCGTAGTCTTTCTCCGTTTGTTCGGTGAGAACTCCCCTTTTTTGATATCTTTAAAATCATTTTTATCGAAATTCCCAAGTCTGTAGACGACCGCCGACGTCTTCCAATACTGTAGCCGTCTCTGCGCATCCCTTCTTCATACCGCTTTCCTTGGTTTTGCGTGAGGAAGTAGTATTTGGTGGGTTGCGGGCGACGGGTTCGGCAATTGATCATCAAACTACGGTAGGGGCAGAGGGGACAGGGAAAGAGGAGAAAGCATTCCTTCCAAACGAATCGATCGAACAAAACAAAAAGGTTATTTGAAAGTTGTTCAAATAGAGGTTTGCGTTTCCCATCAGCGAGATCTTTCCGATTGGATCCAAACGGGATTCTGAGGGCACTGCCGTGTTTTGTGCTCGGTTATCTTGTACGGTTATTCAGATTATATTTTGGGATTTATTTATCGAGGATGCTGGTCGAGTTTTCATAGGGGAGGGCGATATAAAATGTGTATAATTCAACAATAAGGGTCAGTAATTTAACGCGACTACAACCAATTTTTTTGGTCTGGATTTGTAGTGTTTACGGTAGCGGTAATAGAGAGGTTAGTTGAGCATGATGAATTCGGGGGAACCTCAGATTTTATTAAGGACATAAAATTCCATTGAATTTTTTATCAGCATCGCGCGTGAAATTTGAAGTCGTCTCGCGAAAAGTGCATGTCGCTTGTTTAAAACTGGGATATCGCAGCGACAGATGCGAAAAAGTCGGAAAAAAGCGCACTGTGAGAATTCTTTATGTCTTGAATAGTAAGATTTGGGTCTTAAAACGTATAGAAACAACCCGGAAATTACTGCCAATTACGGCCTCCCGCCTTTCATCTCTTTTTAGTCTCCCACGAAAACGCCACCTTTGAAGAGGCTTGTTTGGCATCATATTGGGGCCAAACACTATTGCCAAGCTACAAAAGATCTTAATTACTGCGATTCTCATTCTTTTATTTCTTACCTCCAGTTTCATTATGGCTATACCGTGATGACAGAGGCAGATAACACGTATGTTTTCGATTCCGGCGATGAGAATCTCTTACTTTTTCTTACCTACTTCTCTCATGACTTCCTTAATTATAAATTGCGCTCCCGAATTCAAACATCCCAATTTTCGACAACCTCACTCTTTTAGAATTTGATTGCCAGACAGATTGTATAATGACACTCTATTGAACACGTTCAGTATGAGTAAGAGCGTCCAAGCGTCGTCTGGTTTTAATACATATTTCAGTTTCCCACGCAATCCTACCCGTTTCGGACGGTGTTTTTTGCTCTTTTATCGAGAGTGTAGGAATCAATTTCGTGTCCAAGAGAGTTCATTGTATCTTAGTACATTATGGAGTACAATGGGAACTTTTTGAAGGTCCTTTCGCCCTTCAAAAGTTTTTTTTTAAATAGCTGTAAAGCATATTCTGATGGTAGCTTTAACGGTTTTGCCGCTGTTCTTGATGGGTTTTTGAATAATTTCGAGAGAGTCCTAGTGTGACACTTTGTTCCACAGACGGACGAAGTCGGAAACCGGTTTAATGTGCCTAAAATAAACGGGGTACGATTTTTAATTTGAATGTGAACGCTCTACTGTAAAGCACTCGGAAGGTTTTAGGTGGCAAGACACATTAAACCGACTTAATTGTTGTCCAATTTTCAATTTTCCGGCTTTGTCCTAGTTCCGCTTTCTCTTATTTCTTCATTGACACTGCTCTACAAAGATTGTAGTGTAACTCTGGCCATATTTACAAGATTTGAAGAGAATTTGATAGACTTGCGTGGCAGGGTTTGCAACCGTTTCAATAGGGTTCAAAAATTAACAAATTCGACTCCTTTATTTTCCTCATGATCGTTACTCCACAATAGAACTCTAATTTCTTTTACGCAATTTTATTTTTTTCCTTGTTTGTTATATGAGGTCATCCTCGAAACCATGAAGCTTGAAATTTAATTCTTGCGGATAAGATTTCGGACCAAAGTACCCAAAGTCGTTATTACATCTAGGTCATAACACCCAGAAACACAGCCCCCGAGGCGTATTATTTCCTCACTTTTAAAACATGTGAGTACTTTTTTACCTCGCTAACTCCCTCATAAAGTATTCGTGCGTGCAGTGAGCCGGTTCTCCGTCTATTTGCCTAAGGCAATGTTCAGAAATGAGATTTTGAAATTTGGGAATGTCATTTGAAATGTCGCTTTAAATGATGATCGAAAGTTTTTCGTCTTTGTTATTCGCATATTACATATGGACGGTTGTTTATGACCTTTATGCACGTACGCACACTTCGTGTTTTGTATTCGTATTTGAACACCCGTGTTATCTCCAACGACACATCTATCTTCTTTTTTCCATTCATTCCGCGTTCGAATTTTTGCGGAGAAATTATCTTAACCTCTCCGAACACGTGGGGTTTTCGAGGACAACAGATATCGTCCAGAATGGCTGAAAGTGGTGACAGTTATCATCATGAAAGGTTCTCTTTTCCCTTGGCCTGTTTTACCTGCTTATTTTTCTGGGTAGAAAATGTGGTCTCTTTGATTTATCTTACTGATTAGTTCTTAGAATTAGTCCAAATCTCGGGTATTAGTTTTCCTACATAATATCCATATCGTACCCGACAAAATTAATACATTCGAAAAGCAGGTGTCGAGTCCATATGACCAATGGAGTTTTCTGTTACATACTGCCTTACTCTGTCTCCATAATGGAAACACTTTTATTGCATTATCGCGTAGATTTTCACGCCTTTTGTCATGTCTTGAGCATTATTATTGTCGATATTCCTTCAGGATGAAAAAGCCTTGCCAAATATGTGGGACCGAGACCAAGTCAGTTTGTTACAAACTCTACATCTGCGCTGCTTGCACCATGTTCTACCGTCGTAATTATCGGCTACAAAAAGAGTTGAAGTGCCGGCTTATGAATGCGTGTGATTTGAAGACTTGTAAGTTATAAATCTTTATGAATTCTGAAGGCTTACTCATGTAAGAGAGATGGCAGTTTATGATAAGAAATTTTCAGCTCTATTCTTTACTTAGATTTTCTGAAACTGGAGCCTTGAGTGAAACGACATTTTACTCTCTAATTGCTAATGGATGTTTAGTAATGATCCCTGGGGAAGGATAATTTTTCGAAAAGTCATTTGACTGCAATTTAATGACGTCAAGAATGCTACTGATAGCCTCCACGCTTCTCATTAACCTTCATTATCCACCTGATAATAGGAATACAAGCATAGTATAAATTGTGAAGTCTTTTGTGTCGCCCTAGAAACGTCAAACTTAACTCTACGTGCTTTTCTCCGCGTCTAAAAACTTTTAAAAGTCAGACTTCCAAAAAATGATTGCTCCGCGTCAAAACAACAAGCCCGTAATTTAATCCTTGCACTTTTATCATATCGGAAGATTATCTAGTTCAGCGCTCTCTGAACCTGCATCCTTCGCGAATTCACGTCAATCACTGGCCTACATGACAATTCAGCGGTTCCTCCAAGGTCGGGGATAAATTATTTTTGCGATGATGTGATAAGTTCACAACAAATCATAATACGAGTTTGGTAGATGATAAATCGTTAACGGAAGAGGTTAGGATTGCAGTATCGCGGAATAAATATAGAAAAAGACAATCCCGTTTTGTCGATTATGATCCATAGAAACAAAAGAGAAAGGTGTCAGAATCCAAGACCCAATTTACAAGCAATTTAATTATTAATTAGAAAGTTATACAAAATCACTGGTCATAGTCTCACAAAAACCCAAAAATTCAAATTTTAGCTGACCGTCGCATCTGCCGCGCCTGCCGTCTCAAGGAATGCCGTGCTCTCGGCCTGCGGATGGTCGGCAAGTCTCTAGTCGTCCAACAAAACGGAATCCCCGAAGATGACATGCCTGATGAAGACGCAGGCACCCTGCCCGAAGGTTGCATCGTCTCAGCCAACTCCCCAGCCTCCTCAACTCCCTCTAGATTCCCCGAAGCCGTGGTGTGCTCAACTCCATCAACTTCGATCGCGCAAACCCATTTAATGGATACTCAACATATAAATGCACTAAATAATATGCGGGTCCAATTAGCGTTGGCGTTGAATGGCAATTTAACTGACAATAAGGACAATATTCATATCACCGGTACCAAAAATGAAATAGTAAGTATAATAAAATACGTCCTCTTTTGTTCAGTAATGTTTAAAAGCGGCTGATTTTAGATTAAATTATACTTGAATTTTTAGCCTCATCTCTTCTCTCTCAACCCGACTAGCACAATCATGAAAGCCATCCGTCTCTACACTCAATTCGAAGAACGGCATAAGCGATTTGCCTCACTTCATCGTCTCAACGTTCCGCCAGACGTTAGCGTCACTGTTCGTTGTCTTTCATATCAGCCAATCGAGAGTCAGATTATGACTTTCAGTGGTTATTACGCAATCGAATTGCTCGAGGAATTTGGGGGCTTGAGTTCCGCGGAAAAGGCGAGTTTCAAATCAACGCTTCCGTAGAGGTTACGGTAGAAAAATGTGGATTGTGAATAGAAACTTACAGTATACTAAGAAACATCTGAGACAGAAAGAGCTCACCTATCTTAGCTGTGTATTGACGATAAAATTTTTAGTTCTCAATCCTCAAGGGAGTCCAGTCTACTATGATCTTTATGCACAAAATGTTCCTAACCTGTGATCAGTACCCCAATCTCGGTGATTCTCGATTTGCCGTTGCCAATGGCCATCATTTTGACCTCAAGCAATATGCCTATTTTCTCAGCGAACTCGAAAGCGTAAGTTAGCCAAAGTGTTGCGACAGTCTAATTACGTCATCGTTATGAAATAATACCATAACATCGATTATTTTAGAGCATGACCCCGGAAGAATTGATTCAACAATATAATCGATGCAGAGTTATCGTTGAGCCCTTCTTTGACGCCATTTTCCAGGCTTGCGAAAGCGTTAGACTGGTCATGCCCGATCCCATTGAATGCGCTGTGCTACTTTGTTCTTGTGTGCTAGAAAAAAGTAAGAGAATTTGAATTTAAAATGCAGCTTTCAATGAGCTTCAAAATATTTTGTTTTTTTTTTCAGTGGAGCAGCTTCGAATTGGCGCTGAACAAAGTCGCCAGTTTCGTGATGCCCTCTTCGCTGAAGTCAGTGTATACCTAGGCCAGAAATACAGTGTCCAAGAGTTGGGTACTCGCATTATGCGACTCACAGCGACGTTATTCGAGGTCAAAGTGAGTCTTTTAATCTCCAACCTTTGCCTTGAAGATGCTTGTAGTTTACTTCCGTTCCAAATTTATAGCTTTCCCAACTCTTTCTCGCTTATTCCAACTTTATATTCCAGGTAATTGCCGAGAAATACGATGACATGTATTCTCTTCTCGGCGTCTTTGTAGCGGATCAAACAAATCGTCATCCCTTCTTGCAACGTCCCACAATCCCCGCAGATCAGATGAAGAACATCTTGGCCATGTTGAACCTCTCCTCACCGCTCACGGCCAATTCATGTAATCCTGTCTAAGGCAAAAATTTACCGGTCGTTTCAGTGATCTTCAGTTCGAGGCCATCGATGGCTTTAATGTAAAGTTACTCGAAAAAATGTAAATAAAAGACGACCTCTGCTTTCTGTACGGCCCCTGTTCCCTTGGACGTTGTGAGTTGTTGTGTGTGTACCGTGTACGTTGTTGTTGTGCTACTGATCACCTCCCAACCTTCCCCGTCAGTTCAACTTGCGGATTTGCGATCAATAAAGTTTTTTTTTCTGTTTCGTGTCTGTGGTTGTGACTTGTTGCGGAGAGCAGACGAAACGCGTTATCAACGCGTTTTCGAAGCCAATCCTAAAAAGAGTTTAGGCCTACTATTTTGAATATATGCAATTTAAACATTCACTTTTGGAAATTGTAAATATTTATAAATGGTTCCTATTTTTTGTAATCACTCTTTTCTCACACATGTTTTGTTGATAGTAACCGTAGCCAGTCATGCGCTTACTCAAACTGATACGCTCTGAATGATGGATACTTCTGCACCCATCGTCCCCCCATCAAATATCTGTTATTTCCCACATGCAGGTCACAGTTTCGGTAACTGTAAACAAGCCCCAATTATCAAGCAAAGGTCATCATGCAACAGAATTCGTATCAGCGATACTTTGACTGTCAACTGAAAAACAAGCCCTCTCTAAAACTGCCTTTTCAAATTCCAAAAAAACAAAAATTAAATCGAGAGATGGCGTTTCCAAAGAACGGCACGGCACCGTGTAAGAGAATCCTCGATCTTGATTGGCAGCCCTGAGAATCATGTGAAATTGGCGTGGAGCAAAGATCAGCCAACCTCTGAAGCGCCGGTTGTATGATCGATAGCTTCTCCGTAGCAACGTCAATCAGGAGTTGTTGCAGTTGAAAAAGCTCGAAACATTTTTCGTAACTAATGTCATCATTTTTGTTTTGGTTCAGAGAAAAGTCATTTTTAGACTAATTGTAAGGGAAGGAAAGGTAAAACTTCCTGATATTTGCGGTGTAAAAACATGGTCATCAGCATGGATCGATTTGAAAAAAAGGATTTCAGCAAGCAGAGACTGCTACGTGTTGTAGAATTATTATACAACGATAAACATAGTATCTTTGTAAGCATCTTATGTAAACCTTGAATTTTTCGTTTTTTCCAAAGCCCGTTTACGAACAAAATAAACAGGGCTGAGAATTTTGAAAAAGAACAGCAATTATGACCGAAATGTAATATCGGAAATATTTTTTGATACAATAACGAAAATGAGCGATAGCGATAATCATAACAATTTCGCAAAAAATTACTGCATTTCGTTGGAATATTCTAAGGTTTGTAAATGTCGAACTGTTTGCAAACGTGGCGTTCGATTTTGTTTAAATTTTGAATAAGGGTAGAGCCGAAGCGACAAATCAACCCTTGAAAATCTCTGTGCTGTGCAACGACAAAGGATATTGGTAAGAAATAAATTTCGGAAAAGTGCTACTTATTCCTCAAGGATGAAAAAGAAACGACGAAAAAGTTTGAAAAAAAGTGGAATCAACTGTGGTCGAGGATGGAATTTGAGAACAGACGGAACAGACTGCGCCAATCAACTGTTTGACATGATAAAATTGAAGCAATCGATTAAAAATTTTGATGATTTTTTAATGGTTTTCTTTATCAGACGAGTATTATAGCTAATTGTTTTTCTAACAAAACAAAGCTAACAACATATAAAATCAAGGACACCGGTAAAAAAGCCTTCATAATTCATAAGTATGACAATCTTTATCGCAACATATTATACGTTACACACGATGTAAGGGGATCCTTCAAATTGCCATTTGACCTTAGCATTGCGTGTGAACTCCGTCTGAAATTTTAATTCAGACAGAGGTTCCTGCGATACCACAATCTTTTTGCTGTACTAAAAACTAATCAGGGAAAATTAAGCTTGTTTTGGTCGTTTTTTAGATTAACGGACATGCCCAAAGTTTTCTTGGCCAGACTAAAAAACGAAAAATTTATAAATTTTTGCTTACTTTCTTCGTCCCATGCCTTCAAAAGAGAAAGCAGTATTGTAAAAACGTTGAGGATGTATTATTTTACGGTCTGTTTGATTATTTCGAATTATTGCCGGTTTTTTCATGACGATGGACAAAAAATTTTCATGACATTTCGTCTTCAAAGCCGCAAAGGTGAGATTCAAGTGGAGTGATTCAAACCTTGTTATGCTGGAATTAGAAAAGAAACTTTCGATGTCTAGCCGGTAGACCACCCACATCTTTCAACGAAGATGAAGAGTAAAATTAAAGGAGAGGTACTTTTTGGTCAATCTCTCCATGGTCGCGCAGAAAAAAATGTTTTTCTGTGGAAACATTGACCACATCAGTTTAAGTTATCATCCAGATTTTTAGGCCAAAACTGATAAAAAAGTATTGAAAAGTTACCAGATTTCGACTTAAAAAATTTGGTGGTTTCTGCAGAGCGCGCTCCAGAAGTCACGCATTTTTCTTAGAAAATTCAATTGAAATCTATGCCCTGTTTCATAGAAATCTGAGCACCGCAATTCGAGCACTTCCTTTGGAATAAATTTGCATTATTTTTTAGGAGCTGCAGGCGACAAAAGCAAAAACATTCAATGATAATGTTCTTATCAACAGGCGCGCATTTCTTCTAGTCTTATTTTATTGTTAAATTTTTTTTGGAAACCAATCTTTATGCATAGAAGTTGTACTCTGTAAAACAAAAAATTTTGGTCTTTATTTTCCCATTCACATTTCCAATTACTTTGTTTATTAGGCCTCAAAAACCACGAAAAGGTTGATAATTTGTAATTTTCTCGGCCTCGAGGGCATTCCTCGTCAGCATATTTGTTGTTTTCTATTTGCATGTGCCAAAGTGCACAAAAACAAAATTTGGAAATCCCGCTTGCGGCCGGGGGTGTTCTTATTTATGTATGATTTGTGAAATGGATTTCAATTCGGGTCTAACTAACCCAAATTACAGAAATCTCTGTTGTTAGAAGGGTGTTTATATCTTCCGCTAAAAAATTTTATTCACATCTGGGAAAGCGTTTGAAGGACTGTGAAGAACCTCGCAGAAATCCGCTATTTATGCAGAACTAACTCAGATATTAGGGGAACAAATATCGAGAGCATCTCCTTCCACTTGCACCAAAAGAGGGTTTCCCACCTACTCCCGTTCTATAGTTTCCGTGGTTTCTACTCTTCCGTTAACGTTCAAAATCTTGGCTACATTTAAAGGACACAAGCTGAAAATATCAGGGATTCTTAAGTTCCCAAATACAATTTTTGTTACAACATTTGAAGCCATCTATAGAAGGCCCTCACTCAAGGAGTTCCCTTACAACTCCACATTACCGTTTCCATACTTCTTTCTACAATATGTATACCTGCAAATTACTGGTTCCTTCACAAACTAAGATTAATCGAACGTTAACTCCACTTATCCTTTGTTAACTACCTAATGACAAATCCCCCTTGCTTCATCAGCTAGGCCCTTATTATGTCCCTTGGGTTTAATATAACTTTCGTCATGGGAATACCTTTCTTTCTTTCGAGCTCTGAAGAGCGCGACGTTTACACAGCCGCAATGGCAAATAATCGGGTCCCATGCCGTTTCGCCGTCAATTAACGTTAGACATTCCACTGCCGGCTACAATGTTCAAACTTATAAACAAAGCAAAAAATGTAGTTTTAACCGGCAAGGAGATCGTTTAGTCACATTATAAACGGGAGTTTAGGAAATACGGGAATTCAAAATATTTGTTTTGTAATATAAGTCTTGAAACAGTCCTATTTTTAAAAAAAGCGTAGAAGGGATTTATCCAGTTTCTTTGAAATTTCGTCGCAATATGTAGTCTAAGTTGATCGAATAAATATTTTCGCCTTATTTTCCTCCGTGTCCTGTCTGGACATGGGGTACTCTTACGCCCCGCCCCCTCGTCTGCCCCTGTATGTCGCGGTTAAAATTAGCCATATTTGAAAAATCGCTTCACTAATATGCCCTTTTATCTAACTTTAAATATCTAAACCCCGGTTTTTTTTCCGTTTTCCGCTTCTATGTAAGCATTGCACTTTTAAAAAATAAACAATGCCAACATACATTTGCATTTTTTACAATCCCGTATTGAATTTTGCTCTCTGCTCCCATCATTTTCCTAAAAAGCCCTTCTTTTTTGGCGGGCGTTAGTCTCCCATAAAAATATGTACGTTCAATTTGGTCGACAAGCATTTGTAAGTCCAAAAGCCTCAGGGAACACTCGGTTTTTTCGTTTTCTCCCTGTCAATAAACGTTTCCCCATTGATAAGATGGGATGTAAACACGTGTGCAAGGATTGTTTTGCCATCTTCTCCATGTGCTTTCTACCATTTCTTTCGGGAATGCAGAAAAGATTTATTGCAAGGAAACGGAGATGGAGAAAGTATCAAATTTTGTTCTGTCTTCATTTGAATACCCTCACTGAAAAAATTTACTTGACGTCAATGTGAAGTTACTTTGAGACGAACTCTTGGGAGAAATTTGGTTTAAAATTAAAATTTACTTACATTAGTTTTTCGATATTTGAGAAGAAACATAAATTATTTTTGTGAGTTCCAAAATGGGGTTTTCTTTAATGGAGCTTTGCAAAAAATTAGATTAAAATTTTCAAAGACATACGGCAGATTTACAGTTTGTACTTTGAAAAAATTTTCGGTCAAAAATTTAAAAAAATAAAAGACCTCGATTTTTTGTAAAACTTTGTCATCGTGCAACATAATTTTTTTAAAAGCAGACTTGCACTTTTTCCGTCAAAAAGATGGAAATCCAACCTTTAAATGCCATTTTTTAAAAGTTTTCTCTCCAAAAAAGTAATCATTGATCTACTTTCCGATGCACTTTAACCCTTTTTTCCATTTTTCTTTCGGCGTTACGTTTCCTTTAAATATTTTTTGTTTAAAAAAATCTTTGAAGAACAAAACAATCTAGCGGGTGATGCGGACGACTGACGCCCTTTTTTCAACCGTCTCCGCAATTTTAAAGCCACAACTACAGGAACCGTATTCAAATTTTGCGCCTTTGTTTCAAAAAAAGAAATTATTTTTCGGTTTAAAAAATTAATTTACCTCGAGGGTAATATTATAAAAGTTCCAAGCAACGCGTTGCCAAGTAATTTATCTTGGTTTTAAATTTTTTTTTATTTTTCAAATTCCCCATGGGCATGCTACCTGCACTAATTTATTGCGGAGAGTTGTTTATAATACTTGACTGGAATAAGATAAAAGGGAAGATGTGAACGATTCTCTTTCAAAAACACGTCGAAACGTGAAGAGTTTTTCGGAAAACAACCTTTAGCCATGAAAAATCTCGCTTTTTCAAGCTTGTTCGTTGTAATTCACATTTTTGCCTACTTTAGATTTAAGAATCTCGGTTGTTTCTGCACAGCGCGACCTAGCGTGTCTTAAAAATATTTATCTAAATTTGTGCCAAACTCTGTCAAAGTCTGATTGTGAGGCGTCGCACGTCAACCTGAGGAGTCCGGTGACCGGAATAGACTCCTCGCTATCGGTTTTTTTACAATTGATTTTGCAGAGAAAGAAAGAGAAAAGACGCACAAAAACGTACTCTCTCGCCCCAAAAGTACCCCGTTTCTTCCCCGACAAAACTTTTTTTCACGTCTTTTTTGGCAAATTGCCAATCCATTTACCGGACTGTTTTAGCTTATAAGTTTGACGTTCGTCGGACTAGGAGCATTCCTGATGTTACTCGCGTCTTCTATTCTTTCTTTTGCAACTTGTGTCAATTCTCTATGGAGATTAACCTTACCATAAATTCTCTGACGCATTATTAAGTGAGCTATCGTAAGCCTCAGTAGACAAAAATACTCGATATCAGATTATCTCATCAAAAGTAATTGTAGAGAGAACAATAATACCTTTTCTGGGGGTTACTTTATTTTTAAACGCTGTTACTAGTAAAGTACTGTTTTTAAATTTTGGGATCCTCATAAGTGTCTAATTAACTTTTTTATTTTTGGACTTTTTCTCCCAAATGTGCAAAACAAATGCGCGTTGTTTCCCTAGAATTTCACGGGGCTCAAGTGCGCAAAGCTTTAGCAGGTGCGCAGACGTATTTCCCCTCAGGGACGAGTAGTTGAAAAAAGGCAACATAAACCCTGAGCCAAAGATCCTCGTCCTCAACCAACGTCCTTTGCCCTTCAACGGGCCTCAATTATATTCGTTAACGTCACTCTCGACTAACAAGTTTGTAGTCTTACCTGGAAAATACTTCCATAAACAATTCTGAGGGCTGCACTATCGTATGTTTCGATTTCAGAATATACATTACTTTAGATGGAAACCAATTTGACGAACTTGAGGATTAAAACAGTTATTTCCACAAAAGATTTAATAGTTTTCCTCGTCACAGGGCGTTTTGAATGTGTCTTGCATTTTTTATCTACAAAAACAGTTAAAAGTACATTTTTAGTCTGGTCCTCTCTTACAAAACGTCCTGCAGACACGCAAAATTGAACGAAGAAGCTGCCAAAAAGCTCTCCGAATGAAATCTCAGCTCATTTTTCACAGCAATCTCAAATTTGTAGCTTTATCTGGAAACCCCTTCTCCCCTTAGGCAGAAGTAGCAAAACACCCTTGGTTTTCGATCTTTTCCGTGTACCGTTTTTCCGTGAATTCCCTTCCCTTTCGACTTACTTCTTCCCTACACCACTCTATCATCGTTTTTCGAGCCTTTGCGTCTTTGTCCCTCACGCAACGCCCTCTCTTTCTCTGCCCGTCTCTCTCTTTTTGCACTTTCTTCTCACGCTCGGCACATACGACTCTTTTTCTGCCAAACCCCTCCATTTTTTTCTCCCGGTTCCATCAAATTTTTACCTTTTCCTTTCAAAAGTTTCGAGTCTCGCCTCGTAATTAGTCCGCGATTTAAACCTTGCTCTTTATTCCTCTCCTTTTTTTGTACTACATCATCTTTTGAGGGGATTCCTAATGGACCCGATCTCACCCTAGACGAAGGACACTTGCTCCGAAAACGTGCGGGAGATTTCAAGCGTTTGATCGCTTTTTATTTTGTTTATAAAAAACGAAACAAGCAGCCATGTGATCGTTTCACCTGATCGCAACGCTGTGATCGCGTCCTATGCTTGATTTCGTCTAGTGAAAAGCAAATAAAATTTTCACGTTTCTCAAATAGGAAGTGGAGGGTTAATTTCAACGTCTCGAAGCGCCTTATTTCCAAGTTTAGTTTAAGCGCCAAAAAATTAGGCCTTTCAATAAGCGTTGAAATCAAATTCCTGTGTCTTTTCAGAAGGTCACCTTGAGCGATAGACGGAGAGGAGCTGCGAATTTTTGGGAAGTTGAGCCATAATAATGTAGTCTAACGCCCATGTAGTTTTCTACTCTGTAAATTAATATTCATTGATTTGTTGTCATGTTTTAGCAGGTGAAATTCTGCATTTTACATTTGAATTGACTCAAACTGAAATTATCGTTTTTGATAGTATATGTTTAGCTGGCGCTTTGCTGTAGAAGTAATGACTTTAAAGCGTTATTTTCATTTTACTGAAACTTTCAGTGTAAAAATTGGAATTCTAATGACTTTTTACTGCAAAACGGGCGGCCATACCTTTCTGAATCTCGCACAGAAAAAAAAAGTAATTCTTAAAAATGGACTTTAGTCCACAATTTCGGTCGAAAAATCATATTGGGTTCTGCAATCCTCTCAGCTTTGGTACCAAAAAGTGCAATTTATTGTATTACGTGCATCACTTACTCTAGCTTTAGATAAAAAATGCGTCACAACTCCCTATTCCGCGAATTCTTCCCTCGTATGTAATTTGCACCTTTTACAATGCCCCTCATATTTAGTTACAATTCCATTTCCTGGTTATATTCAGTCTGGTCACTCGTATGTCCCACTAATCTCCGGATTTGACTTTAAAACGTCATGTAAGAGGGGCAAATCTTATTTCGCAATGCGTACGAAAGCAAAGACGATTCTTATTTACCTCTTATCACCATGGACTTTGTTTGATCTCGAAATACACTAAAAACAACAACCTTTCCGAAATTTCCAAAATTGACCCTTCTTTGCTCCCCCGAGGCGCTAGTTTGCACTTTTGCCGCAGGCATGGTGTCAAAAAAACGCCAGTGGTGGTCAAGGCAACCGGCTCTATTATTTAGCCCATTAGTTTTAGGGTAGTAAACGCGAGATAAAGAAGTAAAACTGGGTCTATTAATTTATTTGGGGTATTATATTTGCATCAGGTACAATGTTGAAGTATGTATATCCCCTTTCTCAAAAAAATGTGGATATTTATGTCATCCTTTGTACTCATTACTATTTCACAAGACTTAGCGTGTTATTACAAGTATTCAAGTACTTTTTATTTTCGAATATTGTCAAATCCCTTCGATCCTTGATTCACAGGCCTTCGTTAAACCCCTAATTGTCTAGCCGAGCTTTGATTTTTGATGATTTTGTTTTAAAGTGCACAAGACCATGTCCCCATAAAGTTATGTTTTTCAGCCCCAGTATGAAAGAGCCCTGCAAAATATGCGGCACAGAGACAAAGAGCATCTGTTACAAGCTGTATGTCTGCGGGGCTTGCACCATGTTCTACAGACGGAATTTCCGATTCTGGGGAAAACTCTCGTGTCGGATGAACGGGAACTGTAATTTACTGGCTGGTAAGTTTTTTTTGACCAACCAATAAACTTTTAAACAAGATTTTTTACGCGAAGCTTGGCAACATTAAGACTAGAATTAAATTGGTGAGTGATGCAGGTGCGCTCGTATTTACCTCAAATTTTGCATGCGTGAGAACTCTAAAAATTTTTGCTTGTGCTCTGCAGGGCTATTCTGGACCACTACGAATTCAACCTAAAAATCAGGGGACGGTTTTAGAGAACCCTGATTTAAAACTTTCCCAAGCTTCATCAAAGCTTTTTTGCATCCCGTAAGGATTCCATCGACCAATAGTTCCCTCAAAACTCTAAATTTTTGCCCGTGTTATTTTTGATAACATTCCTACCGTTTCAGGTGCTTCAAATGACAGACGAACCTGTCGGGCATGTCGATTAAAGGCCTGCCGTGACCTTGGCCTTCGAATGATCGGGAAATCCCTAGTCGTCCAACAAGATGGCCTACCAGAAAACGATATCCTCGAACCAGACGAGGCCAAGTCTTGTTCATGCACCTCGAGTTCCTGTTGCGCAACAAAACAACCGATTGTAAAGCGAGAAGACGCGGATTCCTGGCCATCGTCGTCCGAAGCCTCCCCTGGGGTAAAGGTACTTTCGTGTTTTGAGCAACGCAAACGCCTTCATCCAATCGTTATGCACATTGATTTACTTGGTATTTTTAGGACATCATGGAGGTAAATCCAACCGCTGCATCGCCCGTTTCTCCGTCAACATCTCAAAACTCCCACTCGATGGCGTCAACACAACTAGCTCGAGATATTGCCATAACTATGAATGAATATCCTAATTATATCCCAAGCGAATCCGGTTTCCGACCTTACACTCAATACCAATACGATGTGGTCAGTGGATTCCACGAAATGGATCGATATCCTCACTTAACGCATTTGAAACGTATCGTTGAAGTCTTCAGGCGATTCAGAGAACGTCAACGGAATATTTCCATTGAGGTGATGAATGTAGATGTTGATTTGGAACCCGAGCCTCCGTTGGTGCCCCCAATACAAATTGGGTCGTTACAATTCCCGGTAATGGAGAGGAAAATGGTCCAGCTTGCCTGTATTGCCATTATCGAATTTTTGGAGGGTTGCGAAGGACTAACTATTGATGAAAAAGTACGTTGACAGTCCTCATGTTACCACTAATTACATTTCTCTTTAATTTTTACGTCATCCTCTTATAGGTCCAAATCATGAAGCCGACGATGAACGACATATCACTGCTTTTCAAAATGTACCTCACTTGTCGTCGATATCCCCAGAAAGGCGATTCTCGGATGGGAATGTGGACCGGAGTCTACAATGACGTGGATGCCTATGACACATACATGTCCGATCTCTTGCCTGTTCTTGGTCCCGATGCTTATCTCAAACATTACAATAAGAGTCGAACGTTGGTGGTGCCGTTCTACGAGCGCATGAAACGGGTTATGGATAGATTCCGCGACTTTATGCCGTGCGCAGTCGAGTTCTCGGTTTTGGCGTGTATGATGGTCTACGAAAGAAGTAAGTCGAATATTTGAATTGGAATATTTCGGTTTTAGTGGAGACTGTGGAGATCCAAACAGTTCTGGCGATGAGGTTGAGAGACAAGCTGTGTGCCGAGTTGAGTGTTTATTTGAGTGATCGATATCCTCCTCATGTCGTGTCGGTCCGGATGATGAGAATGTCCACCCTGTTATATGCTGTTCGGGTAAGTCTAAGCCTACTTTTGGAATTCTTAAACCATGACCTTATCACGCCTAAAATCATCTGTAATTTCGCCCAAAAAATCGCAGACTTACCGTATCCATGACTTGAAATCCTATTTATTCCGTTAATTAGGAACTGATCAAACCGTTATTTCTTTCAGGAATGCGATAACCAATATGCAGATATGTTCTCCTTGCTTGGCGTGCTGATCCCCGAGAATCGCGACCAGGACTTCCAGACTATGCCAGACGTTGTTCCGGAGATGATGCGACGCCTTGTTCTCGAGCATTGTACCCATCTCAAACACCTCAAACCCAAAGAAGACATGGCGTAAGAGACCTCAAGTATTCGCAGAAAATTCTGTCCATTCCATTCGTATTTTGAACAAAGCTTATGCAAAAACACTGTCAATTTGACAAACTGTAAATTATTTTGAAGAAAATAAAGTGATTTTTACTTTTATCTTTCGGATTTTTGATACCTCAATGACCTAGGAGGTGTTTTGCCATGATTTTTTTGCATCGATTTAAATCTTGATCCAACCTCGAACTCCCATTACGTTTGGCTTCTTCAGCAGTAAATTTTGAACCAAGTGGTCTTTCTGGTCATTTCCTTCTCTTACTATTTAAATATTTTATTGGTTTTATGATCCCTCAAATCTCCGAGACCCTTCAAGTGTGGACATGCAAGTGAAAACACGCATAACACCCTCAAACTCTTTTTTCTCCCCTCTGGACATCCTCGAGGGCTTTTTGCCCCCAGGTCGGGTGCAAAACCGCAATGAAATCACGAATGCCCCCGGGCAGAAGAACGTCATCTGGTCAAGCGGCCCCAGGGGGCCGTGGCCAGAATTCGATCCGCCGTCACTGATCGCCCCCATTTTTTTAAAACATGAGTTTCCATTTTGCTGTCGAATTGGAAAGAGTTTTTTGCTCGAATGGTTTCCGGCCGGTTTCGGCCCAGTTGTTTTAGAACAAGACGGCCTTTTGTTTATTAGTAAATAAGAGAGGTTAATTGAATCGTCTGGGGGCCTTGGTTCGGCATGGGGAAGCTCATAAACATTATAATCAAGTCAAAATCTTAATTCTACCTTTCTAATGCAGTGCAATATAGGCTGAAGTCAGGCGTTTAGGCTTGAAGTATGGGTTTGCAGGGACATATCGGCTTTCAAAGGCATCTAGGACCTTGACTTTTAAATCACTTAAAAGCTAGGATTCATTTGAAAAAGCGAAATCCGCTATTTTTTATAAAGTGGATGATTTTACATTATTTTAGCCCTAATTAGTCCTTTTGACTCTACTCAACAAAGTTTTCATCCTATAAACACTATTCACGCAGTGTTTACAATAGTTTTTTCCAACAATTTTCGCATTTTTTTCCTTTCAAAACAATGGCCTTCAACCCCAAAGACTACAGGAAAAAGAGTCCCCATATATAATCCTATTCTCTCCGTACTTTGCTCAAAATATTTTCCCTTTCTAGAGTTGTTTCCTCCCTCCATTTTCCAATGTGAAACATTAGAATCCGCTTTTTCTCCTCAATAAAAAATTTCATTTCTTCATTTCGTTGCTTTTGACTCTCAAATGTCCTTGAAGGACACCTGCGATGTAACAAGTCGTAATGTGTCCTAAAGGTGATCTTGCGATTTTATTTTACTTCGTTTTTGGGGATAATGAGCTCTCGAGCTTTCACGTGAGACCTCTCCAACCAAACGTGGGTTTCTAATAATAAGTAAACAGACTTACTTTTGGAGTATTCGCGTATTTCGAACAGCATCAGGGAGTTTCCAGATATTTTGCCGAAACATTTTTGATTTTTTTTACGTTTTTTGGACTTTATAAACTTTTCGAATAAAATGTCACTTTCAATGTGCGCCCAAATTATTTTACACATTTTGACAATTTTTTGGGATAAAATTTGCTTTACATTCCGTGGAAAGCAATGTTCGTGGTGAAATTTGTCGTAGACCCCATCGTTTGGTATTTTTATTTTTTTACTTGGATTGTTTTAGGATACTACAGAAAATTGTGAATGTCGGAATCAGAAGCCTTGCGATGGGGAATCTTGGGATGCGGGAATATCTCCGGAGACTTTGTTAAAGCCTTCACCAACACAAAGAAACCACACACGGTAAGGAAGCTAAGGGATTTTGCAACTTTCATAACTTTTATACCTAAAATTTTATGTTTCAGTTGGTTGCGATTGCTGCGATGGGTGGAATAGAGAAAGCCGAGGCTTTTATTGAAGAGAACAAAGTCCCCGAAGCCAAGCCGTGTGGCGATTATCAAGACGTTTTGGACAATGAAGACATCGGTGAGTTTATCGATGTTATCCCTGATCTGATCTTTGCTCTCTTTAGAAATCGTGTACATTGGTACGCAAACCTTTTGGCATTACGAATGGGCAATCAAATCACTTGAAGCTGGCAAGCACGTTATTGTTGAGACTCCAATCGCTGTAACAGCAAAGCAAGCCGAGGAATTAGCGGAGAAGGCAAAAGAAGTCGGAAAGTTCTTGATGGAAGGATTCTGGAGTCGGTTTTTCCCTGCATACGTTGAAATTAAGAGACTCTGCGAGACAGAGGACTTTGGCAAGCCCAAATTTGTGAATTGTAACCTGGGATTTCCGATTGCCGAGCCAACGCCGTCCAATGGACGGACAATCATGTCCACCATCGGATGTTATTGTGTAAACCTTGCGCAATTTGTGTTTGGAGGCGAAGCTGAGGAAGTGAAAGCTGTTGGAGAACTGGATCCTGAACACGACAGTAAGTTTGGTCGTCTTTGATGGTTTTAGTTGCCTTTTTAAGACACTTGTATGTAAATTATACTAGACACCATTGACGATTTTGCTTTTCAGATGCCGAAAAGTGGGCCACGATTAATATCAAGTTTGGCGACGATAAGAACGCGATTATCCATACAGATTCAAGAGTATTCTTGCCCAATTCAGCTTATGTAACTTTCGAAAATGGCTATGTGGAGGTGAGATACTACAATATAAAACTTGTTGAACCTTTGATAGATTTCCCCCGTGTTTGGTCCGACATCATAATTTACTTCCATTTTCAGATCCCCGAATGGATGCACGCCCCCACCAAGTTGAAGTATTATCAAATGGGAGGAGATGATGGGTATGGAGAACATGCCCAAAAAGAGTTCCGATTGGACGATCGGAGAAAGTTTGTTTATCCGAACAGCACTGGATTCAGATACGAACAGGACCATATTTACGAATGTGTAAAGAACGGTGATCTGGAGAGTCCGGTCATGTCTTTGGCTGACAGTATCGCTATCAGAAAGGTGATCGACGAAGCCCGCGATCAGATCGGCGTCCCTCAACCTGATGTGTAAGAAGTTCAATTCCATTATTAGAGGAGTTTGTAATATATGTTAGTGGTTTGTATTTTTGTGATAGTTGTTAGACGTATGAATAAACGGATAATTTAATAAATATTTTTGAGTTTTGATCAAATGCGATGTTTCAAGGCCAAAATTGGTAAATAGGCTGGGGATTGTTGTGTATTGTGTCGGTATAACCAAAATTACGTCATATAGGGGTGGTGCGATTTAAAATTTTTCGTCTTGACTGGCAAAAACCCCCGATTTCTTGGCTGTAGGGCCTCCAGCCAAGAATTTGATATTCTTGACTGAAATTCAGACAGCAATATTTCGTTTCTTGACTGCTTGCTTATTTTTGACTGTAAACCAGCCAAGAAATCAAAAATTGTTGGCTGAATTTCAGACAGCAAATTCTTGCCTGAAACTCAGACAAGAAATCAAAGATTTCTGTCTGAACAGTAGACAAAATGTTTCTGTTCAGTCAAAAAGAAATTGGCTGGCAACTCAGCCAAGAAATCGAAGACTTCTTGGCTGTAGTTCAGCCAAAATTTCTTGGCTCAGCCAAAAAAACTGACTGACATTCAGTCAAACTATTTGACTGGGAAATTTTTTTTGTATTTATTGGCGTTGAAAAGCGCAGTAAATTTGATGGTATTTAATAAAATAGCGAAAGATCAAGATTTATCACATAATAATAAAAAAATTGATTATAGCCTAAAAACTTGGCAAACGATTTAGATCTTGTTTTAGCCGAAAAAGCCTAAAACAAGGTATAGTCAAGCGCCATTTGCCAAAAATCGTGAGGAAACTATACGTGTATGTACTTGGGGCTTGATTCCTTGTTGTTTTCAACGGAAATGTGGACTTGAAGAAGTTTTTTCGACCAAAAGTTATATTGCACATGGCAAGTAAAACATTTTGAAACGTCAAAGTTACCTAATACGCTCCCTTTTGACATCAGGAATTGACCAGAAAGCTCATGCAGCACGAAACTTGGCTCCTCGAACGGGCAGTTTAGCTAAAACCTCAAAAATCAAATAAATAGTACTCACAATTTGTTTTCTTCTTGGACGTGACCTTTCTGGGTGAGAAACTGGAGTTCCAATGGTGAACGGGACAAGGCAAGTTCCATTTTGTTGTTCCACAGGTCTCCAAAGGTATTTTTGAGCTTTACCTGCCGATACCCGAGTTATTTGGCAGGAAACATCTAAAACACAGAGAAATTAAAAAAAAACTAAAAAAATTAGCTGAAAACGCGTGGAAATTCAAGTGTCCAAACAATAAAAACAAGAAAGGAGCACGACATCGTGCATTTTCGTTCCTGATTGTGTTTGATCCCAGCGCGAAAAAATTCCCATTTTCGGCCAGAAGTTTTCGTTTTTTTGCATGTTTCGAGTTCTCGCGTTTCGTGAGATTTCTACGTTTTTGACAGGAAATGTTTTGAACCTGTTGTTATTCGACCAGTCATTTTTTGGCCGACCTGTCCACGTTACCCGCGTTCAATTTGTAAGTTGATTATGCTTTCCTTTTCTTTTAGGTAAAAGTATGTTATCCAAGGGCAAAAATGATGGTTTTTGTCTTTTTTCGCTAGGGACAAGAGAAAAAACTGGTAAAAGTTGGAACATCTTTATGTTAGCTATTTTTTAGATCGTAAACTAGAGGTACTCAGTCGATTTCTCTCGAGCCTTTTATTTTCTGTCGAATTTTACCTAAAAAAGGGCAAAGAGAAGTGAAAATAGCTTACCTGTCGCCGGGAAACATTGTTTATGCCTAAATTACAGCACGTAATCTACGAACCTGATGTAATACAGCTCCCTTCTGAGATGTGCGCTGCAAACAACTTCTGATTGGACCCGTCCCTTCAAAATCCAACGACCCGACCGCAAGAAAAATAGTCCAGCTTGCTGTCTACAACTGACAACCGGCGCATCAACATTTGGATGAACGGGTATGAAGCCACACTAACGACAGTTGTAATTTTTTCCGGAATACATACGAATCTCATTTTTAGGGCATCTTGTTTTGTTTGAAATGCAGAAGTTTTATCCAAAATCCAGCCAAGAAATCGAAGATTTCTGGCTGAATTTGAGTCAAAATATTTTTGCGCAGCCAAAAAAGCCTGGCTGAGATTCAGACAAACAAATTCTGGCTGAATTTCAGCCAAATTTGTTTGGCTGAGCCAAAAAAGGCTTGGCTGAAAGTTCAGCCAAGAACTCTGAGATTTCTGGCTGAATTTCAGCCAAAATTTTTTGGTCCAGCCAAAAAAAAATCGACTAAAATTTAGTCAAAAAAAGGGATTTCTTGACCAAATTTTGGGCAAAAATTTCTGCCTGAATTTCAGCCAAGAATACCAAATTCTTGGCTGGAGGCCCTACAGCCAAGAAATCGGGGGTTTTTGCCAGTCAAGACGAAAAATTTTAAATCGCACCACCCCTATATCTCAATCCTGTCCGCACGGTGCAATCTCAAATTTAGGTACAGTCCTCGTTAGGGAAGTCTTTGATTCGAAAACAAATTTAGGCAAATGTCATCTCAAATCTTGAGGATTCTAAGAATAAAACATTTTTGCGATTCATAGCTGATAGTCCTTCCGGAAAGTCGCCGGGCTGAAATCGGCGACACGCACTGTGCGAAAACAAATGTTTTCTTTGCACTGTGCAATTTCTTACTTTTTGCACCGTGCAATAGGGTTTTTGGGCTGTCGCTCGCATCGCATCCTGACTTTTTTCGCACAGTGCAAACGCCAAAAATTACTACTAGGCGGGCCAAAAAGTCTTGACATGTCTGCACAGTGCGCCGTCGTGCATGCAATTTGTCGCGCGGCGACAATAAAAATTTACGGTGCAATGCGACACCGCACAGTGCAAAAAAGATTGTTTTGAAAAGGGTAAACAACGCACAGTGCGTTCTTCATTCGCACCCCGCCAAAGGTTTTATCGCGCGACACCTCGTCGCGACACCGAATTCATGCGCCCGCACGGTGCGAAAACATGTCAAGACTTTTTGGCCCGCCTAGTAGTCCGTTTGTAAAGTCGCTGGAATGATTTCGGCGACGCGCACTGTGCATGAAAACTCAGGGTGCGAGCGACAGCTCGAAAAAGCCTATTGCACTGTGCAAAAAGCCGAAAATTGCACAGTGCAAAGTGAACTTTCGGTTTCGCGGGGTGCATGTCGCCGAAAACATTCCAGCGACTTTACGAACGGACTAGTAGTCCGGCGACTTTCCTTCGCGAAGGACTATATAGTATTGCCGCAACCCGTTTTTCATTTCGTCGACTCCTCATTTTGAGTGTTTATCCCAAAAAAATCCGTGAATATCTCTGCCGAAACGTGAGAGCTAAAACTTTCAGGAACTGGTTTGTGGATAGGTCAGAACTTGCATAAAAATATGATGGAAATCTAATCCAATTTTGAGTTTTACTTTTAAAAAATCGATTAAAATATGCATTTTACTTTGCTGACTATTCCATTGCTCATTACAGACCTCAAAAGACGTACTATTTTCCACTGCTTTGTTTTCTCTTTACCATTGTCGTCATCAATCTTCAGATCTACAATCTTTCGCTTTCCACCTCAAAATATTCGAGATTTCTGTCTAATCATAAATTTTGCAGTTTAAATTTGAAGCGAAAATAACGCATCGGTACCAACCAGTACCGGTGGAGATTTGTACAAAATAAACTCGAAGAAACACGGACAATTCCACAAAATACGGTGGTTTGAAGCTCACGTCTGATACAAACTAATGGTCAGATTGTACCCGCAATTGGAGTATATGACATTCTTGTAGAGCGTTTTGTCTTTCAGCGGAATGTTGTAGTCTAAAAAAGGTATACGGTTGTTGCTTTTTTGATGAATCAAATTGTAGATGTCTTGCATTTTCTTGAGTTGTACTTGGGGGGTTACAGTAATTTGGATCTTCGGAAGCAACAGCTGTATTTGGAGTGCTGTTGTGAAGAAAAGAAACGTGAAAAAGGTGAATTGCCCTTAAAATTTTACATACATTTATCAAAGTCGCAGACGTTGATGAAACTAAACAAAAATAAGAAACGAAATTTACTAACACAGGAAGTAATTGGTATGATACAAACAAATCTCTTTTAATTTTGGATGTGGGTGTTGAACTAGTCGCGTATTCATAATATTCACTCCAAATTTTCGGTTCCAGCGGAGACAAAATCTTTCTGCTTTTTCGAGAGGGTATGTGAAATAAAGAGAGTCGGCCAGGCGAAAAATGAATTTTTTCCATAACTTGTTGGTTTCTACATGCAATAAAATTGGGATCTTAAATACATTGTACCCCTGTGTGGTAGCTGAGGCTGAGTTTTACATTCCTCAAATTGTCGCAAGATCATGAGTTTTCGACCTACGATCGAAAAACCTCAGCGATTTCTGGAAGTTTGAAGTTACCAATGTTTTCCCCTCGTCAAATACTTCCTTGCAAGACCGTTATAGAGCACAAGGTTTGCATAAAAAACAAAAACTTCCCGGCAGAAAGGAGCAGATTACATAGCGTTTCGAAAAACGCGTTTCATGCCTAGCCGACCCTCCTAATTCGTGAGCTGTCTCGCAACGAAAAAAATTGTGCCCAAAATGCTATGTAATCGCTCATTCATTTTGCCTATAAAATATTCTGGATAATTCGATAGTATATACTACCCGGTCCAGTATGTTGTGCGAAGTGATGTGTTGTCATTCGGCAAAAAATCGTTTCCCAATTTTAATATCTATCCAATGATTCGAAAGCGAATACGGGTTCAACTGTATATGGCCTCAGGTCGGTGGAACACTTGTTTGTTATTTCGGCGCTGTTTTCGGCTATAATTTGATGAGATTGTAGGGGAGTTAAGCAGACAAAAAAAATGGAGATTCGAGTCTAAAGATAAACCGGAAGAGAACACTTCACTTCGTTTACTTGATGTTTGTTTTGAATCCCAGTGAAATTTGAGATCAGATCTCGTCATTCTCGTAGCCTTGGTAGAGAGGTACGGTCAGGTCCAATCTGCTATGGATTGGATTATGCATGATAGATTATGTACATGGCGGCTATGAGTCACGTTGCAAAACAACAGAATTTTGAATAAGATTGCGGGGGAAATAGTCGGAGTGTATCGATCAGATTTCGATAAAACTTGAGGCCAATTGCCTTATTATAACAGACTTAATTTCACATTATGACAATGATTGGCTACCGTCGATTTTTTAATGGAAATATAGTAACATATTTTAAATGTTGGGTCCTCTCAGATTGCCCGGGTTTGATCTGGACGTGTTGAGGTTGTGTAAACACCACCGTATCCATGACGGGTTATGTACATAGGGAAGCGATAAGTTGTCAACAAGTTTTGAAGGTAAAGAAAATAGGATACTCTGTGCTTCTAAACTGCGCTCAGAATTTTAAAAGTATGTCTGCTTTAAGGTTAAAAATAGACAAGACTAAGAGTCCAAATAAACTTACTTTTTCGAGCATCAGTTTTACCCAGGTTTTGCGGTACCGTCTTCTTGAGTTGTTAATTTTAGCAAAGAACCCAAACTTAATATAGGATAAATGAACGAATGCTATTTAACTTAAGAACTCAGGTGGGCCTGCGCACAAAGAGTTAAAATTTTGGGAAATTAATGTGTGCCGTCTTTGCAAAATATAAGGAAAACGTGAATGTGGTCGACTTCCTGCAAACCTTGATATGCTGCCCAAGAAGCCTCTGAATCGTACATGCCGCACTTTGTGGAACGATCGAGTCATTGCAAGGGCAATACCTTGTTTGTCCCACTTCTGAATTTGGTCTATCCTCCCTTTCTAATCATTGAGACTTTCCTTTTTAACTGTTATCATTTCTTGTAGAATTACGTCGTTTCCGCAATGTACTTAGAATACGTATAGGGAACAGTTGGCCCATAGTATTTAAAATAATTTCCGCCGAGATCAAAATAAATATGCAATTATTTTTGTTACGGTAGAAAGGCGCGTGTACTTTAAGACTGATCTTTCCTATTGATCCCAATATTCCTGTGTTTTTTTAGACTAAACATTAATATCCAATCCGATTGCCTTCTGAACATGCTTTTATTAGATCAAAAAAGTAGGACTTGTCTGTAATGCAAACCTTTCGCGGAAACCCGAACACGCATCTCTCGGGTGGTCCTAAACTTTTCCCTCAACCTTACGCATTAATTTTTAGCCATTTTTTTGGTGAGAATGGCGCTATATCTGGATTACAATTATCCCACTCAATTGCCGTAGATGCGGTTGTTTGGATGAGGTGATTACAATTAGAGGATTGTAGTCTTGGATAAATTGGATCTCGTCGCCACT